AAAAACTTTATTATATACACCTTTTTACACACCTGCCTACGCAAAGATCCTACACTATTCTAGCATAAAACTCTACATAAAATAGTTTATATACTGCTAAATTACTTATAAGGTAAGTGTATAAAGGCTAGATAATAATAGCCTAAAATACTTTACACTATTTATAAAGCTATTTATATAGTGTAACTAGCTTATTTTAACATATAGCATTACTAAAGTAAGTCCTAACAAATAAAGTAAAGTAAAGGCAGAATATAATTAGATAAACCTACACAGATAGAAAAAAGGTAATGTGTACAGAAGGTAACTTTTTAGATAAAAAAAAAAAAGTTGCTAGTATCTATACACAGCAGCAGTATTGCAGCCTAGATATAAATAATTGCGTACAAGTAGGATTATGTATCTATGTTACATAATGCTTGTGCGTAAACCTCTATGCGTAAACATCTAGATATCCCTCTTTTCTTCTATATAGAGGAAAGACAAGAGTAATAGAACTAGAAACATGTTACCCTTACTTTACCTACCTTGTACGCTGTGCACACTGTACACCACTCTTACTCTTGCTACTTAAGTGCTTATACTATAAGCAGCTAGCTGTTAGAGCCTATTCAACACTTAATGTCTTAAACTTATAAACATTAGGTGTAAAGTTAAGTATAACTTTATGTTTAGGCTTTTTAACCTTATTAATGTCTATCTCTTTAAATACAGAGCTCTTACTATAGGTGCTGCCAGCGTCTTTATCTACAGCAGATGTAGCAGTATTAGACAAGGTATTAGCCTTTAGATTATTATCTTTATCTGCTACATTTATAGGTAAACTATTATTATTTATCTTAATAATTAAAAGTTAGTTATTAATGTAATTATTTATTAGTAGTAAACTAAGAGCCTTTTTATTAACAGTAACGTTAGCGTATCTAGAATAGTAGGCAATTAAGTAGTTTAGCTACTATCCTATAATAGGTTAACATACACAGTGCTTCTTTTTAAACTAACAGTTAATTACACCCTAATCTTCCCCTTTAGTAGCAGCTAGTTTAAGGATAATAATGTCTAGATTATAAGAAAAGAGTAAAAGGCGTAAGAACACCTTAGCAGTGTTAACAGCAAAGTAGCATATATAGCTCTAGTACTTATACTGCTGTCTCTAATGCTGCCTTATTTTTATATTAATGTGTACGCGTGCTAGTAGTTGCTCTTTAGTAGTAGTTAACTTAGAAAGGTTTAGTAAAAGGCTAGAATTAAAATTATTTATATTTCTTTAAAGTAAAATAAATTTCTTTTTATGTTTATATTTAAGTAAATTAGTAGCGCACTTTTTATAAGTACTTTATTAATTTAATTCTATGTTAAACTACTTTTAATTATAGGTAGTGCATATATCTAACTTAATATTAAGTAGACTTTTATAAAAGTTGTTAATATAGCCTTTATTAACTTTTAGTATAGCCTAGTCTTTAAAGAATTTAACATTATTAAAATTTATAAGTACAAGTGTAGATAGAAAATTATACGCACAGCGCTTAGCATTTAAAAAGATATTTATGTTAATGTTCTTATTTAAACTATTACTAAGGTTGTTTTTATTTATACCTACTTTTTATAACTAAGAAAGTGTAGACTAAAACCTTTTTTATATTAATAGTAGCTTTTAGGTACATTACATACTTAAACTAATTAGAGTAAATAGCATAAATAGTATATTAAAAAAGTTACTTAATAAGCTAAAAATTTTATATTAAAAAAATTATTAAGGCGTTTATTATATAGAAATGTTATAAAGAAGAGAGCTTAATAAGCTAAAGTTTATAAAAAGTAATACATGTACTAGTTTTTTATTTATAGTATAAATGTTAACTTTGCTTTTTAATTAGTAACACTTTTAATATAAAGTCTTTTACCTGCTATTTCTTTTAAATGTGTTATTTGCCTAGTCTAATAGCGTAGAACAATAACAACATAGGGGTACTAGAGGAGACAACAGCAGGATATAGGGTTGTAGTCTGTTATTTGTAACATATGTAATATTAGTAAGAGCGCGCCTCTTAGCTAGCAGTAGAGGTATAGGGCTGCTCTAGGTAGAGCGCTTCCTTGCCTAGATTTATGTATTACAGGGCGCACATTAAACCTTTTATTAAAGGAACGTCCTGTTTTTCTGTAAATCTATAAGGTAATAATAATTATTATAAAGTAAAGGAGGTTTATTAGCGTTAAATAGCAAAAGTACTATGTTATAGGTTATAGTAGAAGGTATTAGACAGGTATTAGACAACACGCGCAGCAAGGTTTTAGTTTTTGCGTAGGAAATAATTATCTAAGGATCTGCTGTTTTTATGCTTATGTAAGCCTAAAAAGGCTAAAAGCAGTAATTCTTAGCTGCTAAGCCCTAACTAAAGAAAACTAAAGTCCACAGAAAGGAGCAGAGCAAGCTCCGCTAACAACAATACGTAGACGGATATAGCGGGTTCCTGAATGGCACCGTGACATTATTGAATGGCTGACGATTAGAGGTCTATCATCATAGTGGGCCCCTCAGCCACGCGCGGATCTCCCGCTGCAGGGTGAGCTTAGCCTATAGGAAAGTATGGAGAGCTTAGAAGTGCTCCCTGTGACGTCCAAAAAGGTAAACAACAGAGATAGGGCACAAGCCTTGTGGGACACAACTACTGTAGAAATGAATAGACTGTCTGGGGAGAAGCCTGTAGCCTGGTCACAAGGGCGCATCTATTCACCCAGCTCAGCCCATCGAACCTTCAATCTGATGGGACGCTGACGCCGCGTCGAAGGGACAACCCTCAGCCATAGCTCTCAGGAAGGGGTAGGATTCAGGGAGAGAGAATACGGTTATTGGAGAAGAATAAGAGCTTCATGAGCCTGTGAGGTTCGGAGGCGTGCGGCTATTTTTAGAATGTTTATAAAGAGGTCCGTGCGCATTTCGAAGGCGAACCACTTTCGTCACTCCACATCAACTTTCCTGCTCTCAACACACCGCTGTCAACAGCTGTGAGACATCCATACGAGCTCTCCTGATGCACCCGAATATAGTATTCTTGCGTGTGTTTCGAAATAGACTGCCTCTTGTCTCAAATGCTATTATACTTTCTGAACTGTGCACAGAACAATCATCAGTATCAGTTCTTCTCCATGTCTCTCTCCCCGCCTACGATTTTTGGCCTTCATGTGCGTTATTCGGTCGGAAAAGGCGGCAAGTATTTCAAGTGGCAGCAGTGTGATGGACTTGGAAAGGCGATAAAATATTCTCTGGAATACCACATGGGAGTCAAGATGCGCCACTTCACTTCAGTCTGTCTCGAAGCCTGCACAGCTCAGTGCTATACACGGGCCCTTGCCCGCATTGGCTCATCAGCCTCCACTAAATAAAGGCGGATATCTTCTGTTGTTCGCTTGCAACCCAGACACCCACAGGAAGTTAGAGAGCAAGCTTACTCCTTCTATTCCCACAAAGATGATATTGTCTGAGTGGTGATGTAAATCCCACCCTTTTGCTAATCATGCTTTAAAACCCTGGTGTAGCAGTCTAGCATATCGATGGATTTGGGGACATAGTTCGCCTCTACATCACCAGTGGAAGAGGGTGCAAACAAGATCAGAGAATTCATCTACACATCAGGTGCCTTCTTTAGGCGTCTAGATCCCGCACACAAATAGCAGCTCAGCCGGCAGCACAGCCACTACTCCGCACCTACACCGCTCAGGCGCCGAGAGCGGAATCGCGTGGTTTCCTTTCATCACCTCATTCCACCCCCTCAGCTCCTCCCCGGACCAATGAGGTTTACTCCGCCATCACCGCCCAGAACGCCTCTAGAGCAATGAGAACCCGAATTGGCTCTAACAGAGAAAATGAAAAAAGGACCTCAGGTCATTCACGCGTATTATGAAACGGTGGACTAGAACAGCCACCAGCCAGTTCCTATTTTCCTCAAGCTGGGCTGTGGCACGACAATTCCCTACGCTTCTGGCAAAAGAGCTTTGGCTTGAAAGGCAATATAAGTATTTGTAAGAGTGTCACCCTTACCAGTTCGTTCAAGTTCCTCAACAGCCAAAAAAACATCAATCACTCTTCAACTATCGCTAGACTCTTTAGCCTTTCTTCCTTTATTGTCTTACCACGAAGTTATTATCCACTACTTCTTCAGTATAAATTCTCTTTCCCCTCCATAATGAAGGTCACTACCTTCACATCAGTTGCTGCTTTCTTATGCGCCACAAACGCATTGGTGCTACCTCGATCAACATGCGTCAATGAGAACGATTGCGAGGGCGACCTTATCTGTATCGAAGGAGCTTGCGCTCCCCTCGGCCAGAACGGAGATCATTGTTCCAACAACGAGCAATGTGCAGGCGATCTCGCCTGCAACAGCGGTGTTTGTGGGACGGAGGGCAATGAGCCGCAGTGCTTCACCCACGACGACTGCGAAGGAGACCTATACTGTGATAACGGTAAATGCAAGGCTCTACTCAAACCCGGCGAGGGACCGTGTACGACGGACAACCAGTGCGAGGGTGATGTCGCTTGCAATGCCGGCATCTGTGGAACATGGATTCCGACTAGTGGCCTGAGCCCAGACTACATCTCTCTCTACCATGTCAACAACGGCTCGATCGAGTACCACACAAACCGCGGCCTTATTGAAAAGACGCAAGGCACTGGCAATGATGTCAGCACGCTCGTCACATTCACCTTCCCAGCAAACACAGCCGGCAAACAATGCCAAATCGTCCTCGACTTCTCATCATATCGGCACTATATCAGGAGAGATGGAAGTCAGAACGTCGACATCTTCACGTCTCTTTACCCCGCTACGCACTCGACCAGCGACTGGCCGGCTGGAAATGGCCGCAACAATCAATTAGGCCGCGTAAAGGTTCACGATTGGAGTGTTTCAACTGTCGAGTGGGGCAACATGAAGTTCCCTTGCCCAAGTGGCCAGACATTAGGATACGAGCTTGTTCCTACAGGCGATTCGCAGCATATCGAATGGTCTCTAGGACCAGATGGACCGAAGGTCGTGGTGACTAATTCTTAAAGCCAGGTTGCTTTGAAATGGTAGTCGTCCCAACAGATTGATAAAATGAAATGAGGTATGGTCAAATTTTGGGCATTTGATTCGGTGGATTTTGTTAGGTTATTTCCATTTCAAATAATGATACTTCAATTTAGTTTTCAATTTTGTGAAGTCTAGATGGGTGGGGCGCCCAACTGAACATGATGCCTCAACCGTGAGTGGCCACTGGAGATCCACTTCCTTCCCGAGGTTGAATAGTCCCTTCGAGGAAAGAGCTAATGTATAAGTCCAAATCAGTCGTCAATAGGTAACACTATTCTCACGCCGTCCGAAATTTGCCCTGAATTGGTTAGCGGCATGCATATCTAACGACTGACGGAGATCCACTTACTTTCTAGGTAACTAATCACTTGGCTATAGTCTTTACACACTACAAGTCCTGTCAACTTCCCGTAGCCATGGATCCATTAATCTTCGAGACAGTACGAGAATCTCTTACCATGCCGTCCACTCCACCCTCCATCACCAGCCCCCAAATCGTCTGCGTCGGTCACCTTATGTAACTCAAGTGCTAAATCCGCGGAGCACATAACCGCCTGCCGGAGGTAATCAATGCAATGGAAGAAGTGGGCGTGGTAGTCCTGGGGAAGGTCTTGGGTCTTGCCGGATATGATGCCGGAGTAGGTTCGGCCCAGCATGTACTATGAGACTCTTAGCTGTGAACAAGGATAAGTAGAGTAAATTCTACATACAACGCAGTGCAATTGATGAGTCATTGAGGTTGTTGAGAATGCTTGGCCAGGAGGGCCAAACCCTGTGCGTGCTGGCATTATTGTATTCCATCTAGCAAGGACCTCGTCGGTGAGGAATTCAGACGTGTTAGTTGGCACGAACGACATGTCTGATTCCCACTTGATGATCCGCGTTGCGACTAGCACATTTCTTAGTGTAATGTTCTTCGCAACCAGCGAAGGCTTCATAGGTATACTAACATTCTGGACCGTTACTAGTGAAGTCCTCACCTAATTGAGATGAGCCTGACGGAGAATGTCCCTTCGGATTCCGTACTAGTAACAGCAGTAGCAGCCCTAGAATAACAAGAAGCAGACATGTGTCCAGATATGTCTTGAGCAAGGATATCCATCGCCTCCTCTTCGGTCGATTGCCAATTCCTTCATCGTTAATTTCACGGCCGTTTTCGTATTTTAATAACGAATCATCAAATTCAGTGTTCGAAAGCAGATCGTCTTCGTCGTCTTGTATCCTAGATTCGGTCGAATATATTACTTCAAGTTTTTCACAATCCATATTCATCTTGAGATAAAAACCGAATGTAATGGATAATGAATGAAAGGCAGTGGAAGCACGCAGCGAGGCTGAACACAAGAACTCTAAGTAGAAAATGTTAAGTTTGTCAGGCCACTGTACTCGCTTTTACCGCACCTACACCTTTGCCGTTTGATCCACCGTCAACGAAACCCATTGTCATACAGCTAGCGCTCATTACCATACGCGTACAGGCCAAGTATCGTGATACTTGGCATCGAGTAGGAAAAGTTCGGCGTGGTTTGACACGTATCACGTTTCGCGTTAGTTCTATTCGGCCTAAGGCATTCGTGGCCGGGGCAGAGTTGTCGAGATGTGTGCCGTGAATTTCGAACGTACGTGACAGCTCACCTATGTAGTGCTATATTTTCGTATTAGACCCACTCTATTTGAGAGGGCTCGATATCTTGTTCAAGGACTTGGAGGATCTGATGTGCGCTAGTCTAGTCAAAAAAGGCACAGAACACACAGACTACCCATGAGAAAGGACATACGACCTGCGACTACGGGACCCTTCCAAAACCCTCCGCCTGCAACACGCAAAAAAAAAAATAAGAGTCGCCTTTGATAATTTCTTAGTTATGCTAACGAGACCAAGGACTTGGGCCCCGCTAGACACGCAGGGAGACCGAAGCTCAAGGAGCGATGCGGCAGCGAGTACTTCGACGCTGCTGCCTAACCTCAATCTCTCATTGCGACTTCTTTCTACTATACATTAGAACTAAATCTCCGAGAAGACGCGCGGTCGGGGTTGATTGGAGGACGATATTCCCGATGGATGGATGAAAACCCGAAGTGTACAAGGGGAACTTTGGTGGATGTATTTCAGCAAAGATTCATATGAACGGCGTATGTGGTAATGGGGATGTTTAGGTAGGTTGAGAAGGCGAAAATATCGTGTCTGAATTTCCATACTAGGCCTATGCGTGGGACTATGGGGTTTGTTGGAGTGGGGAGCAACGTGCCTAGCAGGCCGTACTGTACGATTGGAAATTTTGAGGCCTGTACGGACATGATTCTCTGCACGTACGTATTTTCGTGAGGAGGGAGGGCGGCTGTGCATACAGTAACTGCGCTGTTTAGGATTCGTTGGACAAGTAGTACTTTAAAACTAATGTACGTTGTAACAATTAATACGCCATACTATAGAAGAGGAAAAGTTAAGGGCCTAGTAGCTCTGTGTAAGCATATTTTCTGTAACATAAGCAGCTGGAGCTAGAAGTCGACTTTTTACTATTTGGTGTTTAATCGAGTGCTTCTACAGCCGTATAGCCTAGTTAATCTTAAACCTAGCGCTATCGCTTCAACTACGCTTCTCTATGTACTCTTTTAATCGCTTGTCACTATCAAGAAGTGTAACCATACAAGATAGACTAGCAAAGGTGTTGTAGATTGCCGTTACTTTCTAGGCCTCCAAGACTTTACAGGGTGTACAACAGCAACACCAGATTAACTTAATAAGGCCTATAAGGAAGTAAAGCGTGTATGTAAGCAAGTATGCAACAACATTAGTTAGTAATAACGTTAGGCATTATTCTAATACGAATAAGCTATACTATCTAGACATGAAGGCAAAATCTGCTAAAGCAGCTAAAGTAGCGTCGCACTCAAGATTTCTACTAATTAGCTTTTTGGAGTAGCTAGCATCTCTAGCAAGAGCACTCTAAAACGCTAAATTAAGCCTTACAAGATAACGCAAAATAGTAACTGCATACTATACTACAGACAGTACTCAGGTAACAGCTATCGTACGCACTGATAGAAGATCGCTGTATGTACGTACGGCTCAGATGAACTGTACACCGTACTAACTACTGTCAGTAGTATGTCCTATTTAGTACGTTGGTAGGGAGAGTGGAGGAAGGTGAATTTAGGAAAGGTGGGGATTGTCTTCCGGGTGTGCGAGCATGCGGGATGTGGTGTTTGATAAATTACCCAGGTGAGGTTAGTTAGACGGATGAACTGGTAGCCGAATGCCATTCTGGAGGGAGATAGAGTCGATCATCGAGAGGGGGAAGGAGGGACGGGTTCAGCTGATTGCGTATGAGAAGAGAGTGCAATCCGAGCAAAGACAAGTAGCTTCTGTCACGCAAGTCCTCTATTAAATTTTCTCGAGAATATAATTTTGGATGAATAAGATAATATTCAAAAACCGTGGGCAGCGGCTCCTTTCAGCAATATTAGGACTCCGTGGTTGAATTTTACACCAACAGAAAATGTGCAACGTGATAAATATTAGCGTCATTAAGATTGGAAGATGGATCCGCAACGTGGGCATTACCCATCTGGAGAGCCAAAGGAAGCTTGATCTGACTATTTCTAATTCCAACAATGTAGTGAATGGAGAGTTCCTACAGCGACAAGACACAAACTGAAGCCAGAAAAACAGATTTTAGGGCGCAAATTTCCTAACAGCAGACCAATTGGCAGTCAAAACTCCCATGGCAGCCTCAAATCACCCTATCAAACCAAATCAAATCGTCCATCTCCTCACAAATATTCAACCCCACCCGGGCACTAATCCCATCCTCACCAATCTCAAATTGACACCTCATCCTAGACCTCTCTTTTGTAATAGCATCCTCCAGCTCTGCCACAAACCAATAGTCGAAAGCGTGTTCCGTGACGTAAAGCTTGAACCCCATTGAACGATCCAAGCAATCAGCCTCTAAGTACCTCTGCTTGTACTTCAAATTGATCATGCGATACCCTGGATTAGTGTACATGCCAGCAAGCGAGGCCAGCGGAGGCGAAAAGATGTTTCCAGGGCGGCTGCGATCCAATAGCTCCGGGTATAGCTCTTCGGCGCTGACAGCTTGTTTTTTTCTGTCCTGGATCCATTCTTCGGTTAAATGGTGCCGCCAATCGAATCTCTGCTCCTGCGGTATTCCAAGCAACTCGTCCACTAGGTATGCCGACACTTCTTGGTGCACTTGCTCCGCACCCTCTGAATTACCTAGGATCACAATACCCCATTCTTGCTCTGGGATGTACAAAATTAGTGCCGCATTTCCGGAGACTAAGCCTCCGTGTTTGATTATCGTGAATCCTTGGTAGTACTCTACTTCTAGACCCAGAGCGTAGAATGTGGGCGAGCGGAATGGTATATTTTCATCCCCCTCCATAATCCTAGGCTTGATGAGCTCAGAATGTGCAGACGGCGAGAGAGGCGGTGTTTGTCGTAGTAAGCAGCATAGCCAGCGACTCAAATCTTCTACACTACTGAAAACTGATCCAGCGCCGCGACCCTCTGGTTGATTAAAAGTCTGCACTGTATCATAGTTTCCTTTGGAAGCTATCGGGAAATTGAACGGATCTTCGGCGAAATACTGATATCCCTGTGCAATATTTGCCCGCTCAGTTTCCGGGACAGACGTGATGTTAAGAAATGTTCGGTACATCTCCAGTGGGAGCCAAATGCGACTTGATACGAAAGTCGCGAAATCCGTGTGTGAGAGATGTTCGATAAGTTGGGACGCAGCAGTGTAGAGGATATTGCAATATTGGTAGTCGGTCCGTAAAGGTTTGTTCAATGGCAGATTTTGGAGGTTTCGAACAATTGAAATAGGCGTGTCCGGAGTGGATGCTGAAACACCGAAACATGATTCATCATGGCTTCTTTAATGTTAGTTCCTTGCTGTCATATTAAGGTAAAGAAATATACCCAGGTAAGCCACTCCGATGGCTGAGGATGTCTTCCACGCTCACTTGCTCCGTATACGCCTTATCTTCAAGCACGAAATCACTGAGTAGCCTAGACACGGGCGTTCTCCATTCTACATCTGGGAGTCCAGGATCATCAACTAGCAGTGCCATTGCGGCGGCAGTGAATGATTTTGACACACTTCCAATGTCGAATAGTGTTTGTGGGGTAACGGTCTCCTCGGCCTGCTCGCGGAAACCAGCATGACTGACCTTCTCAAACTGCGCAACCCCGTATCCCTGGGACGATATGTGCGCCTTGTCAACAACGCCAATGGCAAGGCCTGGGACTTTCCAATAGTCCATCGCCTCGGTGACTAGTTGTTCAAAGTGCGATTGCTCAACATTGGTGGAATCGAACGGGCTACGTGTTGGCATTGTGGATATCTGAGAGTCTTTTTTAAGGCGTATGCTAGTGTATGTCGAGGCTGGCGTCGGCTTCGGCGGGTGGTTGACAAATATTTTAGCCAATTGCAGTTCAGTGAATGGTGTTCTCCGATGTTTGAAGGTTATTCCTTGGAAAAGTTCGGAGTGAGAAGGGTTGTCCCATATCAATACGGAGCGGCTTGCCTAGTGAGAGATAAAATAATAGCTCAGTTGATGCATTGTTTGCGATATGGTGTTGTTGAGCGCGAGATGTTCAGGTATGGAAGTACATCAAAGGTCTCAGCCTAAATGTTGGATTCTATAATACGATGGAGTTCTTAGATTCGGTGAATGGTATTAAATAAATCACCATTATTCGAAATCGAAATCGAATCTCGTATTTAGCCCTTTTCTACAGCTTACTATCGCTGCTCTAATACTTTCGGCTTAAAAAGGGCGAAGGGGTAAGCAGCGGCTTGAACAGTGTCAATGGAATCATCATTAGAACAGACGAATACGAGGAAATCACAACAATGACAATAAATTTGCGCTTATTCTTCTCGATACGGAACATGAGGTCCCCTCGAGATGCCGCCCTTTCGGCATTAGAATCTGACGTCATCGGCGTCTTTGAACGCTCCAGACTTCGTTTCTCAATAAGACAGTGCTTCTATCTGACTAAACTTAATGTATCAGAAGCTATAGCCATGTGTACTGGGATAAGAGCCCTTGATCCACAACGTCTAAATGCGTTGTAGGCGTGCAAGCCTTCTCAAGACATGACGGTGCGAACACGGAAATGGCTTGGTCCGTGCAACATGCACCTGAGGTGCGAAGTTGTGCCGTAGAAAGGGCCGTGCCGAGGAAGAAGCAACGACACCTCGCATCTACGTGCATCATTCCAACCGGACATCGGCGTGTCACTGCAAGCCTTTCGTGTCTAGCCTCATAACCATGGGCGGTCCCTCCAATCGCGATGAGAGCTTGCTTCACTTCGTCTCTTGTCCCCGCTCACTCACCTGATACCTAAGCACAGCAAGAATCGAATACTTAAATGCCCTCAATAGCTCGCAGATTCTAGTAAGATTTCACCCTTTATTGTCCTTCTAGACACCACTAATAATGGCTATCCTTAACCTTCCTCTCACCTCGACTTCCAATCTCGTGCTGTGGTGCTCTGTAGTGATTGCCCTCAACGTATGTCATCTTTAACTTTCAACAAGTCAACCAAGTCTGATAGAATGGCCCCTTGCTCCTCAGTTTCTTCTTCTCTCTATCTATCGCGTATATCTACACCCTCTCTCTAAATTCCCTGGACCCATCCGCTATAAACTCAGCGGCTGGCCCCTCCTCTGGCAAGCCTACAAAGGAAACCGACACTTATTCCACCTAAAAGACCACGAGAAATACGGTAAATCCGCTTGCTTCTTCATCGCTCTCTTCAAGATTCCCCTCTCAAACCCCCTCCCAAACCCAACTCAAGCTAGTCATATGACCTTCCCTTCTCTTCTATCCCATCGCAACCACTCATCCCCACCCCTTAGGCCCCATCGTCCGCATCAGCCCCTCCACCCTCTCTTTCAATACCGCCCCCTCCCTGGCCACTATCTACGGCTCGCGAACTGTCCCCGTAAAAAAAGGCGAATGGTACAAAACCTTTGATGTTGCCGCCGGCACCTATTCTTCGTTCACTGAAACCGATAAAGCCATACACGCCACAAAACGACGATGGGTGTCTCCCGCGTTCTCTGATCTTTCGCAGAGGGCCAATGAAACGCTTATTATTGATGTCATTGAGAGGTTTTGTGAGACGATAAGACCTAGGAGGAGAGAGGGAGGGGATAAGGGGGGTTGGGGCGAGAAGTGGAATGCGAGCGTATTAACGACGTATCTAGGGTTCGATATTATGGGGGCGTTGGTGTTTGGATGTGATTTTAGGACTGTGCAAGAGGTGGGATATAGAGATCTTGCGGACTCGATATTGCCAGCGAGTAAGTTCTTGTATTGGGTTTCGTATTTGCCGCTAGCGCCACTCGTGCGACCTTTATTAAGAACAAAATTATTCGAGATATTGGGCGGGAGACCAATTCGAGATAACAATCGGTTGATTGAATATGCGAGTGCGCAGGTAGGAGCTAGAGCTAGAGGGACTAGAAATGAAAGTGGAGATTGGAGTGGAAAAGTGAACAAGAACGGGAACGACGAAGAAGCGGACACAGAGAGGATAGACTTCCTATCCCACCTCATCAACAAACCAGACCAGAAATCAGGCTGGAGACCCACGCGCGCAGATCTCGACACAGAATGTCTGAATATGATGAACGCCGGCGCAGATCCATTTAGCAGCGTTCTTGCCGGTGCCATATTCTATCTCGTACACAACCCGACCGCGCTGCAAAAAGCGACTGCAGAAGTCCGGTAAGTCCCCAAACCCCTCCCACATCTCCACCAACACCTACATCAAATAACATATACATTAACACTCACAGTTCGACATTTACTTCTCCGAATGATATTCACAGCGGCCCCCTCCTAACCTCATGCCTTTACCTTTCCGCCTGCATTGAAGAAACCCTCCGCCTCTGCTCTCCCGTACCCTCTCACCTCCCCCGCACCATCTTACCCCCTGGTCTAACAATCCCTCCCTACCCTCTCCCTCTCCCACCTGGCACCGTCGTTGGCGTCCCCTGCTACTCCATTCACCACAACCCCGTCTACTTCCCCTCCCCCTTCTCCTTCTTGCCTTCCCGCTGGATTGAATCCCCCTCTAATCCTCCCTCGGCCATCGAAGCCGCGAAAAGCGCCTTCGAGCCCTTTGGTATTGGTAGCAGGGCTTGTATTGGCAAGAACATAGCGTATTTGCAGTTGAGGCTGACATTAGCGCATGTCCTTTGGAGATTTGACTTGAGGGAGAGTCCGGCGGAGTTGGGGAGAGGGGGTGGGAGGAGGGACATGGAGGACGGGAGGAGGAGAGAGGGGGAGTTTCAGATGTGGGATGCATTGGGGTTTGGGAGGGATGGGCCGATGGTTGAGGTTAAGATTGCTGATGAGAGGGTGTGAGTGGAGGGGGAGTAGTAGAGTTTGTGAGAGTGTGGGAGGGAGAGAGAATAAATTTTGGCAGAATAAGCAGGCTGCGATAGGGATATGATGGACGGAAAGAAGTAGAGCAACACGCGGTCTGCATTCACGGACGTCAATTAGCTAGGTATCCTTTTCTCGGCATTATCCTATACTAAGCCAGGCCAATTAGCATCTCCCTCCCATTAGAGAAAGCATCAGCTTCAAAACAAACGATAAGCGATTTCAATAACCACCCTTCTTCCAACAACCCCCATTCTCTGAAAACCCTCACTTATCAACTCTCATTCACCCCCAGAAGCTTCAACCGCCTTTCGGTAAATCCAAATAATCCCTTATCTGAGCTAGCAAATACAACGCATGGTGATGGCCACAAGGCCTCTTGGTTTTTCCCAAACACCTCTGCACCTCATCCGACCACCTCTTACATAAGTACTGTGCCAAACTTTCGCTATCCGCCGTATCGCACACATTTGTGGCGAGACTAGTGTTCAAAGCCGCCTTGGTGATATTTTCCGCGCAGTGCATCTTCTGGTCCACGCACAACGAGACTATGTTCTGGATTACGCTGCAGGAGCGGGCGCTTGATAAATCTTTGCCACAGTAGCCCTTAAGCTTTATTTTATTGACTTCGTCGGTGCTAAATATGGGGAATTTGCGGCTGTTTCCAACTGGGAGGATGGGGCCCACGGGGACGGCAAGTCCGATAGTGTTGTTGGCGGGGGCTACGGATGGGGTTACAGTAGGAATTACGGTAGGAGCTACGGCTGGAAGTATGGCGGGTGTTAAGGCGGGAGTATTGGCGGGAGTATCGAGCTTGGTGATAATCTCTCGAGGGCTGATGTCGGTCGTACTAGAAGGCGTTTGAGGGCTTATAATGGCTGTGGATACGGCTATAATGGATTTAAAGGCCATATTGACGACCTTCATGATGGATTCCGTGTAGTGGTGCCTGAACGAAAGAACAAGTCGCTTTGAAAAGGGGAGGGGGAATGAGGCCAACAAGGAAGCTCCAAAAGACTCCCATTCTTTGGTTTAGAAACGATCATATGGTCCTAGTGCTATGTACGGCTCATGCCATCATACCTCAACGGTTGGCGATTCTTGGTACAACTTAGCTGTTGGGAACCGCACTTGTCGACGTCCCGAACTGTTCCTCCTAGCGTCTGAAAGATTTTTGGATATTCCATATAGCTAAATTTGGTCGATCCTTGGTGATAGCCGCGTACAAGAGTTTGCTGATGGCATTGATCCAGGGGTGTGAGATGGGGTTTCATCGTGCCTAGCACGTCAAGTTCGCAGATGTACCTTGCGACTAGTGAGTGTGTTCGAGTGGCGAAACTCACAACAGGCTCGGCTTCCTGAACTGGGGCTTAAGCGAATACTAAACAGGATAAATGTGAAAGACTATTCCAAAAGTACAAATGTTCCTCCTCTCATCTTATCTCGATGTGTGATAATGCTCAGAGCCACTCTGCTCATCTGGTTGCACATAACTCCGTCTTCGTACTGGTACTTCCTCATGGATCAAGTCGTCAATCGATTTGCCCAACATTTCTTCGCTCCAGGCCCAGAAATGCTTTACTTTGTAATAGGTGTACGAGATCGGATCCATAATGAAATGGTAAGCCCTAACCCACACCCACCAGGCAGCCCAAAGCAATGCAGAAATTGTCGGCACCGGAAGGACAACGATCAAGGCCAAGGCCCAGACAGGCCAGGCTAGACCCATCCAGAGTATCTCGAGCATACTACGTAGTTCCCTAGGCCTTTGGACCCTCTTGCATTCAACGGAGCGACCCAAGTCGTACCGGCGGAAAGCGAAGAAACCGAATTCCTTTACTTGTTTCGAAGGAGGAAAGGCTGAGACGTCATCAGTGAAGCAAAAATTGATGCTGGTGAGTAAAAGGTAAAGCATCACAAGGAGAGGGCGTTTCCGGGGCAGTATAGTCTGCATCTGCCTAGCCTGGTGTAGTCCTGGTTGGTGCAATATATTGAGTCCGTTCGTCCGCCTGCGAGCTGGAAAATAACTCCATTTGGGCTGGTCTAGTCTTCCGAAAATGGGATAGCTCTTCTTCTGGACGAGAACGGTAAGCAAAATCGTGAGCGTGCAGAGAACAGGAGTGTGCCAAAATACAGTACCTGGAGCCAGCCGTGAAAAAACACTGGGTTGCAGACATGCGTTAATACAATCAAAGGTGGAATGGGATCCGAATTGTGGGACTCAGCCCGTGCAGGACACATGTGCCTGCTGCTGCACGCCACACATTTTTCGTGTCGGCAGTCCCTACACCTCCTCACCGTAGCGTTTGCATCATCGAAGGCCTGTGTCGCATCGTTGAGGGCAAAATTCGCAGCGCGGGTTACATTCGCAGCTTCCATGAGCGCGTCCCTTGTCTCTGCTGTGCTGTACTTCTCAAGAGCCCCACGCAAAATCCTCCCTGCCTCGTCCCCCAGCCTGTCTTTGGCAGCAACGACGGAGTTCTGGAGAAGTTCATTCGCTTCGGTGAGTGTGTTGAGCCCCATCAAGTATAGGCCATTGATGCTCTCAGGTGTGCCCTTACTGTCCATGGCCATTTCGATGAGTTCGTCTGTGTCCTCGGGGTGACGTTCGGTGGCATCTTCAAGATTCGCAGTCCGTTGCTCCAGAGTGGAAATGAGGTTTCTGAGTTCTGCTAGTGGGGGGATTGAAGTTGCAGAGTACTCGGAGGATTGCTGGAGCTCTGCCATGTGGGGTGGTGGAGAATGAAGAGAGAGAGGAATTCAATTGCTCTTTGACGTGTAAAGCAGGTTTGGCGTAAATATTACCTATGTAGTCAATCGTGGGATGAAAGATTGAGGAAGGAGAGTGTGGAACAGGAAGCCTGAGTCGAGTCTGTCAACGGTGCTTTCTCTAAAACTAGGGCTGCAGCCTTTCGATATGGGTTCGTGGCAGGAGCGGTGTAAGATACATGAAAGTGGCGATAAGGGGTATTCGTAACATTCGAATGCAAAAAAAGCTATCGGATATGCATTGAACTATTTTATGACCACTCCGCGGTCCTATCCGGCTACAAAAACACAACAGTAATACAGTTGCATTTCTAAAATGCCATTACCCAACCAAACGCCACAACCATGCCAATACCCATCCTCACTAATCAAATTGATTATCCCTGTCAACCCAAACATCCTCCAGCTCAGCAAATGTGTGATAATGCAGAGGACGATGAATACTATCGTAGAACCTAGCTGGGGTGTCCATGCGCACGTGAATCGGCTTCTTCTCCACATTCGAGAAGCTGCTTCCCATGAAGCTATAGTTCCACGCACCGTTCTCCGGGATGAGGAAGTATCCTCGAATCTTGTCACTGAGTAGGAGCTGGCACTTCTCGCCAAATGAAGTAGAGAACCCTGCTGGATTGTCTGACAATGTGTCCCTGTTCTCGGCACCCCATTTGTATCCATTTGGCGTTAATCCCCAAGCGGCGAGGGAGACGGAGCCTGGTGTGAAGGACACAGTCATCGAAACTGTCTTCCTGTCCCAACTCGAATGAGCTTGCATCAGCTTGGCATGCTGAGTGACATCACTGGCCTGCATATACGGGGGTTCGTTCCCGCTGACCGTGTGGATGAGTCCCAAAGGTTCAAGGTCGTCGAGGTATTCGTGTTGGGGAAGCATCTGCGGCAGATGGACATCCCGTGTATTTCCAACCTGAGGAACCATGACAATAGCGCATATCTCCTTGACCTGGTCATTGTCTGGCGGTGACTTGCCGTACACATAGCCGGCAACCTGAACACGTAAGTCGGCAATAGTGATGAAGCGTTTGAGCATGTTCTTTGGCATGATGTAGGTGAAGTGTCCTTCCTCTTTGACATCCTCGGAATTAATGTAGATATTATTGGCACGAGTGCGGAGATTTGATGTTGCCACAGCGCGTGTGCGCCACTCTGTCTTAGATGCAAACGATGCCTGTTCGTAATTGGACGTAGTCGTGACGACGATCTCCTCGCCAAGGACATTTTGAGTCTTTGTCGTCACGGCTGTGAGCTGCTGCTGCTCCTCTTGCTGCTTGTCGATCTCGGCAGCTGCTTGACGCTGCATAGATGGCGCAGAGATCTCCATACCCAGAATTATGTCACGAACTTCGCTGCTGGTCAGCGATGAGGTATTTACGTTGTTCTTCTTGCCATAGTCATTTAGAATGAGATCGCGAAGTTGCACTTCAACTTTGATCCAATCTTCGTCAGCAAGAGATGGCCAAATATGATGTTCTTGTGTGATGACGGTCTTGTCCGGACGCAATAAAAGTTTCGTCTTGTCTTGATTAACGTGGAGGGCACGCAGGATCAAAATAAGTCGCGAGAATGCTGTGTAGGAGGAAATTGTCTTCAACCATTCATCGTAGAGATTAAAAAGTACCATCTGCGGCCCGGTAGCTCGGAGGATCATGTCGCCGAGCTTCTCGACCTTCATGGCAGCTTGGAAGGGGAGCTGGAGTTCTGAGGCACGAATAGAAATGTTGGGGAAATCCAACAGATGAACCTCAAGAGGGTCCAACAGACCTTTCCTGGTAACGATGAGTTGCTTGGGCTGTTCTTCGACGGGAAGTGATCGAATTAGAGCGGCAACTTCTTCTGCAGTCTTCCATTTTGCCAATTGACCAAGACGCTTCTGTCCGGCCCAAACGCTCGTGTGGATGATCTTGAGGAATAGTTGTCCAGTCCGGGGGTTGAAGATGAAGATGGCACCGTTGATGGGCTTCGTGGTCAAATTGCCTTCGAAAGTTTTGTGGATAGTCACACGGTAAACGTTGGTGTCGTCGATGAAAAGTTGAACCTGGTTGCTGAACAGCTCTGAGTAATTCTGGGAATTCAAGAACTCCTGGTTACTCTCCGACGCGTACAGTTGGAGGCCCTTTCGAATACGCTCACGAAGGACATACAAGGCTGGGTTTGCTTTCATGACCTTGGCCATAGCTTGTTGGATGAGCTGCTTCAGACCAGGGAAGTACTGTCCATAGGCTGAATATAAGTTGTATGCCAAGTCGATTCCAATCATCAAACCGGTCGCTGAAGGATATATACTCATGCTGTCGGTAGTATAATCGAGATACTTGGCGCGAACGTAGCGTTCGATGTCGTGGGAATCGTAGTCACCGTATCGGAGCTGTACGTCGATCCAGAACTTGTTCGTAGTCGTTGCTGTCATCGAGTCCTTGGTGTCGTACAGCAACGAAGGAGGAGAAACACTCCATTTGTGACTCGCGAACAGGAGGATGTCCGCACATGAGCTGTTCATCTTGTAAGATTTACGAGGATGAATGGTCTCCTTTTGGACGGTTTCGATTCCAAGAGCTTCGAGCTCTTGGTCAAATACTTGGCACAAATCCATCACTACGGATTCGTGGATCTTCTGCCACAAATGAGCACGGAAGATCTGGATTAAAGAGATCTTCAAGGTTGGAATCTTGCCATGCAAGAAGATGCCAGTCAAGTCAAGTTGGACCTGGAAGCCGACGTAGACGTTGGCTCGATTGATCGTAGGAGACCACCACAGCGTAAATCGGCGGTTGGGGATCTGGTTTAGACCCGATCGCTGAGCGTTAGTGAGTTTCTTGAATTTCATGGATTCCTCAAATCCACTGTTATGAAGCACAAGGTAGTCATGTCGCAAGTAGAGATGGTCTTGATCCACTCGGAAGCCGGCCCAGCCCATGGGCTCAGGTTCGAGGACGATATCTTTGACAACAAAGCTGTGGGCTTGAGGGATAACGTGTGCGACACCTTTCTTACGCGCGAGGAGACAAGGGATCTCACCCAAGTTGCCGAAGATCTGAGCAAATAGCTGAGGGGATTGCTTCGTTCGTGTGGAATTCCACATCATGCGCCGTGTGGTGCTGACGTCAAAACCCAATGATCGCGCTAGGGCAACCGTATCCCAGAAAAGATCTGAATATCGAATTTCGCTCAAGTTGAAGCCGAACATGTTCTTCGGGTAGACATACCAGCCATTGGTGTCAAGCAATCCTGCAAGGACGGCGAGACGAACAGGTCGTGAATTTCTCATATAGACCGGCGGGATACGCTTCTTGTCGGCCTCGAGGCCAGATGCCCCACGCGCAAGTTCGTCGAGCGCAAGAAGAAGCGTGTTAACAGCAGTGGCGGTTGTATTGCGGTCAACGACTTGATGCGCAAGTTCCTCTTCCTCCTTGGGCTGTAGATCGCCATATACTCGGTGACCGGACTGCAAGTGAGTAACACGTTTACTCTTAAAGCGCGATGACCGGCCGCGAATATCTTGGGTGGTGATATTTACGTTGTCACTGTTCAGATCCTCATTGTCGCTCATCTCGCCATCACAAGAGCCATCGATCATGTCCAAATCGATGTCCAAATCCTGCTCTTTCTCCTCTATCAGATCTGTGGCCTCAATTCTTGCCTTGGAGGAATCTTGCCATACTCGACTCTGGCCGGAGATGCGGTGGGGGTGGAATTTCCATCCAGCAGCAAGGCGCTGATTAATGATCGTCTGCCGTGCCTGGCGCTCGGTTGGCTGCTTAAGTACTTCAACGCCAGGAACAGGAAGGTGGAACCGCAGATGGAGATCAAGTTCAGCAGCGTAACAAGCGAGGAACTCTCGGACGACATATTCATGGTTGGGGTCGACAGTAGTACTACTAGGGCTACCATCTCCGAGCCAAAGCCCTAGAAAGTAAGGATTGACGGGCACGGCCAGCTCAGGCAGCTCAAAACCAGGAGACCTGAAAAGCAGATACTTGCTTCTCTCTGTGGGGTCGAGAGCGGCAAAGTCAGCGGCAATCATCTCAATAGTATCGTAGTGCTCAGATCCTTCGTCTTCGTTCCCGTGGCTCTTCTTCCGGTGTAGGACCAAGATATGATTTGCCGTCACAACAAGATCCTCCTTGTGAGCACCTACTTTGATGCGATAGAGGCGGTCTGTGCCTTTGACGACGTTGAATGCGCGTCGAGGCCCTCCATCTGGACCTAGCAGTAGATCCCCTTCTTTAACGTCTTCGACCGCAACCTTTGTACCGTCGTACCGCAGAAGCTGAGTCCCATTGGCGAGACAAGCCTTTTCCCAAAAGAGGCCTTCCCAGGAGGGGAACGCAGTGGCTTTGAAAAGTGTATGCTCGAGAATTGTCTCGACACCACCCAGAGCTTGAATGACATCGGTTCGATATGCATTCAAGTTCCAAAGCTTGCCATCATGGCGCTGGCTCGTCCACCAGAATGGATTGCTCTTCATATGCTGGTAGATCTTGAACTCCGTCCTGGCGCGGAATCCTTTATCGAAGCTCAAAGTGCTACGGTCCTTTTGGAAGAGTGTGTTGATACGAGGTAAACCTCTGTCCCAGCTGTCTTCAAGATCCTCAAGCGTCAAACGCCGGTTCTGTTGATTTGCCTCTTGGCGCTTTTGAGAATATTCCATCCAGACACGCTGTGAGTCAATGAACTCGGACTCCCATGGGATGATGTACCGAAAAATGTTTGGAATAAGAGTTTCCTCATCATGAGACATGCCAGCACGATAGTGCGTCACTCCAGTGTCAGTCTGTTTTGACCATCGCTTGTCGCTCGTTGGGATGAGAATGTGTGACCCAGAGATCATTCCCAACCCACCCAGTTCCTTGGGTGTGTAGAAGACAGCAGGAGGGAAACGCGACGGCATCTTCGAGTTGAGTCCGATCTTGACTCGAGTCTGGATCTTTGTCTCGCACTTGACGATCGTGTCTAGTAGATTTACAGTCGACACTGCGGCTTCGCGATAGTAGGTGAAGAGTGCGATGAGCGTAGTGTTCCATTTGTTAGCGATCTTGGTGAAGGTTGTGGAGCCAGAAGACATCAGAATTTGACGGATACGGTTGTTGAACTTCTGGATGTCTTCTTCAGTCACCTGCAGGAAAGCATGGGCAGTTCGTTCCTTCGTGGTATTATCTACGAGTGACCAAACACTGTCCTTGACTGGGAATTCTTCGCCTAAATTACGAATCTTTGGTAGAATGCGAACCTCGAAGCCACACATAGAGAAGAGGAGATTTGGATTGTCACGACTGTAGACACTAGCGAAGGTGTCATCCCATTCGATTGTTGTAACGGACCTAGGGAGGCGATTCTTCAAGTCCCAGAAGACAGCACGGCCAAGGTTGACATCATGGCGCATTAAACGCATTCTTGAGTCACGAGGCCAGCATTTCTTGTTGCGGTATCCAATGACATTTTCAAAATTCGGGTCGGGTTGCTCAGTTAAGAAACGCTGGATCAAGTCTCGAGATTCTTCAGCCGTAAATCGGAAGAACACCCAAATGCGATCGATGTATCTCGTATATAGCCGGATGGGGTGGCGTACCTCGGTCGCTCGGTCTCTGAACTGGAGGAAGTCATTCGGACTCTCTGGGGGACCAGCGATCTCATTTGCTCGCTGAAGACCAAGCAGGAGGATATCGAGAACCAAACCGTAGTACTGGAATACGAATCCTGAAAACTGGAGGCCTCGAATCATGCCATATACGTTGGTGTGATTCATGTCCTTGTAATTGAGCTGGACATTATTCTTGGCGGTAATGTAATCTGCAAGATTATGATCCATGATTAATCGCAGGAGACGATTTAACATGGTAATATCAATCTTTTCGTAGACTTTCGAGAGTTGTGTTTCAATCATGACGTTGCACTCGCCATCCTGATATTCCCAGACCTTGTCAAGGTTATTGATGCCTTGTGCCCATTTATATGTTAAAAGGGGTGGAACTTCGGAGTCGGAAGGCTTGATCCAACCCGGAAAGAGGTGACGCTGGTCGGCCTGGTACCACAGGTATTGATCTAGGTACGCATCGGTGATCTTCTCCATCGGTTCGATATCATAGACCGGATTGATATTGCTGTAGTTATCATTCATATCGATTCCAACCTCTTTGAAGGCTCGCTGGGTGAGCAAAAAGCGTTTGATCCTTGCCAGTGTAGTTCCAGGTGAATCATAAGCCTGCTCAATCAACGCAAGCTCCTCGCGTTGACTCTGATTGAGACGGCCCTTGACAGAGTATGCCTCACGAAGGCGCTCGAGGGCGAGAATGAGGATTTTGGTGTCGTGCTTATAGGACACACTGGGGAAGGGAATTGGCTGGAATTTCCTCGCTTCCAGCCAATGCACCATCGTCGTGTAGATAGCAACAGCCTCCTCGGATGAGACGTATGGCCCGTCCTTCATGTAGTTGTGCTGTCGTTCCTGCTCGGCCTTCAGCCATAGACGCGTCAGCCGACCCAAGTTCTTCTTCGCAACAGTCTTGTCCACGGTAGCACCTCGTCGGATGCGCTCGCGATTATAATGAGCAACTGATATCCACCAATCGGCTTTGCTCTTGACATAACGAAGGATGATGTTCTCAATGGGAGCTGGTAGACCAGGAACTTTCCAGGGAATATTACTCTTCCAGCATCGCCATGCCTCTGAGAGATGCTGAAGAACGGTGTTGACTTTATTCTGTTTGATGCCTTCTGGCATCATGTCCATCAGATCGGTCATGACAGCAGCACGGAGTTCCAAATCGAAATGAGACTCAACACGCTGTTTCGTAACGGTCTTGGCGACGCCCTTGCTGTGACGGCCTTCGAACTGACGCGACAGAAGGTTTCCTAGCCAGCGCTCCAGAAGAGGGATGATGCCACGCATAAAGAAAAGCCACACTCGCCAAGCTGGGGCCCAGAAACCGCAACCTGGACCTTTTCCGACGGGACCTGAGTTGAACCGATAGTAGATCAAATGTTTCAAGTCTTTGCAGGACCGAATTTGATGCATGAGCTTGTACTTGTATCGATACATACCCGTAAGCTGGCCAACATGGTTGAATGCATACAGAATACCATCCGCAAGCTGGAAAGCATCGATGTTACCAAGACGATACTGAACTTGGGCATCAACGATCAGCTTCGTCAACCGAAGAATTTCTCGCATAAGATGGAATGCATTTCCGAATCGTGACTTCTTCCTCTCTTTAGTCGTCAGGGTCTTGACTGGCTTTAAATTGAAGTTGAAATCAAGATGAAGATAGGTTAAGTTTTTCCGGTGGATCAAAAGATTCAGCATATTGAAGCCCTGTCGACAGACCTGGAGGCCGGCCTCAACCCAGTCGCAAGTTGTCTGCTGGAAAAATTTCGTCGTCTTCAGGGTACGCATCAGGTTCTGTCGGTTCATTGCCTTCGGTTGCTTCTTGTGGAGTTCATTGAGGACATATGTCTTAAGGAGCTTCTGGTAGGACACCCGGACTTTTACAGGTTGGCCTGAAGGCACGTGCTCGAGATACCACTGCTTGACGAGCGGTACGTCTTGGGCTCGCACCATTTTACCCGACCGCTTATCAAAAGGATGAGGGGCCCACCAGAGGGCAATAGCTGACGCGGTTTCATCAGTAGAGAGTGTCTCATCCCCCATAAACGCTACTACGTCATCAGGCAGCTCGAATTCCTCATCCTCGTTATTACCGAATCCAAACACTTCATCCTCGTGGCAGAATGTAATGTTCTTAGGCGCAACAGCTCTCTGTGAGATTGGATTTATGACCGGGTCGAAGTAGAACGCTGGGAGGCTCGGGTCTTCGGCTCGGACGTAAACTACCTGTGGATAGGAATACCAAGCCAACTCAACGCTGCGGGGCAGCGAATTGTATAGGAAAGGGAATGAAACGCGGTATTCGGTCCGGATGGGTGCTCGGAAAATTATCCGGTCGATCGCATTGAACTCTCCAAAATCTTCATCATTTGGATCAATGTCCTTGTAAAGTGGTTCGAAACGAGGCCCTCCTGGAATTGCCACATTCAAGGCTTTGGCTGTGAGAAAGCTGTCAAGGTCGAACATGTGGAAGTAGTTCTTGTCCACCAGATCGCTCAACAACTGACGGCTGAGACGGTATAGGGTCGCCATTTGGGGCAGATCCAAATGCCATTCCTTGTAGCTTGGTCCATTCACGTGAGGTGATTCGATCAGCGCTCGATGCTCGTAAAACCACTCCATTACTGGACCATCCTCACTCTCATCCAGCTCCAAACGAATCGGTTCCAGTGGGTCAACATCCTCGATGTTTTCCGAGTAGTTGAGCGGTGGTTCCTCGTCGTCAAACGGCGGGAACCTCATTCGCTTGAAGTGCCGTCTATCGCTCTTCTCTTTACGCATACACAACCACATGGTTGCCCATTGCGCATGAAAGACGGGTTCGATGACACGCGGAACCTCATTGACCAAGGTCAAGCATCCACTTGTATGATAAAGCACCTTCACCTGTCTCTCGCTCTCCCAGGGCATCGGCATGTTTTCCAATAGCTTCAACACGGCATGCGGCATGAATTTGAGAGCTCCTAGGTAAGCCCGTTTCTCACTCGTGAACTTCTTTTGTGAAACGTCTCCAATATCCCTGAAGATCTTACGCATATGCTCCGTGGGCATGTCCGTCTTTTGAGTCTCGATGAAACCAGCTTTTCGCTTCTCCCCAAAGCGCTGGCGCTGTATGCGCAGCCATTCTTTCTTCTTCTGCGCGAACTTGGCGATCTGGGGGTCGGAGGGAGGTCGAAGCCCGAGAGTTGGGGGGGCACCCAGTGCGCCGCCAGGGGGAGGCGGAGGGGGAGGAAGTCCGCCGGGAGGAGGTGGAGGGGGTGGGACGAAGCCTGCGCCAGGTGGTGGAGGAATAGACATAACGAGCGGAGGAAACGGGGACACAAGGGATTCTGTCAAGTAGAGTTACAATGGAGGCAGTTCGCCGACGAAGGGGTTCGCGATCGAGACGATCGAAGACGTCCTGAGGATGGAGGCTCGAGAAAGCGCAAGGAGGCTCGAACGAGCTCCGCGTCCTTGAACGCGCTCGAGAAACGCGCGGAAAGGAGGTAAAGGTTGCAGACTCAACAAATGAGAGTGAAGGACAGAATTAAAAGGATTCCCTTCACTCCGCGCGATGAGGAGGTGCTGCAAGGGGGGTAAAGGGTGGCGGTCGCGTTGGTACGGCGATGATCTCAGGATAATCTTTTTAGCTTTGCGAGGCGGCAGCTTCGTCGGTCACGTGAAGCTTGGCAGTCACTGGGCGTGATTAAGCGAGCCCACACTCGGCACGCTTTCGCGACAACAAAAGTTGAACATCGAACTTGACGACAGCCTTAATCAACCCAAGGTAAGCCCCGACCCGCTGCGTGCTTTTAACATTACGCCGTCCAGTTGCTAATATATTTGATCAGTTTCAGGTACGAATTCTTCTTCTCTAGCGCTGCAACCAGCGTGCACCCTCGATTCCTGCTCACCATCCCCTTGTAGAAGCCCTACGACCTGACTCTCTGGGAATATCGTCAAGATGCCGTCTACCAGGCTTACATACGTATGCTACCCTGCAATCTACCACGGATTAGGATAATATGGATACTTGGGGATGGACGCTGACAATCTGTTCTAGCGCCGACGAGCGCCCTATAACACCCGCAGCCAAAATGTCCGAGTGGTAAGTGGCCCTTGACTGCCGTGGGAAACTCTGTTGCTAATTTGTGTACCTCTACAGATCAAGGTCAGCACTTCTCCGAATTCCGATCCCCAAATGGATCCAATACTGAAATCGCCCTAGACTCCAGGAGGCACACTCCGATACCTACACATCAAGAAAAAGGGGTCCGCTCCCAAGTGTGGCGTAAGTGGATGCTCTGGAGTTTTCGGAATTTGGTTTGACCGTCAGCATAGGACTGTGGTATCAAGCTTGCTGGTATCCCTGCCCTTCGTCCTCGGGAATACGCTACCATCAGCCGCCCGAAGAAGACCGTCCAGCGTGCATATGGGTATGTCGGAATTTGGAATTGGGGATAGTCGGGATTGGTACTAAATTATCACTAGGGGTTCACGATGCGCCAACTGCGTCCAGGACCGGATCGTTCGCGCATTCTTGATCGAGGAGCAGAAGGTTGTGAAGAAGGTGCTCAAGGAGTCACAGCAGAAGAAACGCTAGAGGGTAGTGTCGATGGGGTGAGGCAATTAGTGTCGAAAATGAGGGCCATTGGTGTTCATGTGCATTACCGGCAGTCTCCTGGTTCAGGCCGGCTTTTTTAGGGTTCTACGAAATCAAGGCGATTTCAGCATCATACTTTCAAAATCCGCCACGGATGTTCGGCTGAGTAGAATCAAAGCAACTCACACTCTCCGGGCAGTTTGAGCCTCGTTAGTGCACTATGTGATAAACATTTCATACAACCGGGAAGATCACATGATATCCTAGCACACTTCTCCTCATCCTCCACCCAAGTCCGCACAGTTGCAATGGTCCCACCTATGACAGGCGTGGATTAGGGCAGCAACCAGCATCCTCTTGAAAATCGCTGTGATACCAGAAAGACGTGTAGCAGGTTGACTCCACCTACAGGTGTTCCGTAGGAAGCAACTACATCCTCTACTCACCCCATAGCAATTCCTTCGTTCTATCCAGACACCGTTGTAAACAAGGAGGTTGAGACATTTGTTAGAAATCCGTGTCACTAATGGCTGATGTCCCTGAGCCTTGCGAGGTTCGCCCGCGTGGTGCAATTTGAATATCGTTGAATATACGAAGGATCTGCTCTCCATGTCGGGAAAGCGAGCTATGAGAGTAGAGGGCATCCGGGAAGCAATGGAATGGGAATGCATAGACGAATGAAGACATTGAATTAGTTATGGAGCGGCAGACTGTTGAAATAAAAATGACCTCCGAATTCTAGCAAGACGCTTACCCTCCAACCACTCGACAGGGGTCATCGCCATCCTCTGTACGATAGGGTGACTCACGATGCAGCAAGTGGTGAATGGCTTAAGAGGGCTATCGCGGCGCCTGGAGTGGTTCTTCAACGCCCCCATGCTCACCACTTTCCCGGGTCCATTGGCTCCTCCTCGCGCATGCTGCAGTTCGTCGCTCACTGCCGAAGCGACAATCACATGAGGGCCACTTCATCGATTGGGGTTTGCGCGTGAGCTGGCGGCTCTCTACACTGTGGCCGAGCTGTTCCAAGGTTCAATGAAATTCGATTTTTGAGCCCTTGGAAACGCCCTCCCGAAGCGCGACCCAGTGCCGTGTGCCGATTCGGGCTTGATTCCGGGCTGACTGCGACCCCGCCCAATCCCCCAAGGCTGTCCTCTGCGATATCGGTGGCAGCATCCGGGCTCAAGCTCAAGAACATCACGCAGAATGCTCTCTATGTCCCCGACCACACCAGTAGCCCACAGCGCCCAGCTCTCATATGGCAACAGTCCGACGAGCGCACGCTCGCATGGCTTCAAGCGCCCCGCGTCGAGCGACGATGAGCCAGAGCATGGTGACGACGCGAACGGGCGTGCGTCACAAGCCAGACGGCATGCTGCCGTGAAGCGGGCGTGCAACGAGTGTCGACAGCAGAAGGTGAGCACAATTCAACCGTGGAGATTCATCAACCCATGGATTTTTTAGGTCCTGAGTCCGGCTGGTGCCCCCCGCTAACTCTGTCCTGCCAGCTCAAATGCAACGTCCAGCAGGATCCCTTCCAGAGCTGCGCGCGCTGCACCAAGCAGAACCTCAAGTGCGTCATTGAGCCCAACTTTAAGCGCGTGGGCAAGCGCAATCGCAACGCCGAAATGGAGAAGGAGATGATGGGATTAAGAGAGCGATTGGCGCACTATGAAGAGCGAGTCGCCCACTATGAGGGTAGAGCTCCTGTCCCCATCCAGCCCACACTGCACACGCCGCAGCACCCCGCGGACGGCCACGCGTTTGGGACTGGCCCCATTCACCAAGACGAAGACGATGCATATCTGCAGTCCCAGCACCAGCAGGTTGCTGCTACGTCGCTGCTAGATCTGCGTAGTGGATCTCCCATGTTCCATGCCTTGGGAGAGGTGAAGCTGGGGCCATCCCAGGTCACTGAACTCTTCGACGACTACTACCAGTTCTATCATCCATTTCTCCCGTTCCTTGACCCTATGCGTTCCCCAGATGAGATCTGCTCCAAAGACTCCAAGCTACTATTCTGGGCCATTATTAGCGTCGCAGCCCGCCATTATCAAGATACTGGGTTGCTCAAACGGCTGAAGGAGCCCTTAACCAACCTAATATGGCAGACTATTAGGACTCAGCCAAATCATCATGTCGTCAAGGCTTTATGTTTGCTCTGCACATGGCCGCTTCCCGCGCGGACGACTGTCACGGATCCAACCTTCACTCTTAGTGGGGTCATGATGCAAATTGCCATGCAGATTGGCTTGCATCGACCAACGCACCCGCAGGACTTTTCGAGAACTAAGGTGCGAGTTCGCCCAGAAGACATCAATGACAGATTGAGGACTTGGGCTGTCTGCAACATTGTCGCTCAGACGTAGGTATTCCGCGAGAGAAAGTGGTTGGCTGTCGATAACGTCTATGCAGCGTATCAACTGGGTATGGCCAGCCGTCCATCACCCTATACGACTCCACCCTGGAGTTTAGGATGGACGACGAAGACCACATGAAGATCATTCCGCCGAATCTCTTCGTTCGTCTGCGCCAAGAAATGGCTGCCAGCCGCATCAATAAGCTCCTATATTCATCGAATAGCGATCGGTTTTCCAACAACTCCGGTACGACGTACATGAATCTTGAAGCTGACCGTTTGAAAGAGGAAAGGGGGCTCCTTGACGGAGTGGATCGAGGTAAGCGCTACTGAAATAATTGAAGACTCGTGTAGCGGTGAGACTAAGAGATCCATAGAACTGGAAGACCTCCATCATCGTGCAGTAACGCTACATCTACATCTGTATTCCTGGTTCAACACTCAACCTCGACTCGAGATGCGAGATGACCTCGTCTCCTTATACTATGCCGCTACCGGTTTCCTCGAGAATATCTTTAAGCTGCAGAAGGAAGATCGACTCAAATATGTGCCGTATTATCTTATGCAGATGGCTCTTGCTGCAGGATTTACTCTTCTTAAGCTTCTTAACTCCGACTTTGCGGCGAGATTAAACTTCGAGCAAGGACGCTCGTTCGTGCTGCAGACCATTGATGCGGTGCGGAAATCCAAAGTCATGCCAAACGATCTGTTAGATCGCCACGGTGAAGTCTTTGCACAGCTTTGGAAAGAGAGCTCGCGCGGTAGAAGCCTCCACAGCATGTCGCAATCTCCCATAGTCGGAAATCCGAGTATGGCGACGATGTTCAACACTCAAGTCCAACCGCCACAACAACCACAAGGCCACCAGCGTAGAGAGAGTGCAAGCATTCTCGAAGATCCACTCCGCCTCATAATACGCAGCCGAATGAGTATGAGCGTAGTGTTTGACTGTGTGTTCCGTTGGCGCGAGTCCCAGCTTAGTGGGACATCGGCATCGGAGCAACTCGATGCAACGGTTGTCAACAACCCAACCAATCCCGATAGTTCAACCAACTCGACACCTCCCCCGGGTGCGATTATCGAAAACCCAGCTCATGGTCTCCCCAACTTCAATCCACATCTCAACACCCTAAGCATGCCGCTGCAGCTACCGAATGGGCTGGCAAGCGCAAACAGTTTTGAAATCTTCGACCCTGTCAGCTGGATGCTAGAATCGCAGAATGAGTGGAATCCCCAATATAACCCTGGAGCATTTTCTCATGATTTTGGTGCTTAAATCCGAAGGATATTATGCCTTCTTGCCCAAATTGCATGATGTCGAATTACCCAACACTTGAGAAGCTCAACAGGAGCTAGTCTGTTGAACATGGGATTGCTACCTATCAAGAGCATCACCGAGCTCAGCCAGAGTACATGTGAAGCAGGTTATTCCACTGAATCTGTCCTTCCAAAGCTTCCGGCCTCTCCGGCTTCTTAACAATAGCAGACTATCCGAACATTAGGCCTAAGCCCTAATCTAGCTTTTCTAAGGAATCTGGGTCACCTAATGAAAGATCGGGAAGGTTTCAGATGCACCGGATGCAAATGAGACAAGCAAATATTATCCAACTCCTTGTTTTCAAGATCTGCGCTTCCCGTGTACTACATGGCATTCCCTTTATACCCTCAAATTCTACCAATCTTGTCTTCCAATTTTGATGGGCTCATTAATTTTCTTTCGCTTCGCGGCTTTTTGGGTTGCTTTCCGGCTTGAACTGCTCTCACATAGCGTGGCGTTGCGGACTAGTGGGTTCAGCTATGGGATGTGCTTGCTCTCTATTTTGACTACCTTTTTGGGGGGGCAGGTACCATTTTATAATGTTGGGGCTAAACAAGAACGCGATATTGGCCTTTTTTTTTTAAATCTTTATTTATTATTCTTCTTCTTCTAGGGAACTGAGAACAGGGCTTCGTGAAGGGTGAATGGTGAGTGACACCAGTGCGATAAGCCAAGTGCCATTGGCGGAACCACTAAAGATTGTTTTAGGGAGAAGTTGCTGCTAGAATCATCCCTTAATTCTAAAGGCAATTGTATTGACTTTTGGATATATGGTATGACGACCACTCTATAGAAATGTAGTTGTAATTTCGAAACCTGCAAATCCACCCACTTTCATCGACCACGTCCGCTCTTGCCTTTCTTTTCTTCATTTAGTCAGTGTATCTACCAATGAAAGAGCGACCTGACTCTACAACAACGTTATTCGAAGCGCCATCCAGTCTTCTCTTCCACCACGTCCCGACAGCCATTCATTTCCGATGCCGATCATTATGCTCCCCGGTCCTCAACCAGTCAAGCCAACCCCTGAATCCGCTTCCAGCTCTCAACTGCTAGAAAACCGCCATCCGATATCCACACCCACACCCTCCGCAGACCTAGAGGTTGCTTCTTCATCTCCACAACAGCAACAATACCAACAGCCGGAACTATACCAGCCTCAGCCTCAGTCCCCCTCGCCACCTAACCTTTACCCACATCCGCCCACCACCAACCGCCGCTTAGCATCCCTCATCTCAACCTCAACTTCAACCTCAACCCGACACTCATCTCTCTCTCTCTACTCATTCTCATACGCAGTGTCCGCACACCGCCACTGTCGAGCTTACATCGCGGCGTTCATTCTTTCGCTGATAATGCTAGTTATTTTGCTCTGGCATATCACGCTTTTGCATTTGAAGGATAGTCCGAGTTTTGTGGATTGGCCGGGAAAATGGGAGACCATGTGGATGAATGAGTATTTTAGGTGGTGGAGGGTTGGCATTTGGGCGGGGTTGTTTTTTGTGGTATGTGACGGAGGGAACACCTCTGCCTTCCCCGAGCCCTTTGGCTTGCCTCCCTCTCTACGGACAAGTGCAAGGAGTTAGGAGACGGTCGGTTGTGAAGCAGCTCATCTCTTCTGATGCAAAAGGTTGGTATCTTCAGATATCCCGAGCTAACAACTTTTCCACCTCCCAGATCCCCCTCAATGCTGCCCACACACTCCTAACACTAACCCACTACCACCGGCTCCTCCACCACCCCCGTCCTCCCGTCCTCCTCTACACGCCCTCCCACAAACAACCCTGCACCCACACAACCTCAACCTGCCACACAAAAACCCCGATCTACCATCCATTCTACCATCCCTCACTCACACCCACCTCCCGATTCGCCCTACAATCGGGGTACGACGTCTTCATCATCGCCCTCCTCGGCGTACACGTTGGAGTATATTTCTACGATGCGATGAGATTGCATACCAAGTGGTGTTGGTGGGGACCAGTTGAGATTCCATCGTTTCTGCCGGGGCTGGGGAAAGTGGCTGAGGAGACGGATTTCGGAAGGATGTGTGATAGATTGGTTTATGAGATTTTGGAGGTTGGGGGGATTGGGGCAGGGATGGGGTTGGGGTTGGGAGTGTTGCATGTGGGGTTGTTGGGGGTTAGGGTTTGGGGATTCGCGAGGGCGGGTGGAAGGGGTGAGATGGGTGGGATGGAGGGGCAGGGTTATGAGAGGGAAAAGGGAAGAGGTGGAGAAGCCAAGTCTAAAGTTAGTGCTGGATCTGAGGGTGAGCGGCAGCACGAGGGGTCATGGACAGAGACAGAAAACCACCGAGTCAGACATACCGACAGGACAGCTAAACCCTCCCACTCAACTTCACCATCACAACAACAACAACAACAACAGCCAACATCTCCCGCCAACTTCCCTGCGCCACCCAACCCTACCCACGTCCGCACGTTCCACTTCTCTGACCCAACATGGAATCGTCCGATACCCGCAAATACTCCCCTCAGAACATCCTCGTCCACCTCGTCCACCTCTTCCTCTTCGTCCTCTTCGTCCTCTTCGTCCTCTACGCCCTCCTCCGAGCAATCCGAATCCGGATCTGTCCTCGGTGTCTTCCATCGGGACACACATCCCAGCCGAGTGCTAAGATCGAGGTCAGAAGATGCCGGAGGGAGAAGAGAAAGGGCGTATACGTGGAGGGAGGCGTTGTTGGAGTGTTTAGTTCCATGATATGGGAGAGAGTGTTCTCCTGATTTCTTACTCTGTACTATACATACATGTGCGTCGGATTGAGAACGAGAGAGGGAGAGAGTATGGATTGGATTGGATGGGCGAGGTTTGGTTTAGTAGTTGGTTCTAGAATGAAATTCCTATTTCAAAAAGGTGGATGTTTATTGAGACAATGGGGGGGGATCAAACGGATTGAAGTGCAGCGACGAGCAAGAGAGACAGCGCAATTGTTCTGTAACCAGGCCAAGACGCTATCTACAAGTGCCTGTTCCTCTCTACATAATACGGCTGCCCTTAGAAGAGGATCCACATGAATGCGACACTCTGCAGCAGCAGAACCAGGCTTACATATTCAAATAGAGGAGCCAACCATGGGCAAGCGAAATTAATGTGGACAAGATGATTGAACTGCGGAAGTTGGTTGACACCCACAACTTATGGCATTAGCATGACAGACTTCAATGCCTCACTCTAGGTGCCTAGTTACCTACTAAAGTACGTGCGTAGACTAGCCGGAGGAAACATTTGATCACACGGATAGTCCAGGTGAGAAGCCCTGTGGCTCGGCGATCCCGTGGCAGTGAACGCTAAGCCCGCCGAGCACTATCCGTGCGAGCGATCGGCGGTCCCAAAACGTCAGCTGTGTCCTAATCTACTCGTACCCCAACCAAACCAACCCTCGTTTTTCAACACTCCACACTCCCTTTTCCCGGCTTCTGTCTCTCCTTCCTGAGTTCCTTCTGTTCCCTCTTTTCTCTTCTGAGCCGAGAGCGCGCACGCTCTCAGCAAGTTCTTGCTATGGCGGGTGATCGTCCCCTCCTCTCCAACCGCCCGTCTTCCGAAATGTCCAACGACCGCGACCTCGCCGAAGAAGACGCTCTGCTTACGGGCCAGCCTACATCCCGTAGCGACTCACGTTCGTGGAAGTTCTGGCGGGAAATCGGTTTATTTGTATGGGCTGTCATTGCTACGGCAGCCGTGGTAATCCTCGCCGTCGTGTACCAAAAGAACTCCGATCCGAAGCACAGCGACCCGACGCCGACCGGCAAGCGGAATCTGATATTTATGGTCAGCGACGGCATGGGGCCCACGAGTCTGAGTTTGACACGGAGCTTTACTCAGTTCCAGAATGGGGTGCCGTGGAGCGAGCAGCTGGTTATTGACCAGCATTTGATCGGGCAGTCGCGGACGCGGTCGACATCGAGTCTGATCACCGACTCGGCGGCGGGTGCTACGGCTTTTTCGTGCGCGCTCAAGAGCTACAATGGCGCTATTTCTGTGCTGCCGGACCATGAGCCTTGTGGGACCGTGTTGGAGGCCGCGAAGAAGGCGGGATATATGACGGGCTTGGTGGTGACAACCAGGATTACCGACGCCACCCCGGCGTGCTTTGCGGCGCATGTGAACATGCGTGGAGAGGAGGATCGCATTGCTGAGCAGATGGTGGGAGATTATCCGTTGGGTCGGGTGGTGGATTTGATGATGGGCGGTGGACGGTGCCATTTCCTGCCCAACTCGAGCGCGGATTCGTGTCGAGAAGATGATAAGGATGTTGTTGCACTGGCGAAGAAAAACGGGTACAATTACGCCTCAGGCCGCAAGGAGTTCGATGCACTGAAGGGTGGAAAGGCGATTACCCTCCCGCTACTAGGCCTCTTCGCAGACACAGATATTCCGTACGAGGTCGACCGCCGCAATGAAAACAACATCTATCCGTCGCTCGATGAGATGGCGAAGGCTGCGCTTGTCGCTCTTAGTGCCGCGACGAAGGACAGCGAGAAGGGTTTCTTCCTCATGATCGAGGGCTCCCGTATCGACCATGCAGGCCATCACAACGACCCCGTAGCTCAAGTCCATGAGGTCCTGGCCTACGACAAGGCCTTTGCCAGCGTCCTCAAGTTCCTTGATAACGATGCGACTGAAGGCGTTATGGTGAGCACATCGGATCACGAAACAGGCGGTTTGGCTACCGCTCGACGTACGTAAACCCCTTCCTCCTCCCCTTCTCCTCCCCTTTCCCCTACACTCCCATCCCCGTCAATCCGCTAACACGCACGCTGCTATCCAGAACTCCACACCAGCTATCCTGACTACGTCTGGTACCCGGGTCCTCTATCCAACGCCTCTCACTCCTCAGAACGCCTAGCCCGGAACTACCAAACCTTCCTCTCCGCCACCCCTGCCCCTTCCACCGCAGAAATCACTACTTTCGTGAAAGACTCAATATCCTCTGGCCTCGGCATCCATGACGCCTCAGATACCGAAATCTCCTCCCTTGTCTCCTCCCCCCAAACCGCACAATACCAATACGCAGACATGATATCCCGCCGCTCCCAAACCGGCTGGTCGACACACGGCCACTCCGGCGCAGATGTGAACATCTATTCGTCCGACTCCCGCGCCACCCTCGCTCTGGCCGGAAACCACGAGAACACCGAGGTCGGCGACTTCCTCCGCGAATATTTGGGTGTGGATGTCGAGGCTGTGACTAGAGAGTTAAAGGAAAAGGGCACAGGACTTATGGCGCTGGGGAAGGAGGGCAAGGAGGTTGGGTGGATGGGCCCGCTTCCCAAGGAGGGTGAGAGGTTGGATGGCCAGGATCATTTGGCAACCTATGGTGGGGATCATAGAAAGAGGGGGGTTATGCATGGGAGGGATTGTGGGTGTGGGATGGAGTGAGAGGATGAAGAGAAGCCGGGGGAGGGGAGGGAATCCGGGTGCTTATTGTGTTATAGATTTTTGCGGCTATGTTGATACTTCAGTTTCGAGGACACTTCAGTTGCGGGGACACGGCGTTTTTGGAAGTTTCCTGGCCTTCCGAGGAGCGTGCATGATACCGGGTTCTCGGTTTGGCTTGGATTTATATATACTATTCGGGTGATTATTTTGGCCAGTAATGCACATGCGAATTTTGTTCTTTCTACAATTCATGTATTTCTTTCTCCATAAATCTTCCCCGTGCGTTCGTTCGTGCGCAGAACAATCAGTCGTTGAAGAAGCTCGTTACTACGCTTCACTCCACTTCTGCTGCAGTATAATTTCGGCCTTAAATTTCCTCATCCTTAACTACCTCAAACAATCAGCGTAACGGCTCCGTTCTCCTCCCTCCCTTTGCTCTCCCTTCACTCCCTCTTCCTCCCGGTCGCAATTATCGCCTCAAACTCCATAATGATATGGCCGCCCTCCCCAACATCCTGCACAATGCAACTCTCCAACTCCTTCGTCACACTCTGCAGCATCTTCTCCCTCTCCTCTCCCTCCTGCGCCCAGAACCCACTCATTAATTTCAACGGCATAAACATAGTCTCGCAGAAATCCTGTGCTGTGCCACAATTTACCTTCCTCTTCTCCTGCACCACGTCTACGTCTACAAATCCGCTATCTGCGAGTGTGCGTTTGACGAATGAGGGGTTCTGCCACTCGCCGCTGGTGTAGACTTGTTTTTCAACCTCGGTTTCTGAGGGACAGTGGGGGGGCGACGGGAGGCTGTTGATGGCGCGCACAACGAGCGGGTACCAGGGCAGGTAGGCCCAGGTTGTTAGGCCCATGAAGCCGCCCGGGCGTAGGAAGGAATGGCATTGCGTGAGGGTGGAGAGGGGCATTATGAAGACTCCGAAGTTAATGAAGAAGTGGGTGAAGGTTGAGGGAGGAAGGGACATGTTCTATGTATTTGGTTTCAGCGTTTGGTCTCAGCTGAGCCGCATGCCCTGAGATGAAATGATGAATGGAAAACTGTGGAAGCCATACAGCACCATCAATGACCCTCCCTTCTAACCCTATCCACCCCTGCTTCTTCGCCCGATCATTCAGATACCCAACCATAAGCTCTGATTTGTCACCACCAAGCATCTTCACACTGCCCCATTTGTCTTTCGGAATCCTGTCATAGAGCGCTGCTGCTACAGCACCTGTTCCACATGCTAGATCAAAAGCATTCACCTCGCCTTCAAAACTTTCCAACCCAGCTTTTTTAATCATGACATCTGCGAATGGTTTTGAAGCTTCTTCTGCTCGTTTATATTTCTCCACAATACCAGGGTCGTTCCATCCCGTGTTCGTTAGCTTGTCGATGAACTCTGCGGAGGGTTTGTTGGATTGAGGGGAAGCTGCCATGACGCTGAATCTTCTTGCACGAGAACTGACGGACTTGGAAAGAGAAAATCGAAACTCTTGAGAGAGAAGCTGGAGGAGAAACATATAATGCCAAAACGAACATTATCCATGCCACAACGCCTTTTAAATGGCTTGCAACTTCGCACGCTCATCAACCAGCCGCCTGCTGCTGACTGTGAAGCGGGACGCCTCACGATGCGAAAGTCCCCGCATTATCTCCATTGGTCAATTCGCAGCAGCGACTTGTTACCATTTCGAGCATTCTCTAAAACAAGCAAGTAGACCTTCGGAGACTTCAAAAAGTCTCCGAGAATCATAATAAGCGTGCTTGATCTATTCGCGGGGGACAAGAATGATCGCGTGAGTGGCTGACAATGCGTTCGTGAATTCTTGACTCGGTGCTGTGCCTTCCAACTCTATTCCTAGTCTTTCAGGTAGGCATAAGCGGACGAAAAATGTCTTTCTTGTAATCGATTAGAGGCGATAAATTGGCCACGGGTGCTAATGGGTTTTCTTTGCGTATTGTAGGTAGCCTTCTGTAGGTCACCGATCTTCTGCTCTGGCATCTATCCACTCCGTAAAGTATGCACAAGTACTCGCTGTGATCTCGCCCTCGTTTCCACACAGATCGAATACCGGACACGTTCCACAGGGCGCCTCTACAAATCCATTCATGCCGAACGAAGAATCTCGTGCGGTGCGATAGGTTGTGGCGGACATCTTCTCGAGGCGGCCATCGAGCGTCATCATATCAAGGAGCTCTTCCATGTAGCCCTCGGTTATACGCTTTTCCTTAATGAACTGCCCTTCCGTGATATATCGGAGAATGGACTTGGCCGACGGGTAGAGTTGGATCGACATATTGCGGGGAACGCTATGCATTCGCGGGTTTTCTTCAATATCTTGAGGAAGCCTATTCATCCCCACAGGCACCTGCTTCCACGTCTTCTCCCTCACATACTTCTCAACCAAATTCGACACGGCATGAATAAGTGCTAGATCGTATTCGCCGTCGGTTTGCCAAGGGCCTCCGGCGATTTCTGGCGAGGGCTCCAGATCCTTCAGAAGGTACATCTTCTTGTTGGGGACTTTGACGTTGGTGATGGCCTTGACCAGTCCCTTCGATTCGAGCGCTTTGAGTACCTTGTTTGTTCGCTGTGGGGTGAGACCAGCTCTCGCGCGCAGTGCCTTTGACCACACGCCATCGTTCTGCGCATCATCAATCATCTGATATAGAAGGCGCTCATCTGCGGACATCTGGCGAAGCCTACACTATTCAGTTTCTGCTTCCCGGTAGGAGAGGGAGTTGACTAACTTTTCGGCCTCTTCTCGCGTCCTCAACACCCAGCATGGCTGGCCGTCGTGCAACTCCAACGACTTCATTAGGTGTCTGTCAGTGAGCTCCTGTAGGAGTGCGAGAAGCTGGCCGGTGGATTCGGCAATCTGCATGCTAGCGAGCTCGCGCTGTATGAAGAAAGTGCCTTGCGGGGCCTCGGCGCACTTGCTGTACAAGGCATCGACCTTGCTGGGACCGACAGATGCGAGTGCGGACTCATCATCTGGCGGCGGCTCGGTCTTCGACTCAGGAGGCATCCTGCGTGAGAGAAGACCGTTGTGCTTCTGGTGGAAATAATGATGCGAGGGGGGATTGTAATGTTGTCCGAATGGTGATCTGTATTCGGATCGAGTGAATCAGAACTGCAATTGGATCGCGGGGAAAATTTCCGTGCATGGGCCCATCATCACCAAATCACGTGAGTTCTTGGCAACCCCAGCCTTCCCCACGGGGATATTCCCAGTTCTTCCCTGCCATCATTCACCCAACGTCGTTGACTTCCGGGTCGTTGCTGGGTTGTCCTTCCCTTCGTTCTCATGCCCTTCGTCCGTTGGCCGTCTCAGTGTGCACCACAGCTATTTTCTTGACTCACAAATTCACTCTCGCGGCTGACTCCTGATTCAGTCAAGTCTTCTGGAGACCTGCTCGGATCGATGATGATGCCCTGGCCTTCTGTTTTCGGGAAACGATTGGCGGAGTTGCAGTACGTCCAAATTCCTTCTCGAAATCTTAGGATGCCTCAAGTAGCGAACCGTCACATCTATAGAGCCATCCTTTGAGTCCATTTTCTCTCCTTCATCTTCAAACGGCTTTCAAATTGATGCCTTTCTGTGCACCGTCGATCTCAAGTGCTCGCTTTCGGATTCGTGGGATTGTTGAAATGCATCGAAAGCCCCCATGCGGGGAGATTCCCACCCGGGGAGTCTCGGAAATCTTCAACCGCGTTTGGCATCTGCATCGCTAAAATCATCCCCCAGACCTCGGGACCCACTAATTGCTCCCAGCTGATGCTTTCCCCGAGCTTCCGGGACTTGGACACTTTTATGAGTCTTACCCCCTATCATATCCGCCGAGGCGGCTTCCGTGGCTACATGGGACCAACGTGTCGGCTGCCCGAAGCTGTTCCTTTCTCTGCAAAGCATGGAAGGTCACTTGAAATCTTGACCAATCCTCTGTTCTGGAAGCATGCTAGCGTACCCCATGGGGAAAAGTGATCAGCCCTTAATGAACCCGAGGCATGGTCCCTGCGTGGGACATGGCCCGGCTCTGTGGGATGAAGTTGACAGCGTTATCCTTCTTATGGCCTAACTTTACAGGATTCCCCACTGAAAGCCCCGGAAATTCTAGTGGTTTAAGGCCAGAACTCTGGAGGGCCCATTGGGAAATATTAAAGGCGCCTGATATCCCCAGTCGCTCTCACTTACTCTTTAAACCGTGACACTGTGGTACTATTCCTTCGCACTTCTCCCAAAATCTCCCCGAGTCGAGCTCCTTAGCCAAGAGTTGAAGCATGGCAGGCGAGAAGACCACACACGAAGAGATCTCGAGTGAACACCCTCAAGTTCATCACGATGACAGCGGCCTCCATCACGATCATGTAGCCGCCGAGGCTCTTGGTGGACGTACGCATGATTTGCCTAAAGGATATTACTATAGCCCTGGCTTCATCGGCACGCTTGTTGTACGTATTGCCATGGAGAAGTATCCGGCTGCCCTCTCTGACAGCTTGTATAGGCCACGTGTTTGGCCCAGATATCTGGATACCTTGGATGGGTGCTTCCATCGAACACCCTCTCCTTGATTAACGCCGCCATCGGCCCTTCTCCGGATATAATCTGGGTGTCTATATCATGGACAGCCGGCTTTGCAATCGGCTTCACACTTGTTGGTCGACTCTCTGATATATTCGGGCGACGGTGGTTCTTCATAGGATCTTCCATCCTGAGCCTGATCGGAAACATCATTGGAGCTTCCGCGCAGAGTATTAATATGCTCATTGTACGCATACACATTCCACGGAATGTCTCTATTCAACTAACCCATACTAGGCCACGAACTCAATCAATGGACTCGCAGCGGCTGGTCAGCTCTCCTTCAATGTTGTCCTTGGGGAACTCGTGCCAAACAAGCTTCGTGGCCCAATTAATGCCTTTGTACTTTCTACTTCTGTTCCTTTCGCGGTATTTGGGCCCCCTGTTGCGCGAGCCTTCTACGAGCACACCGCGCTGCAGTGGCGTTGGTCATATATTCTAGGTGTCATTGTCAATGTCATCGCTATCACCTTATACTACTTTTTCTACCACCCGCCGACCTATGTGAGTGGCTCCGCATCTAGTTTATTGGAATTGCGACTGATGTTCGGCAGGAAATGCTTCACATTGGAGGTAAATCGAAGCTTAAGCAACTCAGATCTCTTGACTGGGTCGGTATCTTTCTCTTCACTGCTGGTCTATGCGTCTTCCTAATTGGCCTGAATTGGGGTGGCTCATCTTACCCATGGAAATCTGGACACGTCCTTGGAGCTCTCTTTGCCGGATTCTTTGGACTTGTCATCTTCTGCTTCTGGGAATCGTATTCGGGGCTTGAGTACCCTCTAATTCCCATGCGGTTGTTCAAAAATATCAAATACAATGCCATTGTGGCTTGTGCGAGTATCGGAGGGATGGTGTACTACGCGAATACCGTCATTTGGCCGACGATGATCGGAGCACTCTTCACGACGGATGTGACGAAGACCGGATGGCTTTCCGTAAGTTTTGCCTTCTCAAAGAACGCATCAATCTCTTGCTGACTTCTATCAGTGCGCAGTTGGTGGAGGTCTTCTCATGGGCCAGATCCTCGGTGGAATCGGCGTCCGCATCCTCCCTCGAATGAAGATCCAAATGACGGTCGCAAGTGTCATTTGTGTCAGTTTCGTCGGTGCAATCGCGGCCTCTAACCAGCATACAGAACATCGCACTGTTGGGTTCCTCCTCATCGGTACCATGGCCGCCGGATATATTGAGAACCTTACTCTCAGTACCATGGCCTTGGTCTGGGACGCTGCTGACATCGGCCTTGTTGCTGGTGTCATGGGTGCCATTCGAACAGCTACTTCAGCAGTCGCTACCAGCATGTACTCATCTATCCTCACCACCGAGGCTGGGAAGTACATCCCAAAGTATGTCGCCCCTGCTGCTGTTGATGCTGGACTTCCCGAGTCGTCTCTGGCCGCTCTCTTTGCTGGAATTACGGCTGGTGATTTTTCTGCGGTTCCTGGAATCTCGCCACATATTATTGCAATTGTAAGCGATCAGGTCAAACATGCGTACTCGCTTGCTTTCCGGACTGTGTTTCTCTGCACGCTGCCGTTTGGAGTACTATTGCTGATTGCAGCTGTTATTTCACCGAATGTTGAGGATTATCTTACTGATGAGGTAGCGAGGAAACTGCATGGCGCTGGGATTGAGAAGAACGAGCCAGTCGTGAAGAAAGAGGTTGTTGATGAGGTGTAAATTTACAAGAAGTTTTGTACTAACATCCTTTTCTTGTTAGCTCTGTGGTATAACGTACGAGCATCATAGACTCAAGAGTTTAATTCGGAGCCTAATTGAGTGGTGTTGCGGGTTTAAAAAGGGCGAGGCGCTCGTTGGTCGTGCGACGCTGGCACCATCTGGCGTGAGGGGAACATCGCCGATGCACCGCCGATACATTGGATAGACAAACAAAAGGTACTTTTGGGGATTTCAGAGACAATGTTAGCCTTCACTTCTCTCAACTGCGGGGCATTATTCTTCCGTAGGAGTTACCTACCTGGTCATACTTCACGTCCTAAACTTCCAATATTCTTCCAGAATTTTTCCATACCAATAGCAGGCGTCACACGAACCGAGAAACAATATCTCAGACGTTTTATGCCCCACTATAGCAGGTACATTAATCCCCGAAGCCATGGCAGTGGAGAAAGGCGGCTCACGTGCGGGGCTAAATGGCGCAACGCTGATAACCTTATCGTCACCGCTCTTCCTGTCGAGGAGCAATGCCCCTCTTAGAGAACCTCCAGCTCCCATCTTTGCAGTGCATACAATTCCAGCTTTCCTCTAGACTTTTTTCCTGAAACTCTCAAGGTAGTTTTGAACCCCGTCTCCTTTATCTTTATGCACTTCATCATATCCAAGAGTTTATTAGCCCTTTCTTGAGTTGTGAACACAATTCTGACTCTGCGTTTTACGTACATAAACCTCTCATGATTTTGATTTGATTTGGTTAAGGCGTCTTATTTGCTTTTTGCAATACAGGAGTCTCCGCTTTTCATGCGGAGAGCAAGTTTTCGGAATAACAATTACCGTTAGAAGGACTATCTCGGATTTCCTTTCTTGCATAGGTGTATATGGAAATAAAGCCTGCTGGTGATTCCTTGGCTCTGTTGAGAAATCTTCTTAAAGCAACAAGCATATAGCTGTCTCTCTACCCCTCTCTCTCTCTGGACCCCTGTCTGTTCTTCTCCCTATCCTGCTGTAAAGTTTTCTGAACCCTGTCTGTGTATTTGCCTACGGAACGCCTCTACCTTCCAAAATGTCCGCCGCAACACCAACACCCCTCGACTCCGGGCTCCCACCGCCACCATCAGCCCCCCAAACATCTCCCCCTCACCCTATTCCAGAACCAACTTCAACCCCTTCGTCCGCCCCCGCCACAACAATCCCTCCAAAACCGATTATCCTACACCTAGGAGACGATATCCGATGGAACCACGAGCTCTACGCTTCCCTGCAATCGAAATTCCAAATCGAAAGAAGCTACTCCCTGGGTCGAGAAGAGTTCAAGCAGGGGTTAAGAGAGGGGAGGTGGGGTGATTTTGTGGGCATGTATAGGCCGTTTTGGAACACGGGTGGGGAGATGGGGAATTGGGATGAGGAATTGATGTGAGTTGAATAATTTTTTTCTGCGGTTATTATTGTTTTGGGGGGTGGAGGGTTTGGAGGGGTGGTTGAGAGTGTAGGATGTGCGATTTTTAATTCTAGGATGGGAGGCAAGGGTACTGTCACGTGGGATTGACTAGACTTGAAAAAAATCTTGGAGCATGCGGGAATGGAGGCCTATAGTCTTTTCAGATAAGTACTTTTCAAAAACCCATTGGGGCTGATTTGGGACTAGATCGCTATTACCAAAGAGCTGTAAGATATACGCTAGTGCCGGCGCTGGTTTCGATTGGGTTGATACAAAGACTATGGCGGAGCATGGTAGGTCTCATATTCCCCTCCAGGTTCATTAGTACTATCAAATCCCAATTTTTGCTGCCTATTTGGGCCTCGGTCTTGATTTCCTTTACAAGTCCTCCGACATACGACTTCAATACCTTTTTACAATTCTGAACTCAGGTGCTGAATCCCCTGACTAACACTACCTAGGCGTCATATACTGCAACTCCGCCCCCTCCTGCACCGAATCTGTCGCCGATGCCGCCATCTTCCTCATCATATCTACCTTCCGCGCCATGGCATGGTCCTTCCTCGCCGCCCGCAGCTGCTCTCAATCTCAATTCGAAAACGCAAACCAGAACATCGCAGCCCAAACCCACAACCCCAACAACCACATCCTAGGCATCGTCGGACTCGGCAAAATCGGCTACCGCATCGCACAAAAAGCGAGCACAGCATTCGAAATGAAAATCTGGTATCATGATATCTTCAGGTTTGAGGAGAGGGAGAAGGATGTTGGTGCGAAGTGGTGTCCGACGCTGGAGGAATTGTTAGAAGGGAGTGATTGCGTGATTCTTGCTACCCCATTCTCTGGCGCTGTGCTGTTGTCTACCAAGCAGTTTGGGCTGTTCAAGCGGGGCTCAAGGCTTGTTAACATCGCGCGTGGGAAACTAATTGATGAGGATGCGCTCAATGTTGCATTAGACGAGGGGATTATCTCTGCCGCAGGGCTCGACGTTCATGCAAATGAGCCGCTTGTTAATGAGAAGCTGGCAAAGAGGGAGAATGTGATGGTGTTGAGTCATACGGCGGGGGCGAGCGTGGAAAGTCATATTGGGTTTGAGAGATTGGGGATGGAGAACCTGATTGAGTTTTTTGACGGAAGGGGCGCGATTACACCAGTGAATATGCAGTGGTTGAAAAAGGAGGAATGATATATTCTTGTAGACTCGGGCTTAGTTTCTTCAGAGGATATTCCACTCTATAGAAATCCAGCAGAGAGGTGGATTGGTGGAAAAAAGTATATCCATGCGATTTTCATTCATATTTCACCGCTTGCTATACAATACTCATTTTGTAACCCTTTTGTTCTTGCATCTTTCTCTCCCAGCGCTTCTACACTCTCATCCTTCTTCTCCCCAAGACTCAAATTCCTCTGCGCCAAACTCACAAAAGATCTCACCGCACTCAGCACCGCAAACGTAATCCAAAGTGTCCTCAAACTCCCTGCCATAACCTCCCTATAAACCTCCTGCACCTCGCTCGGCAACCCCTTTATTCTCTCCACTGGACCCTCCGCCGCCCGACTCCCAATCACAAACTCGCTCTTCAGGGCCTCAGTCCTTACATACCTCTGCACTAGTCTCTCCCACCTATTCTGAAAAATACTGCCGCCGATACCTACCCCAAAAGCCTCCCCAAGCGAGGTAAAAAAACTCACCATAGTCGTCGCAATCGCCTCATCCTCATCCCTCCAGCACACCTGTACCGCTAATATCTGTCCCGGAAACACAATCCCACCGCCTATTGCTAGGACAATCCGATACCCATAGGTTTCCCCCAGCGACGTGTCCGGAGTAAGTAAAGCCAGAAGTCCAATGCCAACACTCAAGCTCACCCAAGCTCAAACGTTGAGGTATTTGTAGTGTTTTGTTACAGCCATAAGGACGCCAAACATGGCCGCACAAAACGGAATCGTAGCGATGCCGGGGAGAATTTCAACCGCGGAGTGGAGAAGCGAGTGACCCCGTGCGATTAGGAAATACAGGATGAGGTAATATGCTAAGCCCCAGAGTACTACGCCATGTGCCCATGCGGAAAAATACCCAGATGCGGTGGTTCAAAAGCGGAATATGCCTGGCGGGATCATAGGCGCTGTTGCGAACTTGTACTCGTAGATGGAGGTTAGGATTAGACCGAGGATACCTATGATGAGGGCTGAGATGATGCGGGAGTGCGACCAGGCGTAGAGAGCGCTGCCGTTGGTGACGCCGTAGAGAAGGGAGATGAGGGTGGAAGTTAGGAATATGGCGCCGAGGTAGTCGATTTTGAGGAGGGAGAGGCGGAGACGGGGATGTGGAGGCAGAGGATGAGGCCGAGGCCAGTGAGGAAGCAGATGAGGAGGTTTATATAGAAGATTCTGGTAGCAAGGATTAATTTATTGCTGGAGTGGGGGAATTGGGACCGTGGCGAAGGAAGATACGCACAGTCTCCATGTCGACTTCTCTGCAAACGCAGCACCTAGGACCACTCCCGATACTAATCCAACAGCGCCAGCCAGATTGACAGGGGCAGCGTACGTCCCTCGTTCATGAAGCGGTACCATATCCAAAACCAGAGCGTTGACCATCGCATTGATTCCTCCACCTCCAAGACCTTGAGCCTAACACCACGCATCAGCAAACCCCCCCCCCCCTCAGCCCCATCCTCCTAGGTACGCACCACCACTCTACACCCCAAACCAACCACCCCACATCCCTCGCCGTAGCACACAACACACTCATCCCCCAAAACACTCCCAGAGCTCCCAGCATAGTCCTCTTATGACCCACCACCTCCTGCACCGCGCCATACAGTGGCTGACTCACCGTTTGCGCAAACAAAAACCCAGTCCCGCACCAGTATGCCTCATGGGAGATTGCGTGGAGAGATGTGGTGATGGCTGGTAAAGCTGTGGCGACGATCACCGTATCGATCGTAGCCACGAAAGTGCAAGTACATATAGAAGGAAATGCGATGTGAAAACTATGATTGCGAGGAGGATAATCGTGGGGAGAGCCATGGTCTGGGGGTTCTTCTGGAGCGGAACGTGGATTAGAAGTGGATGGAGATGAGAATGCAAGTCTTGATGCAGATGCAGATACTGGTAGTCTCATCGTCTCGTCCCCAAGCTCAGCAGAAGTTGCAGTGGAGGTCGAAACCACTCCGTTCGTAGAAGAACCCCCGCGTCATCGCTAATTAGCCTTTTCTCGTCTGTCATCGTGTTGGTTTGCGGCTCTGCTGCAGAAACCCGAATGCAAAGTCGCCAGTCCGTCGGCGACCAGACACCGGCAGGAACACCTCTCTCTTTCAGTAACTCTACCCTCACCTAAACGCCCCACTACTTTCCATTGCATGCTTATTAACCACATCAAAACACCCTCCCTGTCGTATGTTCATCAGCCCCGTCCGTATGCTGATGCTCTTTGATCACTCTGGTGCACTGTTCGTCAGCGCTAGTGAAGATCATATCGACAGATTTGTATGCTTGTCCGGCTGCGACTCCACTCTCCAGCTTACACACCACCTCCTACCTTCTATTAGGGATAGTGGTTGCGAAATCTGGTAATTTTAGGGTAGGACTGGGGATTTGGGGCGCTTTGGGGGTTAAGAAAAGGTGGAGAGTCGGTCGGGATTCCAAGCCTGCATGCCCCGGTGAGTTGGTAACGTTAAAGGCTACCGCATTGGGGTGTAAACTGCGATGGTGGGATAAGGTAAATTGCCGTGTGGTCCTCGAAATATTATGGCTGTAAGTTTCTCTTTTAAAGCAGTTGTTTGTCTCTGCTTGGCTATTAGTCAAATACCCCTTAACTTCACCGCCCCGCGGCTTTTGTCATTAACTGGAAGTGTATAATGGGCCTTTTGAATCTCCTCGAACCCCAAATCACAGAATTCGCACGAACGTCTAAACTCTTATATTTGCAAAGCTTGAATATGGAAAATTAACACTAATAATAAAGGATGGGATCAAATACAAAACACTTACATTCGGCTCCAACACCAAAGACTCCGGCAGACTCTGACTCACATAAACACAGCAGCGAAGATTCCACGCCAGAACTCACAAGATTCCACCTCATCCTCTACCCAATCTCCCCTCACCAAAGCTTCCCCCTACACCACAATAACCACCCTCAACCCTTCCGTCCGGACTAGACTCTGCACAAACCTCGACGCTGGTTTCGCCGAATCATATATGCTCCAATAAACATCTGCTTCCGACCCAGATCTCCTCAACCTCTTCCAAATCTACATCGCCAACTTCCAAATCCTAGGTTCCGGAAACCTGCTATTCACGCTCGCTCCCAAAATCTTCCGCTTGCTCCGCCCGTCAAAAGACCCTGTTCATGCGTTAAGAAATGCGAGTTCCCACTACGATACTAGCAATGACTTGTCAGGGGTTTTTGTCGCCGGAAATGAACTACAGCTGTGCCGACTGGAGTAAAGGCACAGGGGAGAGCGAGAGTTTAGAGATAGCGTAGATGCGGAAAATACGGAATATAATCGCCCTCGCGGATATCTAAACCTCGCACCACATCCTGGACATCGGCGGCGGCTGGGGCTCTTTCTCCATCACAGCCGCAAAAGTCACCGGGTGTCGGGTTACCGCGACTACGCTGTCTACCGAACAAAAAGTCTTGTTTGAAGAGCGGGTTAAAGCAGAAGGCCTAGAGGATAGGATCGAAGTCAAGTTATGTGATTACCGCAGCACGCCTCGACCCGCGGGCGGATACGATCGAATCATCAGCATTGAGATGTTAGACGTAGGCCGAAAACATCTCCGCCATTCACCATCTTTTGAGGTCGGGGGCGGAAGGGCAGTGGTGCAGGGGATTACGATGGTGAATAAGTTCCACACTTTCCGCAACAAATCCGACAACTTCATCGACCGGTATATCTTCCCAGGGGGCTACCTCCCCTCTATCCCGTATCTCCTCTCCTGCATTGACGTCGGGTCTTCCAGTCATCTGGAAGTCGAATCCGTGAGTTCCATTGGTCCCCACTACATCAAGATCTTGCGGCTCTGAGGCGAGAAGTTTGATCAGAATTGGGAGAGGATAAAAGAGGCGATGGTGAGGGGGAAGGGGGGCAGGTGGGGTGAGTGGGAACTGGAGGATTTTAGGCGGCGGTGGAAGGTATGTTGCAAAAATCAAATCCAGTCTCTCTAATGTCTCCTAACATACCTGTAAGGTGTCCTGGAACGGAGTGAGGAGACAGCCCGAATTTTTGATACGAAAATCTGTTGCATGAGCGTAATTGACCAGAGCTGACATATTCCTCTATGTTAGTACTACTTCCTCTACTGTGAAGCCGGATTCCGAGCTGGAGTTCTAGGTGGCCATGTTTATCTCTGCTGTGCGTAGGTCGATGCCGGAGCTACTACCTAAGGTTCCCTTATAGCGTGTTGGAGGGAGAGGGAGGTGGATTCAGCGTGGCCAACAGTACGTAGTACGTTACGTTTGAGCTTTTTTCTGCCAGTAACTTCTCAATTTAGTAGTACTTTTGTACGTAAGCAGTGAATTAATTAGCAAGTACGTAATGTAACAGTAACTTCTTAAAATCCTTATACTTTTGTACTTTTTATAAGAAGTTTTGTTAGTCTAGGTTAAAATTATTCTAGGAGAAGCTTTTTAGCCTAGATAAAGTCCTCTAGAGTAGTTAATTTACTCTCTACAGCCTTGTAACGTAACTAGTTCTTTTAGAGCTGCTGTAGAGCCTTAATTATATAACCTGCTAAGCAGTTTTTATTAATTATAACTGTCCTTCTGCTTTTAGAGAAGGCTCTCTTATAGTTGCAGCTTGTTAAGAGTATATAGGGGAAATTAAGAGTAATTTTAAAAAGTGTAGGGTAGAAGTAACAACTAACTTTAAGCTACTAAGTAAGAGGTAATTAGAATAGCAAGAATTCCTTCTTAGCTATAAAAAGGTCTTTAATGTAGCTGTTATAGTATTATAAAAGCTCTATTATTTTCTGCTGTTTTTTATATAACCTTAAGCTTGTAAGAAGGCTTATGTTAATAGAATACTTGCTACTAGAAAGCTTGCGCTAGTAAGGTTGTAGATCCTCCTTTTTATTGCCCTTTATTTCTAGCTTGTTAGGACAACTCTGATAAGCAGCTACTGTGCTACAAAACGCAGTCTAATTATTACTCTAAAACGCGACTTTAAACAAAGCTCCTAACGTGATAGCTAATAGGGTCTAAAAACAGGAGGGAAATCTCCTAAAATATAACCTCTCTGACCTGTACTACAGGACGTACTTGGCAATTCAGTGTACAAAAGTTACGTCTCACATTTTGACTACGTTTGTACGCCTCACGTGATTACTACGTTCACGTAGTTACGTTACGTACTACGGACTGTTGGCCACGCTGGGTGGATTATGGATGATGGATTGTCCTGGGCCGAAGGATAAGCGGGAAGCTGTATGTTAAGAGCGTGACAACGCGATCAATATGAAAAAGGTATCAATTGACATGACAGATGTAATATCGCGCTCTTATAGAGAGAGAGAGAGAGAGAGTGTGTGTGTGTGTGTGTGTGTGTGTGTGTGTGTGTGTGTGTGTGTGGAGAAGCGTTGGTGTTGCCCAGAGAACGATGGATGAACAATTCCCAATCTCGACCACAAGATGTTAGTCAGGGATGGCGGAAATATCTCACTGTACGTCAGCAGCTCTGCAGATATAACCACGGGCATTTCGTCGCATTTTGAGTCTGTCGTACATCCGTCGTATATACCATCGTGGCAAAACCTCTTCCCTAAGCCCTGGGTAGCTCTAAACCCTCGGAAACTAAGGTCGCATTCGCATATTATCCGGACTCATTGAATCTGCGATTGGAAATCTGAACACTGATAAATTTCTCATGCCCTGCTCTACGGCTCTTGTCATACACTCACTCACCAACTCTAAACAACAAGTAGTATCCCCAATCCTCATCTCATCTCATCGCAAAAGAATTACTCTACACCCGCAGCCCCCCCCCCCCCCCCCCTTCATTTCAACCTTGTTCCTCAATCCAAACCCTCATCTCTTCTCATCTTTTCCTCATCTAGTCCAATCCCCTGATCCTAACACGATGATATATAACCAAGAAATGAATACTAGCTATTCCCAAACAAGGGAAAAGAAGAAGAAAACTCTCTCACCGTCTCCATCCCCTCCTCCCTCGCTCAGACAAACAATCAAACATACAGACACTAATAATAATTCAGCGGTACATAGAGTACATGAATGGTATGGTTTGGTATCGTTCGTTCATTCCGGCGTCAAGTTAAAACACAGGTGTTCAATAAGAAGTGGCGAATCGAAACGAAGGAAAATGTATCCAAGTATCCAAGTAATGATTGGAATGGATGGAAACCCCAACACCTTGTCAGATCCAGGACAGCTGGTGGGGACAAAAGTAAAAGGTTAATGCGCTGTGTGACAATAAGTCCGAAAGTTGCGCTGCGTTATGTTGCGAATCGAAAATGGACGTGTTTCCAAAGGGGGTCCCTCCGCCACCAGCTGAGGCGTAATGATCCGTGAAGCTTAAAAATCATTCTTAACCGTTTGGTCGACAGTCAATTCGCCAGTTTCAATACGTTCGACCCTCAAGACGAGTTCCTATCGCTTGTTAGTTTACCGATCTTTTCTCATAATCTCTTTGATATCTAGCTAGGGAGAACCATACCTTCATAGCCCTCGCGGTCTTAAACGCAAGCGGAGGAATCCTCTCCCTCCCACCCCCTCTAACGTCCACCTCCAACAAACTCTGACGACAATCGTCAAGCACTTCAACAACAGGCACAGCGTGTTTCTTCAGCGCAGGGTTCGAGAGATCCTTAACAGCATCATAAGTTCTCGTCGCCGTATCCTGAACTGCGCGCGAGATATCCTGGATATAATCCGAGACTTGCTGTTCATCTGATGGCGACGAGACAGGAGACGATCGAATCATGTGAACTAATGGCTGGATGCTCTGGACGAGGAGCGCGGTCTGGTCATCGAGGTAGTTCTACGGATCGGTTTGTTAGCAATTACTCTAACTTGATAGGTGTAATAGAGTTAAAGGAAATTGTACCTTAAACTCGGTCATCCCGGTGTCCTTCTCAAACCCCATACCGTTTACTCCAGCGCTTTGTCGACTGTATCCGCCGTATGGTGAGCCGATGCTGCTGTATCCGGCCGAGTCACTGCTACCTCCTCGGCTGCGATGGCGCATGTGGCCGAGTCCAAGACCAACGCCGTTTCCGTTCACGCTGTTTGGTGTATATGGACTATAGGCTGTGTAAGGATTCGGCTTCAGGGGCATCGGCCTATCATCCTCCTCGTCACGCTCGAGCTCATCTTCGGGCGTGGGCCGGACCTTGACATATTTAACCAATTCAACAACTGCAGTGGAGAGGTGACTAGCAGCTGCATCGAGAAGGCTCACAGGGCTGAGACCAGCAGAGGACGCATGGTTCTTGCTCGCGGTGATGAGATTGTTCGCGGTAGCGCTGACACGGGACTTGAGCTTGGCTTGCTGTTTGTCTGGGCTCACGGAGCCTTCACCGTTGACGCTGCTGCTCGGCGACTGCAATTGCGAAAGTGGTGTGTGGTCAATGTCACCAGTAATTGCCCGTACACATTTCACGACATGCTTCATGCTCTCCAGGACTTGTTCTGGATCCGACCTCCGCGCCACCTGGAGCAGTTCGTCGATGCTTAGCTGGAATTTCGTGACATGCACATCCTTTACTAATCCGTCTGGCATGGTGAAGCTCGCGTCTCGGGTATAGTTGGTGATGTCTGGGGAAGCTAGCGAAGCGAGTCCGATGGAGGATGCCTTCAGATTCCGAAGCTGAGTCTTGGTGCGGGCATAGCGGGATTTCCAGTCTTTGAGCTCTGCTTCGAGGGTTGACACTTGATTTGCAAGTCGTTCTTCCTTTTCCATCGCAGCATCGCTACGAGAGGAGAGTGACCTCATCTCCTGTAGAAACAAGGAGGCATCTCTCCGGACCTCTTCGGTTATTTGTTGCTGCCCAATCAACTCCTTCTCTAACTCTTCGCACCGCTCTTTCCACGCGCCTCCATCACTAGCGTTGTTCTGCACCTGGCGAGGTTTTGATTCAAGGTCCGCTAACCGAAACCGGAGGTCTCGTTCGGTGTCTGAATTTTCCACTCGCATCTTCTCGATTTCAGAGCGAAGCGAGGAGTTGAGGTTCTCGGCCTTTTCGACTTTTTGCTCGAGGGAGTAGCGAAGGTCATCCCACTCAGCGCGCTCAGATGCAGTGTTCTACAGGTTGTGAGCACGACAACTTAATGCATGTCGGGGGCCGCAGAAAAAAAGAAAAAAAAAACCTACATTGTCTCTGTTCTTGTCCGCGTCCTTTAATCTCAAGATTTCTCCGTCTCTAGCTTGTAGCGTCCCCTCGAGCAGGCTTATTTTGTCTTGCAATTGTGATACCTGGTTCTCAAGGTCGCTCACAAGTTTCCCTTGCTGCCAACTGGTTAGTAGAGCTTCAGATGTGGCATTTTGGGAGTCTCACAGCTTCGCTCATGCTCTTCAAACTTTTACTCGTCTGTCGCCGGCTCTGCCTTGGCGCAGCACCCTCCAAATTAAAGGCGTCCTGATCGTCATCGTCGTCGTTCCCGCTGTCATCATCTTCCACCATTGTTCCCTTGTTCGGCACGATGGTGTTTTGCTGGAAAGTCTTTGGAAGCGGTCTCCCAAATTCATTGCTGTTCTGCGGGCCAGGTCCAGGCGCAAATCCGGGGCCCGGGAGTCCTGGGGGTCCTGGGGGTCCAGGCGGGGCATTGCGGAATCCTGGTGGTCCTGGCGGTGGACGACCTCGCATGCCTCCGCTCATGCTGTTCGGGGTGCCCACTCGACTTGGCGGTCCTCTGCTTGTGCTTGTCCGGCTCGCAATACTCGCAGCAGGACTTCCTATTCGCTCAATATCACCGCCGGTGAATCGTGGAAACCGCCTTTCCAGTTCGTAGTAGACGTCTGTAGCGAGTTGGCGGAACCTTTCGAGGGGCAGTGTGGACAGCTTTTGTCTGGCCTGATTTCGTTTTGGGTGGAAATTCGGTTTTGGGAGCAAGAATTTGGGCGTGTCGTTTCCCGGAGCGCCGGGCCCTCCCCGCTTGCGGTCCTGCTCCCGCCGCAGTGACTCGTCGTACACATCGGTGCTGAGTTCCTGGAATTGCACAGCGGATAGCCGCGTGAGTTTGTCCTTGGCCCTGCTTGGTCTTGGATTTCCTTTTTCGTCGTTGAGATAGGGACCCAGATAGGCCTTCAGGACGCGGTAGTGTTCTCCCAGCGTCTCTTCCAACATCAACATCTTCCGGTTGTTGAAGCCGACATCTGTCACGCTCGAGGCGTAGAGGCCGGTACCGTCGCTGGAGCGGCCGACGGAGCTGGGCGGTGAGGGGTTGCCATTGCTTGCTGCAGACCGGCCCATTCCATTGGGCATCCCCCCATCGGTGGTGCTGGTGCTGGTGTGAACAGAGGTGGGGGGCGTGATGCCGCGATTGTTGGGCGGGACGGTCGGGGAGTAGGGGCTGTCGTTGCCGTTGATGTTCTGGTAGCGGGTGATGGGTGACCAGTCGTTGCTGTCAGTCGAGACGGGCGAGAGGGTCCCATTCCTTGTATTCAAGCCGCCATTCATCATCCTGTTTCACGGCGTCGGGGGGCAGTCAAGGTGGGAGCTAGTAGCGAAGGTGTGTCGGGCGGGCGCTGAAGGGGGCTCTGAGAGGCGGACCATGCGAGTGTCGCGGCTTAGTGTAGGCAGTTGCAAACGTGAAACGGGGCGTGTTCGTGGAGACGGTGAGCAGCCCTCGGCTCTAAGCCGAAACGCAGACAAAGGACGGGACGATGCAACAAAGATGCGGATTAGGGAGCGTGGGCCAGGCACAGCAGCGGCGGCGTCTAGTGAAAGCGCCGGCGGAGCAGCAGCAGCAGCAGCAGCAGCAGCAGCAGCAGCAGCAGCAGGAGCAACAGCAGGAGCAGAGGAGGAGCAGGAGCAGCAGAGACAGCGACAGGGGCAGAAAGGAGCGGTAGAGGCGAAGGGCGAGGCAGCGCAGCTTGCAAGGCTCAAAGGAAGGTCGTTGGAGTTGGCCTGGGGCCTTGAGATTGAAAAAAAGGTCGGTGATGGGGCCCCTTTCGACCAGCCTTGGCCGACAGAGCGCTGGGCTGCTGGTTGGAGTCGGGAGCGCTAGGGCCAGGCTCAACGAATGGCAGTGCTCGAGAGACGGCGCAACCCTGGGCCTGCTCGCCGACGATGTACCCACGCACACGGCCTAGAGCTGCGTGATCCCTCCAGGAGCAACGGAAAACAAAAGTGTTGCAAAATGAGTCGGTCTGACGTTGTCTTGGAGTGACCGCAGAGCAAGACAACTTGCCGACACTCTCGACCATGGTGCGCCGGCAGTGGGCGGCACTGTTGGAAATTGCAAGCAACCCGTTCCGCCATCCCCCTGTCCTCGCAACATTATTTCACGGTCCATCGCGATTCGCACTACGGCTGCACACGCGATCAGCCCGCGCCCCTCGCTGCTCGTGGAAATTCTCATTCATGCCTTAAGGCTGCAATCTCGTGACGCTATCATACACTCTACTGTCCATGGTCCCCAAGTTCACACCGCAATATTGCTTCTCAGCTCTCTACCACAGTGGCCTATCCTTCGTGCGCCCCTTCCGCCCCCAGCCCAAAACCCAACCCACAAGGCTAAACCACCCTCCTCCCGGCGCTAAGCAGCATCTCAACCTCCGATAGCTCCTGTATGCAAGATCCAATGCCCAAATTCTCCGCAAAACCAAAGTGAAGGCGCAAGACGCACGCATCCTTCAGCGTATCTGCGCGTCGGAGAAGCACGTCGTAAGACGCCAATATCTCTCCGCCCCCCCCTCAATCATCAATCCCCCCTCCATCCCCCTCCATTCCCCCCTCCCCCTCCCCCCACCCCCACCCCAAACCCCAACCCCAACCCCTCCCTCACCGCGCCCTCTTGATCTTGTTTGCAGGCTGCTTCCTGCATTCTGGACACAGCCAGTCGCCCACCGGTTCCTCCTTGATACCCACGCATTCCCAATGGAACCACTGGAACTGGCAGTTGTCGTTGTCGCAGGCCACCATGTCGCCGAAGCTGACGCGCTGGCAGAAGCAGTATTTGGTGTCGTCGGACTCGTCTTCCTCTTGGTCTCCGCCGCCGGCGCCCGACATCTCCTCGTCCTCTGTCCCTGCTTCGCTCTGTAAACTCTCGTCGTCTGCCGTCGTGGAAGGGGAGGCCCTAGAGCCACCCTTCCTATGGCGTTTGGGGTTCTTCATACCAGACTTGGCAGCTATCGCCTGCTTCCGGAGCGGCTGCTGCGGCTTGGCCTTCTTCACCGTCAGAGCATTTTTCTGCGGCTTCGGCCCAACACTCCCCGCACGTGATCCTGGCGTCGAGGGCTTCGGCGTCCCGGGCCCCATTGATGAGGACCGGGCAAGCTGTGAGGAAGGCTGTGGAAGTGAGCCCAAACTAGCATTGAGGCGGCGCCGTTTGCTGTCGCTGCCCGCTGACATCTCGCGCTCTTGTCGCGCTGTGGCCTGTATTGCGCTCTGCGCGTTAGTGAGTCTCTGCTGGTTGAGGAGGGCTTGAGTCTGCATCGTCTGTAATGACGAAGGGTTCATCCTAGCACTTGCATTGATCGCACTGTTAAGTCTGGCAACAACCGTAGCTTGATGGAGGTTGGCAGAACCGCCACTAGTGTTTCCAGATAGTGGATGAAGTGGCGTATTAGCGCCTGTGTTGGTGACCGACGCTGGTGCCACCAGGTTGCCCTCGGACTCACGAAGCAATGATGGCATGCGGGGGTCTGTTGGGATGGACCCATCATTTTGCAGGTCGCGCAGTTTTATATCTAGTCGTTTAACGTGCCTGTCCATCTTTGACGCATGTCAGCCAAGATGTCAATACTGGCCATGAAGTAGACGGTACCAATGAGCAGGCCTTTTCCACTAGCGCGATTTTCTCTTCCTGTAAAACCTGGGCTTTGTCGAAGTTTTGCTGAATGATCTTTGCATACGGCTCTTCTTTTGGATTCTGAACGAGACTACCGTTAAGCTTGATGAACTTCTGAAGACTGCTATCACGCGCGTTGATGATGCTGCGACACTCGTTGATCTGCTGGTCTTTGGCCTGCACCTCTTCGTAGAGATGTGTTATCTCTGCCGGTAGATTTGCGACTATCAAAATTAGTACCGCTTTTTGCGAGGGCCAGATTAGAAGAGATCTCATCTAACCATCATGAATGAACTGTTCGAGAATGGTGGCGGGATCCTCTGCGATGGCCATAGTGATCTCTGACTTTGACACGGTCTGTTGCACCTAGTGGAGTAGCGTGCGGGGGAGGGGGGAAGGGGGGGGGGGGGGGGGGGGGGGGGGGGGGGGGGGGGGGGGGGGGGGGGGGGGAAAGGGCGTCAAATATATCTGCTTGCTCGAAAATGCTCGAAGATGATGACTTTTCGATGGAATATGATGGTGTTGTGATGAAAGTCGGCCTGGGAAGTGAGATTTCGGCGGCCGCAGTGAAAGACTGGAGCACACCGCAAAACCAAGTCCAGTGACGACACAACAAACCGTGGATTCTCTTTTCAATCGTTCCACTCTTATCCTTTAACTTCCTTACTTTGATCCCACTTTGGTCCAATATTCTCGATTTTGTTCACGCGGTGGTAGTTTGATGTTCAAGTTGAGGAGAAAGCCAAGACTAACAAAGACAGAACCGATCGCCGCCGCCAACGCCACCTTCCAAAAGAGCCGCCTCACGTGCAGAATTCGGTAACATGGCCAATTACAACACCAACGACGACCGGGATGATTCCTCCACCAGCGTCAGCGAACCACCTAAGAACGACAGTGGTAGCGACTTCGAGGACGAAACCACGCTCAAGCAGTTCAAAAAGGAATACCAAAAGGTGCAGGAGGAGGCGGCGAGAACTCCACCAAGCAAAACCAAGCCAGCAGCCAAACGCGCCCAACAGAACCAGGATCTTGGCATCTCTCGCCGCAAGACTAAGCCAACCTTCATCGGCGGTAGAAAACTTAGCAGGATCCCTTCCGCTTCATGTGAGACGTCTGAGGCAGAGACGATCATTCTTCCAAAGGCTGTTTCCCGCAAGATTCCCTTCAGGGCTCGCCCATCAGGGATCCGCAACTCGGACGATCCTGTGGGTCAGAAAGCCCGCCCTCGCAAAGGTCTTCGTCCAGGAAAGGTCAGGTTCTCTTTTGCGAATCCATCCATCCCAACTCCAAAGAACATACGCAAGTGGGTCGACGAGGGGCCTCCAGACCCCTACAGCGGGCCAATAATCAGCAAATTTGGTGACAGCTTTCTTGAGTCTTCCGGTGACGACAGCATTGGGCCCCACCCTACGATGAAGCAAAACGGTGCCTTCCCTGCAAATGGGTATTCTAATAATATAGTCGAGGAATACATGTCTCCGGCAGTAGATGGTCTATATGATGCTGATTTCGAAGCCTTTAAAGTGCTTAGTGATAAAGAGAAACGGGAAATTATCATCAAGGAGGCAGAGACCTTTGGCATGGAGAAACCGCAGGGATACAGCGTTTCTTTTCATTACAATCCACATGTCGAATACCACCACTTTGGAAGCTCCCATCCGATGAAACCCTGGAGGTTAACCCTTACGAAACATCTGGTCTTGGCCTATGGACTAGAATTTACTATGGATCTATATCAACCGCCACCCGCTACTTTTGAGCAGCTCTCGCAGTTTCACGATGAAGGTTACCTCGAATTTCTAAGCAAGTGAGTTTCTTCTAGCTAGAGAAGGCATCTTTAACATTTGCTAAATTGATCTATAGAATTACACCGCAGAACGTCGAGCACGATGACCCAAGCTATCTTGCATATGGCTTTGGTGGCGAATCTAACGACTGTCCTGTTTTTGATGGTCTATGGAACTATGTCACCCTTTACAGCAATGCTTCGCTCTGGGCCGCCAACAGCCTGACTAGCCAACAATCTAGCATCGCCATCAACTGGTCCGGCGGCCTTCACCACGCCAAGAAGAACATGGCCTCGGGCTTCTGTTACATCAACGACATTGTCCTTGCCATCCAGCAATTACTCACTCGACATCAACGCGTGCTCTACATCGACATCGACGTCCACCATGGCGATGGCGTCGAGCAAGCGTTTGAGTCCACAGATCGTGTCTTTACCCTGTCCTACCACAAATTCGGAATCGATAAGAACGGTTACCCTTTTTTCCCCGGGACAGGCAATATCCACGAAATGGGACCAAATGATCCTTCAAGTAGGGGCAAAGGACACACTCTAAATATCCCGCTTGAAGATGGCATCGACGATGATCAGTATAAATGGCTCTTCAAAACGATTACCGGCGCTGTTGTTGAGAAATACCAACCTGAAGCCATTGTCCTCCAGTGTGGCGCGGACTCGCTCGGTGGCGATCGCTTGGGGAAGTTCAACTTGAACATCAAGGCGCATGGCTCCTGTGTTGAGACGGTTAAGAGTTTTGAGAAACCGCTTCTGCTCATAGGAGGGGGAGGCTATACGCCCAGGAACGTCGCGCGCACTTGGTGTCATGAGACAGCTGTCTGCGTTGGAGCAACACTCCATAATAATCTACCAACCCACCTCCCATATATCCAGGCTTTCCAGGGCGATGAGAACGGCGGTGGTACACTCTACCCAGACCTTCATAACACTAAGCGTCACGATAATGTCAATTCAGCCCAGAAACTGCAAAAGCTTGTCCAACATGCTCTAGAAAACCTGCGGTATCTCGAAGGCGCTCCTAGTGTCGTAGTAAATACGATTGGCTTGACGGAAGACGAAATCATGAAAGTCCGAGAGGAGGTCGAACAGGAGCTTGAAGACGAGGCAGAAGATAGGGGGGTACATCTCAGCGTGGAGCGGAATCGGAGAACGAGGGAACGGAATGTTGGGGGACGCGGCGAGCGAGGACTGCGTTGAGCCTCTGATGGAGATCAAAGCGTCTTTCTACCTCTTGGGATCGTCTCAGGTTATAGCGGCGTTTTGGGTGTTTGTTATGGAAGGGGGAGTTTCTTGGTTAGCTGGCTTTGTACCAAATACCTATCGTCATTCCTGGTCAGGATTCTGTAATGGTTGGATAGAAGGCTTGGAATAGGCATCCATAACCAAAAACCACCAGACAAGCACCCCAATATTCCTCATCAGTGGCAAAGGTGAGCGAACAACTTGCGGCACGGCTCGGTGTGGGACAGGCCATCTGACCAAATGCGCCTCCAATCATAAATACATAGGACTTCGCATGGCAGACTGCAGGCCTACAAGCCCCGGTGAACCTTTTCCACTCCATTCCGAGCTCGGAAGCAAGTCAAGCCAGCCATAGGGCTAGATATTCTCCTTAGTTTCTCGCTTTCCGCGCATCCCGCAATCGACTCCATGCACCTCGTAGCTTCCAGGTTCCCGTCCCTAGGATTGTTTCATGTAAGCACTCTTTCTAGAACATGTTCAAGTGTGTCGGTGTGTCGAGTGGCGCGCTTCGTAGGCTTTCTCGTGCACGGAGATGATCATTATTTCACCTGTCAACTTTGAAATAACGAGGCTAGCGTATGAGAGTCTGCGTGGATCTTGATCTGGCCTTTTCATCGTAAATGCAACACAACCTTAGCGGAGACATATCGCAATGATTCAACCAGTAACGGGTCGAGAAGGCGACTGTTGCTGTCGGAATCCCACCTGCAGGATGCTACTCCCTCGCTGCATGGGGTGTGCTATTCAAGGTTGTCGGACGGAGGAACGGACATGATGCTCCATCTTCTCCGTTCCGGGCCTTCTCTTACCACCCCATCACTTCCCAAAAAAAAAAAATCGGCTAAAATGATCTCCCAGCCTTTGCTTAGCGATGACTGAAAAGCTGGAGCCTAGTGCTAGAAGGCAGATCGAATAATTTTTCTCCCTCCCATTTATGTTAGATACTGGAGACTATTGATGTACGAGATCGCACAAGCTTCGTACAACGCCTGACAAAGCATGAAAGGTTGGACGAGCTGTAGCGACAAATCGCATGGACCCTTCGTGCGCCCTACGTCCGTGAGCAGCGCACGTCCACTTGCACATTTTGGCCAAATAGGTCTGTCTTATTCGTGGGGCAAGTGGAGGCCAGCTGGGTGTTCCAACAGAGCAGGAGACTTTCCCTGCTAGCTAGTGGAGTGTTGCATAGCATCATCAGCGGTCACACTCCGGTTCGTCGGTTCTGGAGCACTTCAGCCCTGGGACTGGGATGAACTGCGTGAGACGGAGGACGGAAGAGTCAGATGATTAAGTTGAGCACCTGGCTGGGGGGAGAAAGGCGCCTTGAGTGAATTTGGAACAGGCGAATGAGGTTGTGAAGGGGAGAGGGGCGAAGGCTGGTTCAGGGCGGCTTCGTCAGCATGTTTGCGCCTTTCGAACTGGACACCGGTTCTGAGGGGTCGGAAGTTATCAGATGGAACTAACTTTTCCCCTGGGATTGCGAGGGATGGAGATGACGAAGGTCGGGCCGGTGGTAAAGGAGGTGCCGATTGATGGATGTTTTGATTCTTCATGCCCCCCTCATTTGGCACTCTCCTCCAACCTTCTTCCAGTTCTTCTCTTCTGACTATTGAGCGAGGATAGAGTTCTGTGTGAGCTGAGAGAACGCGTTCAATTACGAATATCCTCCCTAGAGTCACACGTTTTCAGCCACCGACGGCTTCATGCATGAGCGCACGTCGTCCTCCATTATCGGCGCTTTTTCTTCATCCAAACTCCGACTCTTTGACAGGGATCTTCCAAGTCCTATCCAAAATCTATCTCTGGAACCCTCAGCCCTTTTCAAGCACCGGCCACACCCCACGTTCTGCCTGACTGGCCTAACACTCCCAACCCCCCCTTCTCCATCTCCTCCCTCCTTTCCCATAGTTCTTCTGTCTGAGTGAGATGTCGGACGATATCTTGCATTCGCAAACCTCGCAACCCCGCGTCCAGAAATCAGGCTCGATGTCACATTCAGGGAGTGTGAGCGGTGCAAGTGGATCCCCGAACCCACGCTCTTGCGTCACATGTCGAAAGCGCAAGGTAAAATGCGACAAGAAGCAACCGTGTTCAAACTGCGCCCGTGCGAAAATCGAATGTGTGTTCCCTGGCCCGGGACGCGCGCCGCGCAAATCGAGGAAACCGCCCGATGGAGAGCTCATGGATCGGTTGCGGAGGTTGGAGGGTGTAGTCAAGACGCTGAATGCGCAGGTGGAAGAACATGAGCTGGAGAAAGAGGGTGAACAAAGGAGTAGACAGGGGAGTATGAGTATGTGTCCTAATGGATCACGGGAGAGCCCGAGCGTGGCGGTGGATAATAGTGTAGAGGGTTTGGAGAGTCGGTTTGGGAGGTTGGTGGTTGATCAAGGGAGGAGTCGGTATATCAACAATTCTTTTTGGGCAAGCTTGAATAATGAGGTGGGTACTATAAATATGCAACCACCTTTAGGAGTATTACTAACTGCATGTAGGTTGAAGATCTTAAAGCTATACTTATCGAGCCATCCGACTACGAAGACGAAAGCCATGATTCACCCGAGTCGTCCAACTTCTCCTCACAGCATCAAAGCTTCATTTTCGGGTACAGCTCGACGAGCGTGGACATGCTGGCCCTCCATCCTACTCCCGAGCGTGCCCGCGAGTTCTGGGAGGTATACAAGGAGAATGTGGATCCTCTGGTCAAAGTACTCCATGTCCCGTCTACCGAGCCTATGTTATTGGATGCCATGACACATCCAGAAAAAGTCCCCAAGGGAGTGGAATGTCTGATGTTTTCGATATACTACGGTGCAGTGACGAGTATCATGCCTCAGGAATGTCTGGAGAAGTGGGGTGAAGAACGCTCCTCCCTGCTCGAGAAGTATCGCTTTGCTTTGGAGCAAGCACTTGCGAGGGCGAATTTTCTTTACTGTGACGAGACCATTATACTCCAAGCTTTCGTCATCTTTCTGAATATCATCCGGAGGAATGATGATGCGAGGAAAATTTGGACGTTGACCGGATTGGTCGTTCGTATTGCACAAACGCTGGGCATACATAGGGATGGAAGCCACTTTGGGCTTCCGCCTTTTGAGATCGAGATGCGGAGGAGACTTTGGTGGCAGGTTTGCATCCTGGACGCTCGAGCGTCTGAGGACCATGGTTGCGATCCCACGATTGTTGAAGCGCAGTTCGACACCAAGATGGTATGCTATTTCATCACCCCCTGGAATATCTAAACTAACAGATGTAGCCTCTGAACGTCAATGACAAAGACCTCGATCCTGATATGACTGACTTCCCTCCGGAGCGCGTTGGTTTCACTGACATGACATTCTGCATCATCCGCTTTGAAGTCGCTAATATCTTCCGTCGCATCCTCTACATCCCACCTGGACCCAACCGATGCAATTATTTCTTCGCCAATCTTACAATCCCTGAAAAGGAGAAATGGATCAGCGAATGCCATCAACGCCTGGAAGATAAGTACTTGAAAGATTGCGATATGTCGGTGCCACTCTACTGGGTGACGGCGACTGTATCTCGTTTAGTAATGAGCAAGATGTGGTTGATTGTGTACCATCCACATCAGAGGCGAGATGGAGGTAAGTCCTCCACCTAGCTCCTGATTATACTACAATACTAACAACCTCCTAGGTGCATCGCTCCCCCAAGAAACTAAAGACAAACTTTTCATCACCTCCCTCGAAAATATTGAATACTCAATCCTCCTCGAAACTGAAGCCCGCACAATGAAATGGGGCTGGCTCTTCCGCACCTACGTCCAATGGCACGCTATCGCTTTCCTCCTCTCCGAACTCTGCGTCCGTACCAAGGGCGAGGCCGTTGAACGCGCGTGGCGCGCTCTCGAAGCTACCGCCGGCCGATGGTGGTTCCCGCTTCGTGACTCCAACTCCCGTAAAGGCAAGCAAGGATGCTTGTGGAAGCCGTTGCGGAAGCTCATGGCAAAGGCGCGGGCAGCGAGGGAGCGCGAACTCACTCTTGAACGGGCGAGTCAGGCGCTCAAGAATGGGGGACTGATGTACCAGGATTTCCCACAATTGTTAGATCAGGTTCAAGAACCAATTCCGACAGATCAACCGAACTCAGAGGATCTAGATAAGCTGTTGAGACCTACCGCACCCAGGCTGGGTGATATGCCTGTTGCGAAACCACCAAGTTGGGCGGGGAGTCCCAGGAACGGGAATCCGCAGAGTCCGTTCATGAATGGAGGAAATGAGTTGCTGGGGTTTGGGAAAAGTACACAAAGTGGCTCGTCGATGAATGGAGCGAGTATGAGCGGCCCCTCGAATTCGAACCCGGGACAGATGTTCCAAGACATGACGGAATACGGCTTCGATTACCTCATGCGCGATATCTGGCATGACCATAACTGGGAAGACAGTGCGCCTAATATGACTAATGATTCTGGGCGTATGATGCCGCATAGTCTTCCTAGTGCACCAGTACCAGAGACAGAGACAGCGACCTCAACAACCACCACGAACAGGAACCCAACAACGAATACGAACGCACGATTACCAACGGCAATGGACGGTATCAGCTCCAACGCCTTTACTCAAAGTCCCGCAACCCTCGCGGCCTCCGATTTCAACAACAGTCCCGCCGGAATGGGAGGAAGTAGTGGCCAGAGCTCTGATTCCCCGAATCTGGATGGCGGACAGATGGATTGGGCGAACTGGGATGATTTAGTGAGGGAGTATGGGATGGATGGTGCGCAAGGTCAGATGGTGGCTAATGGTGCGGGGCATATGGGGATGGTGAATTGGTTTTAGGGGAGTGGTTTGTGAGACTAGTGTGGGGGGAACGCTTGGGTGTATGGGTGGGTGGCTGAGTGGATGAGTTTGTATGGGATAGCAGATAATAGGAGTGGAGTAGTGGAAGAGAAAAAGAAGGGGATGATGGATGATGGATATTGGGTGATGGAGTAGAGTGGACGAAACTGGCTCATCACTGCAGATGACTTGTACGAATACACACAAAACGCAGCACGGGAGAGATGCAGGGATTTCAGGAGCAGACAAGGTAATGACTAACGATGGCGTTCGATCCCGGAGACTACCCCAGCTCTTTGTACGTGTCTTTTAGGGCATGGCATGGCACTCTGTATACCCATGGCGAATGGTCGGAATAAGTGGAATGTGTACTATTATTATGTAGCAAGATCTCCATTTCCTGAAGATTTCCTTGAGTGTAATGTGTTTACCTTCAAAACGGATGTTTGTGGGTCTACTGTGTGGTTGTGTTGCTGTTGAGGGGGGTTGAATCTATCCCGTAGGGCATTAACCTTAAATTCTGCTAGTGCTCGTTCATCCAAGCTGCAAATAAAGATATAGGTAAACGAAACCCTACAAACTTTAGAGAGTCTCATATACTCTATCTCCACCAAGGTAGTTCTGATAGCCTAATTTTCGGGAGGCGCGTACCATGTCCACGCCTAACACTTAGAGCTGAGTTTTGGGCACCGCCACACAGACAGCCTCACCAAGCCTTTGCCCCTCACAACCCTCCAGGATTCGTGTCATGACCAGGATTCCACGTGTCGTTCTGTCGTTCTGTCCGAAACAAAGGACCCAATAATTACCCACCATTCTCGATCCCGCGCCGCCATCCATTACTTGCATCGTTTTAGATGACGTCACCCCTCTCTTCCTTCCACCACGCCTCCTAAACAACCCGTGGACAGCTGCTCCTAGCTTACCAATACCTGAAGACCTTCCCTTTGTGTCTGTCTCCCGTTACATTTTCGCTCAACGCCAAACTCGAAGTCTTCCATGTCCGTCCAAGCCCCTTGCTTGAGGCATCTTGTTAATCGTGCTTTTAGCCTTGTTTACAAAGTATATCGTGGAAATTATGTTCCCAGACCAAGACCAAGCCCAGATGCAAGGTGGAGGTGGGGGTATTGGCCAAATGCAAGGAGCGATGGGACATCTGCCGTATAATGATCATGTGCTTACCATTACGAACGCGACTACCCCGGATCCGTATGTTATTTGCGAAGGTGGGATTTATTATATGGTAAGTGTGGGGGCTAGAGTGTGAGGGTAGTTTTGGTAGATATGAGAGGGGGTTGGGGGGATGGGGATGGAGCGAAGGGAGAAGGGGGAAGGGGAAAGGAGAGAGGGAAAGGGGAGGGGACAAGGTATAGGGGAGACAGGGAAGGGGAGGGAAGAAGAGGAGAAGCGGGGGAAAGGATTAGCATTGTAAGTAAGCGAGAGCTAATTTATTAAACAGACCTTTACAGCGGGGGATCGAGTGGAGATTTGGTCTGCGGATAGTTTGTTTGAGTTTGAGAAGAGAGCAAAGAAGGATGTCATATGGTATGTTCTCTTTCCCTCGATGCTCGAATTCCTTGTGACACTTCTCTTGTCTCCAATCTCCTCTACTCCGGCTGTGTTATCAGACAATCTGTCTCTGATTTTGGAGCATCTTGTTCGCCGGTCTCTAATATAGAATGCTTTTGGCCTCTGGAGCTCTCGACCCCTATTACTTTTCGGCTTTCATACCATCTCACCATTTCATTTCTTACTGTTCCTGTAGGCGGCCACCCCCAAACACACCATACTCAGGTGATCTCTGGGCCCCAGAACTCCACTCCCTCTACGGGCGCTGGTACGTCTATTTCGCCGCTGACGATCCCGCCCATGGCAACAAATCCCACCGAATGTACGTCCTAGCGGGCCCGCCATCCGACCAATCCCCCTTAAATCCCCAGGCCTGGAACTTCGAAGGACGACTCCAAGGCATACCCGAAGACCAATGGGCTATAGACGGCACCGTAATCTCCCTCCACGGCGGCCTCTGCTTCGTCTATTCCGGCTGGCCTCTCGGCGAAAATTCCAGCGAATCCAAGCAAGAAATCTTCATCATCGAAATGGAAAGCCCAACCTGCTGTACTGGCACCCCCGTACGCATCTCCACACCCGACCACCCCTGGGAATACTCGGGTAAAAGCGGCATCAACGAAGGCCCGCAATTCCTCAGCTCCCCCGACGGGCGATGGACCGGGATCGTGTATTCCTGCGCCGGTTCATGGACGCACGAGTATAAAATGAATATCTTGCATTTTGTGGGCGGGAATCCACTTGAGGTGGCGAGTTGGAGGAAATCTGGGCAACCGTTATTGATGGCGAGGAGAGATGATGCTCCTCCTTATGGGCCGGGACACGGGAATTTTGTGGTTGTGAATGGGCCAGCCGGTCAGGAGGTTTGGGGCGTGTTTCATGCGACAGATAAGAAGACGGGGTGGGAGGGGAGGAAGGCGAGGATTATGAGAGTGGGGTGGGGGGAAGGAGGGCCGTTTATGGGGAGTGGGGAGTGTGGGAATTGTAGTAATGATGTTAATCATTTTCTTTATGGGAGTGGATCGGCTGGAGGAGGGGGAGGAGGAGGGGGAGGGGGAGGAAATGGGGCTGGTGGTGGCTTGAAGGGGCTGAAGGGGTTGATGGGGCAGGCGAAGGGGTTAGTGAATAAAATCTTCAAGTGAACGTACGCGAGAGGGATTGGAGGACGAATGGTAAGATTTTGGAAGGCAGGAAGGATATAAAATGGTACGGTGTAGCCATTTATAAGGTAGGTATGAAAGCATTCTAATTGGAGGTTGCTCAATGGAATGCATAGCACCTTGTGTCTCCCTTCTCAGGTAGCAAAATCTGCACGAAAGGTCGTCCTTACTCCGGATCAAGGGGGATGATATTGATAGAAGTGGTTGAGCGTGATTGAATGCGGATTCGAATTAAGATGGCCGGCTTGCTGGGTCTGTATTCAGCTCGACTCCACTCACTCCTCGCAAGCATGGAAGTTAAACTGCAAAATCTAAGCCTACATATAAGAACTTTAGAAACTCTTGCGACTAATCCTATAGTAAGGGAGGAAACTTAGCCTATGTCTCCAGATCAAGCTTGGAGCATATTAGCAGCGAGCTTGTCGTGATCAAGAGTGTGTTTGAGATGAGAGATCGAAAACTCTAAGATTGAAAGTGCTTGCGGGTAGGGATTTGAGGAGAGAAATTAAAGTGTAAATAGGCTTCTCAGCTTAGTTCTTAATGCAGGGGCTCGAAAATCGATCTGAGCTCTTCAAACAAGCCGGCTGGAGGTTTGGTGTGCCGGTGGACTGGTGGGACATCATCAGGCTTACCGCATGTGGCCTGCCGAGGATCTTCGTCATCTCGTCACGATCGACATGGCGAAACGCCGCTCATGATTCTTAGGGCAAAGCTACGGGAGTTTTAATCTAATATACCCCAATGCAATCTTTCAAAAGAGACCGCTGATACATTCCGTCGAGCTGAAGATCTCTTGCAGCGCTGGGAAGCATTCTTCAGAGGCCTTCGGTGCACGATCCTCGGAACGACATACACCCTGGCTGGAATACGAATATAGAGATGAGTCTGAGCAGGATACTGGAAAAGGATCTGAAGGAGAAGCCGGAGAGGTTGATGATAGCCCAGAATCACTGTTCGAGCCGCGCTAGTTAAGCCTTGGGATTCAAACAAACCAAATTTATTCTCTAGAACAAAATTAGAAGGCCGGAAGGGCTCGACGAAGCCGGGAGAATTTAACGAACAGAAATTCTCACGAAAAAGCGAGAACGAGCTCTGGATCGCCAGATACAAAGAACGGTACTGTGCTGACTGACAATCTTTCCGCAACAGTGTCGGGATTCGCGGATTGGACCCATGACGGTAAGATTCATACGAGTCAGGGGTAAATCCAGGGAAACGTTATTCCGAAATCTGTGCTTTCCAATGCACCCCTAATTCCCGAATTTTCTACCTTACTATCATACACATCCACACCCTTGCAGAGAGGTGATAGACTTAGTCGCCAACCTCACTGAATCTTATACTACTCTTAACTCCTTGTAAGCCTTGTATCCCAAGTTCCTATTTACCATGTCACCACTCTCCACGCTCACAAGCGTGGAAACGGCTCTTAATAATCTTTTAGTTTCCCGCCGGGCCTAACTTGTCGACACACCCCTTGAGCATTTTCCGTAAACTCTTAAACCCTCGCATTAGATCCCAGCATCGTCTCTCCCTCTCGTGAATCCCCGGACCCGCGCCATCCTCTAGCAAAATCTTCACCATAAGGAAATGCTAGTTAAAACAGCTAAGTGCAAAGCAGTACGGCCATTCAAATTTCTCTGATTAATTTCCTTCCTATGGTTCATTCGATATATATTAAGGGGAGTTAGACATTTGAAAATTACAAGCAAAGTTTGTTGTGGATACTCCTCCGGGTCGCTAGCAAGCTGGTGAGAATTGTACAGTGCACTGATATCTGCTAATTGTGGAGCAATGGGAGGATTATAAGCGTAGAGAGTTGGAGGGCTATAGGTAGATTCTAACGCAGAGGACAGATGGATTTGGGCAGTTCTAGGCGGATTTAGATGGCGAAGTGTGTTTAGTTCGGTGTAGAATGAAGATAGAACAGTAGTATGCTATTCAGGACATTAAAGGGCTTTTTGGGATTGGGGGCGTCGAGGTCTAACCTGGGAATAAGATGTCTATTTCGTCTGTTCTGCCTCTGGTTCATCTGCGCCATAGAACTTACAATCCAGGATTGAAATAAATCTACCCGCAACCGAGCGTGATATTTCTCCATTATATCCACTGCGGCCTAAACCCTTAATAATCCCTTCCATGGACTTACCTCTAACTTCTAATCTTCTTTTATTCAAAACTATGCTTCCTCACCGTCGGCCCTAGAACCCATTCCTCTCCCTTCCCATCAAACATATGCTTCCTAAATAATTCAAATCTGCTTCATAAAAGTGTTTAGGTGAATCCAAACTCGTTACTGCTTTAAAATATTCTAAAGAAGAAGATAACGCAGGGACAACTTGGTCTGTTTCTACAACCTTGAGAACGGTGCGTCGGTGCGTTTGAGGGAGGGGTAGACGGAGCGGAGGGATGTTGCGGTAGCGGTGGAGAACAGGAGGTTTTTGAAAACAGAGTGGGATTTGAAGACAGAGGCTAGGATTGAGTCCAAGATGTAGTCTGCTTAGATGATGCGGCCTGCGCGCCAGATTTACCATATATTCGCGTAATTGATGTTCCAGCCATACTGTTTATCTGCTCTGAAAATGATGCTTGTGCTTTGGATGTAGTTTGCTAGACAAGCTGCATATGTGGCCTTGCGAAGGTCCTCGAGGAACACTTCTCGGTCTTTTTTGGGCCATACTGAGATCTTGGGTTGAAGACCCTCCGGGTGTGGTTTTGTGAGCAACCCCCCGTTCGTCGCGGTATGCGGAAGCGAGGCGAATGCCATGGGAGATGTTGGGTGTGAAGGCAGGTACGTGGAGAGCGATAGCCTCGGTATTGGACCAGATTCCTGTTCTTCCTTCGCTGGTGGCGTCTTAGACGAATTTTCTGGGATGGAGGAAATGACTAATTCGTTTTCGTGTGGTTTTTGGGATCGCGTTTGCGAGTGAGGTCAGCGCCAATTGAGAATAGCAGTGTGCCTCTCTGGTATCTGCGTTAGCATTATCCATTCCATAAGAAAAAATTGAGTTACAGGGAAAAGGGGAGCAGTCGGGGCCAGAGCATACCGTCTCCCCAATCGTATACCACTTTCTAAATGCATCTCCAATCTGCTCATACCCCCAGTCCCATCATCTTCATCATCTCCCAAACCTCACAAATCGCACTCATCATCCCGTGCTTAACCCCATTTTGCGCCATTTTAATGTAATACCCCGCGCCTCCCTTCCCAACATGCCCTACACAAGCCAGGGCTTCCAACGGGCCGTACTACGGTCCGTACAAAGTGAACCGTATCGGTCACGTGTTCAGTACGAACGTGCCGAGTTCGTGAGCCGTACCGTACGCTTAATGATGCTCTAGGTACGGTACGTAGTACGGATTGCATTACCCTTTTTGGAAGTTTGTATAGGGATTCTAGAGGAGTAGGAGGGCTCTAATTAGCCAAAAGTTCCGCGAGGACGCTTAAATCTCTTTCTAAGGGTTTTAATCTATCCACCTGCAGTCTGTTGTCTTAAAAATGCCTATTACAGACTATTTTCTATTACAGAGTTATCCATCTACGCGCCTTACTGCCTTATAGGTCTTATCTAGTTAATTAGATCCCTCTGTTATTAGTCTTGTAGGCTGCAGAAGTCAAAAGCCCTCTACACCGCGTCTCCTGCCTTATCCTGCGATAGTACACTGTCTGTGGCTAAAGATTAATTTTAGTAATACATAGCTATTAGACTTAAAACAGGCGTTGCCCTTAGCGCAATTAGGTTACTAAGTAAATAACAAGACTACGTTGCAAGGCAATTATACGCTGTTAAAGGTGTAGGCTTATAGCGTGGATATAACGCTTCTAGAGGAGCAGGATAAGGTAATCCGCCTCTAGCTCTGCTGTTAGTGTCATGAGTAGACCTCTCTGCTCTTGTTACTAGGGAGAATTAGTTATCTTATGGCTAATTAGACCTTAATCTTGCGTCTCTAGAGACCTATAGTCTTAGCTGTTTTAACTAGAGTACAGCGTACTTTAATTGAATTGCACTACTCGTACAGATCACGTGAGCCGTACCGGTTACAATACGTACACCTACCGCTCCTCCTCCCTGTTGTACGAACGTACACAAAATCTCACCCGTACAGGCCTCAAAATCGCCCAATCGTACAGTACTACGCCTCGTACACAAGGCTTCATACTTCACTGCAACCCTCTCTGACAACGGTAGAATATTGCTGATAGCGGACTCGCCGCCGCCAGGGCATATAGATGATCCAGCGCGTGTCGCTTGGTACCCGTCTGACACGCCGCATTCGATGTAGTGGATGCCAGAGGGAGCATATTTCTTTTGCCGACGCTCAGAGCTGGCGTAGTGTTCGTTGCCACAGTCGAGGATGATGTCGGCGACGGAGAGGTAGGGTGAGAGGTTTGCGAGGACTTTGTCGCCGATGGTACAGTGGGGAAAGGAGAAGATGATGAGACGTGGTGTGTAGAGTGATTTACATAGACTTTTGTAATCTGGCAACACCTCATCATTAGTGTCCTATCTACGTATCTCTTGGGTAGCAATGCAGTGTACGATTTGATACACATGTGAAGGTTATTTCAGCTCACTGTTAAAACCTCTAACCCTCCCATAATATCCCGCCTCCAGAACACTCTTCATAACACTATCCATCGCGCTTTCTGACGAATCCGACAAGCTTACATTCAGTCCGACTTCTGCAAACCGCAATGCCATCCCGCCACTCATGCTACCACAGCCAATGATAGCAATATGAATCCATCATCAAGTTCCAATATCTAAATCGGGACTGTAGTCACACTTACCGACATGAGCTCTGGACTCTCTGGCATACTAACATTTTGTCTCCTGCTAAAACCAAAGCTAAGGTCCGTCGCTAATAGGAAACTCGAAACGAAAATGGTGAAATACAAATAAGTGAAAGAAGAAAAAGGAGGAAGGGAGGGCTCATTGTAGTGCAGCTAACCGTCTAGCGTTACGCCGGGGTTGAAGGTTCTATAGTGAAACGAAGATGGCCAGAGAATAGGATGAGGGTGAACGGAGGCCGTTACAGGTGTACATTGTGGCGCCGACGGGGCACAAGGGATACGCTTTCGACCAAGCAAAAAGGGGATTGGATGGACGGGGTATGTGGTAGTTCTCAACACCTTCACTACCTGCATGATGCCCGTCTGGTAGGAGCGGGCATCGATCGTTGGAAATTTATGGTTACGTAAATGAAACAAAGAGATCTAGTCTTCGAGATGATACCCAGAATCAGCGAGTGAATTCACGTGTACTTGGCTAACTATTTTCCGGACTGGTAGCGAAAGTCACATGCAGTGTCCCATATCGGAAAGTTGTGTCCAGCTGTAGAGCGACCGTAGTCCAGCGCATTGCATTCATCCTCACCACTCTTCCTCAATTCTCGTGTTCCACCCATACCCACGCTTCGTTTAGGCCACCACGTGGCGGCGCTCAAACCGGGCACTGACGGTGCCCAATGCCCTTCTCATAATAATTCTTACAGCTAGTTCGAACCCCGTAGCTGCAGCAGCTATCTTTGCCACCCTTCCCATTCAACTGATACGCATAGATGGGGTTCCAATTGCCTTTGACCTGCGAACAGTAACCGCAGTAAACCCCGGCTTCGATGCCAGAAGCTGACTTACAGCCGACAGAGTAGTTGCAGTCTCGGGCTTCAAGGTCTACGGCCTCAGGGAGGGGTTCGGCCTCTGGGGCGGCATTTGGGAATGCCACAACGAGGGGGAGAAGGAGAGCGAGGAGTTTGGGATTCATATTGCCCTGGGTTTATGGTCGATTGACTGTGGTGAATATTAGGAGGCTAGGCTAGTGGCAGTGGAGTGATCAAGTACCTTAATGGTGATGACGGTGATGGAGAATCTAGGTTTTGTTGATGCCTCTGATGGTCAACGTAAGACTAAGGAGCAATCAACCTCTGCTTTATACCTTTGCATATGGTCACCTCCAACTACGCTTGGGGAACCATCTGCGACTTTCCTGTTGCCTTCTCTTCTAGCGTTCTCTACTCAGCTGAGAACTTGCTGGTAATATATTAAAAGCAAGCAAATACAGAACCGAAGCCGACCAGTCGACCAATTCGAACTGGTCTCTCCCCTCCTGTATCACCTTTGTCGCGCTAGAAGAGAAGGCAAACAGACCGGTGAGCTCTAGAGTATTAAGGCTTAGGGAAGAAAAGGGGATGAAAGGTGGTCCAGATGCATGCATTTATATCTTGGCAAGATTCCCGTGGTGTCTAGAACGGAGGGATGGAAACACTAACTTAGAGAACTGTGGGCTGAATGGAGAATAGTGGAACATAGGCTTGTTCTCGTGCAGCCCGAGGGATGCGATTGGGACTGGAATTCATGCCGTGCAACCTTGAGTGTGTGGCGTTCTTGGAACCAGTATATCAAGCAATAAAGCTTGACCCGGGAGCTTTCGCAATCGGTGCCAATCCCAGGTTCCCAAAACCGAGAGTGTGGTATAAGATCCCGCTGGGAAGCGCACGTGCTCTCTGCTGATGACGGGAAGGTGGTAAGAAGAGTGAAGTTGGATGTTGCGCGCTGACAGCATTCTCCAGGCTGTCGAGACATTCCCAGGAAGGGATGCCTTCCGGTAGGCACATTTTAGTTGCAGCGGTAGGCTCTTTGTTTTTGGTTTGGCTGAAGATGTTGTGTGGTGGTATGAGGTTGGGAGCTGATTTGATTAAGCTCGTACAACAAGTCGTTTGATTCGTCGATTCTGGTGAGTGCAGCACTAATTCATATCTAATTAATTTGGACTGTGAAAGGGGGGTGTGTGTAGGTAACCTAGTGTGAAACCGTCATTGTGGGGTGAAGGCTAATCGGTGTAAGTGGTGATGCGCAATTGGGGCTTCCATCTACTGGGAGAATCGATTGTTAAGTTCACTAAACAGCCGAGTGGACATTGACAGAAGAACTTCCAGGGAAGCTTACAGCGCCATCCACTGAATGCATGTTTGAGTGAGAATTCTGAATCACTATTGCTACGAGGCTGTGATCTGGAGATGGTAATGGTGTCTTGGTCGAAGAGGCCACAAAAACCAAGTATGTCTTGGGTTGATTCCAATTCCAGGGTCTTTCAGATCTACTTTTGCTTCTCCAATGAATATGCTAGTGCTCTCCGGGTGCATGGGCACGGTTCATACCCAGGTAGTGTCCTTGGCTTGATTGCGGAGAATATTCAACAACCGGCATTGTTGAGGTGGAAGGAAATCCATCTCCTCTCCTTGGCTGGAACCACCTGCTCTCTGTATGCCGAGGTCTAGTTGGAGGTGATAGGCGAGCAGCCGTTGAGTGCATGTTGATAGAGGGACAGCGCAGATGAGGAAGTTGAAGAAGAACGCTAGGATTAAATTGGATTAGCCCATCTGCGTTCTCCGATGTTTCCCCGCACACCTGGCACTTCAGGCGATGAGCCCCAAGCTTTCTCGACAGCTGGACTCACGCTCCCACGGAATATAACCCCTCTACCGCACCCAGACCATCCCCTCTCCTCGATGACAGAAGCTATGGCAGACACGAAAATGGACGTCGACCCGCCAGAGAGCGCTTCATTCGACCCCAAATCTAAGGAAGCGCGCACCCAAGCAGGCGCCGTGGCGGTTCGCTCCATAGAAGGCTGGATCATAATGGTGACGAATGTGCATGAGGAGGCCGGCGAGGAGGAAATTGCCGACTTCTTCGGCGAGTTTGGCGAGATCAAGAACCTGCACTTGAATCTAGACAGGAGGACTGGCTACGTCAAGGTGTGAACAACTTCCCCACTATAGGACTTTGGGGATGTGGCTGGTACTGATAATAGTATTCTAGGGCTACGTCTTCATCGAATATGCTACCGTTGAGGAAGCCCTAGCCGCTATCGAAGGTGCAAATGACAAGGAGCTTCTTGAGCAGAAGGTTACCGTTGATTTTGCCTTCGTGCGACCCCCGCCGGGCAAGACTGGCGAACGGCGGGAGAGGCGAGGCGGTCGCGGCGGAGGCGGCGGCCGGGGCAGAAGTCGGAGTCCGGGCCGCGATGATGATTTGGAGGGCTAAAAGAACAGGACACGCAGCAGATGACGAGGTGCCTCACACGTGCAATTCTGGACAAGAGCATAGCTGCCAGTCAAAAGATGATACCACAGGGGTTGGAGATGGCGTATATAACGGCCGTGGTTGACCCACGACTGGCTTAGGCGTTGAGTCTGGAAAATTAAGCTTCCCAGTCTGTCTCGTCCTGAAGATGAGGTAGACTGGTTTTTCTCACGTGATCTGTGAGTACACCTAATTCTTGCGCGAGGATTCTTAGCTGACTTCTACGAAGCTGACATCTTTTCGTGGCTGTAAGATGTGATATAATAGGTCGAGAAATGCAGGTGGTGTGAACTCGCATTTCTATTAGCGGCTTGGTTTGAGTGAACCGTCTAGGAGATTCATCAGGATGTCTCGGGATGTCAAGAGTTTTCGGATCAAATCCATGTGACTATTTACTACGTTAAAAACAATCTCAGATTCTTCTAAGGAATGAAGGTTAAGAGCTGCTTCTATGTCATCACCATGCTGGTTGTTCAGCAAGAATACTCTAGTCTACTCAAAGGTGTTCGGTGAAGGCACAGCAGGCTTTAAAATGAGAGAGTAAAACAGTTTCCTAGGTCCTTTCTCCCACTCATCCAACTGCAAGCTCATGAGCAAGCACGTGACGCAAATCTCATTGGGTACAAGGTCTGGGCCTTTGTTTTCAATTGTATAGTCTAGGACAATTTGGTATACATTTCCGTTAGCAAACCGGACGAGATATACCATCTGTTAAGCGAGCGTAGCATGACTTCAAGTGTCTCTTCCGTATCTGGTGCCTATACTGTATCGTTCCTTTGGCACGCTATCTAGTTACCCGGAGCTCTGCGGACTGAAGTTCACCGAAGTAATCCATTCTCGTGGGGATACATTTCCATCCGAGAATATTAGTAAAATGTTTGCTTTCACATCTCCTCTCTTCAGCGTCTCCGTCGGCCCAATACATAGGCGCATCATGATAGTAAAGGTCGTTCTCAACGCTAGCCCATGACCAGCTGGGAGTCCTCCATTCCGGAAGTCTCATGCTGCCAGGCGGACTTTGCTAGAGTATGTTATCCAGTAATGAATCTTCCCACAGTCCGACAATATACCTTGAGTCTCTAACCGTTGACATCTACCTTTTCGAACCCCCGAAGGCGGGGAGCCGTCGCTCTTTACTGGTAGAGAGCCTGGTATATAAGCCAGTGATTGCACGCTAAGCATGTGTGACAGTGGAAGCATTATCCAGCGCCTCTGTATACGTCAGCTTGGAAATTGCTCCGCGATTTCGGAGCCTCCAATCTGGCCGCATTCACATGTTGCCCCTGAATTACACTCGAAGAAGAGTTCGTAAGCGCCGAAATGTACAACCTAAGGAGACGGCATCCGCTGTTGAAGGATCTTGAAGGATCCACGCTCGCGATAGTAGAGGGAATTTCTCAATCAGGCTAGGCCACTTGCTATCCATAAGCTCGTGCTCTAGATGCTCCCGGGACACTATTGAATAGCTCTACTTCATCTATGATGCCTAAAACGTGGAAATCGAAAGTTCGTGTATAATCCACCTTCACTAGAGGAAAAAGCCGCTGCAATTGCGAGGACAGGGTTCTGGTAGAATGTGCCCATTTTCAACGCTTCTTTAGCCCAATCATTCTTGTCGTTGCGTACAATGAACAATGAATCGATCCAGATGTGCGGTATTCCCTGTCGCCGTGTCATGTCAATTGCTTCGGAGAAGTTTTTCGAAAGACCTCCAGTGGGTATGCACTTCCTATGAGATTCAATATTTTCCTTCGTGGTCGTGATGATTTGCGCTTTCCCCCAGGAGTGACTTAAGCTTACGTATCGTCCATATTTACCTTCCGTTTCTACCAGCTTAATGACATCGTCTTGCAAGGCCACGCCAAAAACTCTTATAGGCAGTTCTCGCTTCAAATAGCGGCTGCAGAATTCCTGTTCTTCTATACAACTATTAACCCAACTATTTCTTATATATCATGCTGCATCAGACTGGATGGCCCCTGTCATCCTCCGCCTAAGAGGCATATTATCGATGTAGGACATCCTTGGAACCTCCTTCACCTGCAATTTGCTAGGAAGGCAGAATTCTCAGTGTCCAGGGCCTGCAAGGGCAAAATCTCTTTTCTGTCATCCCACTGTAAGGTGATAATTTTCTTGCAATATGTTTCTAGTTCTAGGTCTTTGCCCTCATCCGCACACGCAAGTCATAATTCACAATTTTTGAGGTGGGAATTGGGTAGTTTGAGTCTGTCGAGGAGACTACAACAACCGCGTGAATGATGTCGTAGCATTGGGATGAAATCGGTGATGCTAAGAAATCCGAGAATGAGAGGTTGAAGGCTTTGATGCCGATCCAAGGTGTTTCCGCGCTTGAATGAGTCGCATATTGGACAATTAATAATGAATGTTCATAATGGTATTAACCTATAGCGGCGTCAAAGGTCTGGATAAGGACTATAGCGCTAATAATAATGATGTAGGAGCAGATGAAACACCAGATAACATGGCGATAATAGGGGTAAGACGTGTTAGATTTGACGAGATTGTGAGATGATTTGAGTGACTTGCAGGACTTTTAAACGCAAAACGAGAGTGCTTGGCGCCAAGTCTCTTCCCAGGTGATAATACTATAACGTGAAATGATAACGCGTTAGACTGCCCATGTATGTGCACGTAGCTCCGTCAAGTGGTTCAGGGTCTTAGAAACGTTCTCTATACTTTTCTTGTCAGCAATTAATTTACGTCAAAATTTTTATGATTAAGACTTTTATGCACTTAAGCTTGTATCAAGGTATCCTAATCTCATCATGAAGAATATTGGTCGGTGTTGTAGTTGAGAAACGTGCATCTTTATCAAGTAGTTTGGGGCCCAAGACTACGTGTTCACTTAATTTGTTCATGACCAACTGTTCTTTTCGTTCATGCTCTCTTATCGCAGGGTTAGTTAGGAAGCTGATGGATGACAGAGTGCATATAGAGGTGCGAGGAGTCAATTCCGCGGTGAGAACCAAACTGGGTTCATTAAACTAAGATGTAACGTCTCTAGATGTCAAGAGAGCCCTGAGGTAACTGTATCGTAGATAATAGAGCGCTAGTCCTTGATGGGATACGAGTGTAAGTCAAGGACCCCAATCAACATGACACTGGGTCACGTGAACCAATGTCACTTGTGACACCTCTGGTGCATGGTTGAATTGATATTGACGCATGCAATGGTTCATGGGTGGTGGGAACCGAGCTTATGCTTGAGGCAATCGCAAGCCTTCTGCTAGAGCCTCAAAGCCTCTTTATAGCGCTTCTGCTAGCGTAGAAGATGGGCAGGGGAGTGAGCAGAGGTGAGTGTGTCAAGGTGATCCTTTCCAAGCTCTTTCTCCCAAATTTCTTGTTCTCACCGGTTCAGCTTCTCCGCTTCGTCGTATTTCCTTTCATATTGCAGCACCAACGCCAGGTTTTTCACGCTCGCCAGCGTGGAAGGGCATTATACACCAGCTGCTTCTCCCTTCTAGCACTGGCTGGTTCAACTTCCCCGCTTCATCGTACTTCCCCTGATATTGCAGCACGCGCACCAGGTTTTTCACGCTCGTCAGCGTAGAGGGGTGATGTACACCTAGTTCCTTCTCCCTCCCTTCTGGCGCTCGCCAGTTTAGCTTCTCGGCTTCTCCCTACTTCTTCTACTATTGTAGCGCTAACGCTAGGTTGCTCATGCTCGTCAGCGAATCTGGGTGCTGTACCCCTAGCTCTTTCTCGCGCCCTTCTAGCGCTCGCTGGTTCAGCTTCTCCGCTTCGTCGTACTTCCCCTGATATTGCAGCACTAACGCCAGGTTGCTCACGCTCATCAGCGTATCTGGGTGCTGTACACCCAGGTCCTTCTCGCACCCTTCTAGCGCTCGCCGGTTCAACTTCTCCGCTTCGTTGTACTTCACCTGACATTGCAGTACCAATGCCAGGTTGTTCACGCTCGCCAGAAAGGAGAACTATGAAGCTGTGCGAGAGGTATTCGATGATGCGTTGAAGAGTTGGAGGGGAAGTGAACAAGTGTTGAATAGCGAACTTCAAACCTCGTAGATTTTGAAACATCATCTCTGATGACTTCGCCTACTGTTTATACAGACACGTCCTCCAAACCCGCTACCAGGTTATCGGAATCATAGTTGATCCACCAGCCTCAGCCAAGGAACGGAGCGGGAATTATACCTCAATTCGCCCGATAGCAAAGAGAGCAGATATCTATCTTCGCTCTCGTGCCGAACGAATCCAAGGCCAAGGTGACATACAGAGGTGATGCATTATATATCGTTGAGAAAGCTGCAGTGTGGACGGAAATGGGTTTATATTGAAGTGGATGGAGTTAGTGAAGGAGCCACGGAAGGAGAAGCCGGCAAAGGCGAGCATCGAGTTGAAGGACACCCAGCCGAAGGACGTTAAGCAGACAGCAATCCATCCGAAGAACATTCAACAGAAGTTAATTCAGCTGACAATCACCTAGACGATGATCAGCTAGGTTACTCGTAAACTAAATCGTGAACGCCCTTTGCAAGCCCTAGATAGATGAGTAACAATGCGAAAATCATAAAGCACTGTGATTAGAGTAGGAGGATAACATTCGCAGCTTCTCATTTCTCTATCTTTCTTGAATTTCTCCCAACCCTCCTTTCACCCTTTATCCAAAACGTCGTTCCCCCAACCGCCGTCTTCTCTGCCCCTACTCTCGATGACATCAGCCCTTCACTCTCCCTAAACAATTCCCACTCATCATCCGCCTTCTTATCTGCAAACGGTTTCTCGAAGATCTGTGCTGCCAGCCCTCCAACTGTCAGTCGAGCCCGAAACCCAAAAACATCTTCACTTCTAGCTCGAATTGCGTAAACCGCCAGTATAATACCAACAGCAGCATAAACGAGGTTAGATACCACGAGCGTCCATAGAGCTGCTTTTGAGACTTTGGTGATAAGTTTCGGGACGCGGACTTGGGTCTTGAGGGCCTGGCGAGGGGAGGATTGACCGCCTATGTGGGCCAGGAAACTGCGACTCATTCCGAATGTATACCCTGCGATCATGGTTTCGAGCGTGAATGTTCTGTCGTTCGCATCATAGATGACTTCTGGGAGCTCGCTATCCAAGAGACCAAAAGCTGGGAAAGCGGGCATTGAGCCGATACCGGCAACCGAGACGTTGCTTTTGGTTGCCGTGATAGTTCGAACTCCGGAGTTGACCATGGTGTATGTGACTTCCCACACTAAACCTTGTTAGAAGACGAACGGTAAATTTCACACTTTTCGAGGGCTGACATACCTGTGGTGTCACAATCCAGCACCATCAATGGCACACCAATCCAGCTACGATTCCAGAGTCTCTGATCTTCACTTTGAAATAATGAATCATGTGCATCAATGATTGGAAGAACACCTTGCCAATGCCACGGATTGTTAAACACTTCGCTCTGCTCTGTTAGGTTAGGCGCAAGTTTCTTCGCATCTTTGAATCCGGGTGTATCAGAATCGTCAACCCTTCCGATGAAAGCAGGGGAGTCATTGAAGAGACGATGCGCATCAACGTAGTGTATTTGAGCAGTGGCGTGGGTAATGTTCCCTGAAACGTCTACGCCGGCTCGCTCCTTCGTGCAGTTGAATTGAATGCCGCCAGTCAGGTCATCTACCGATGGAGGTTGCACATCGCAATTTCTAGGTAGAACTGCCCGACACTGGGTTGTTGTGGCAAAGCTGGCGGCCGCCCAATCAATGGTATCAGGAATGTCGGCGGGCCCAAGAATGGCATACGTGAGTCCGCTCTTGTCAGTGAAATTGAAAATCTCATGATCCGCCGACCGTCCGACTAGGATTTTATGGACGGCACTTTGGTTAGATTGCTGCATATTAGTGGCTCCGAATTCTTTCCAGCAATCAATTCCGCAGCCCCAGAAGTTTTTGTTGCAAATGTTGTTAACGGTGGGCTTGTCAACACACCATGGACCTAGCCCTCGGGAGTATTGGTTTCCGCCTGCGGCTGGCTCTGCTTTAATGTTAATTATCTCTACAGTTTGAGTGTCGATATGGAGCCATGTGTCCGTCGCTTGAACAAACGCGCTACGATAGTAAGCAAGGTTGCAAAGAAAAGGTGATCGGGAAGACTATACCTTGCCGCAAGTCCAAGCAGAAGCACTCCAATAGCCATGTATACTATTGGCGCTGTACTCGTTCTCTGACCCCTTCGTCTTCGAGCTGGGATGCACCAACTCGGAAATTTGTAAAGGAAGACATCCCAAAGAGCCAAAAGTTCTCCGTTGAGAACCTTGATTAGGAGCGAGAGCTGATAAGGCGTGGGAAGCTCAGAAGGCTTCACATCTTCGCCTCCCGACCAACGTAGGATATGCTGGGCGACCGTGAAGGAAAATAGAAACATCAGCATGCTAATGAGGGACAGGCTGATAGTAGAGGACCAAGATGCAATGAAGACCAGTTGTGTTGCTGAGTAGTCGACATAGTAATGGGTGCTGCTGGTCTGGTTCATTGCGGGGCAGAGCTCGGGGTAGGGGCATGTTATCTTTCCCATACGATACCCAAAGGTGAGGACGAGGATGACAATGGAAAACACAATCATAGGAAGGGCGACTATACAGGAGACTAGGATGATTTTGGTGATAGGCGAAGTCCATATTCTCCAGGAACCGGGTTTGTTGATAGACGGTAGCTCTGTTGGGGAACGAGAAGGTTTCGCAGCTTCTAGGTCCTTGCCCACGAGTGTGAACTCGCTGACTTGCGTGGCGCTGTGTCTCAGTTTCTTTGGGTGGAAGTCGTCTTGCTCTTTCTGACTATGATGTGGTCGTTCATCCTCAACACTTATCTTTTTAATCTCGCTCGTCAGGTCTTCATTTGATGTTGAGAAAGACATCTCCTTCTTTACCATGATTGTTGAAGTCTGTCGACCCTAGTGGTCGAATTGAATACGAGCGCGGTGGTTAAAAAATTAGGACAAAGTACGACAGAATGTTGCGGAAGGCAGATACTGTAGGATCAATCTGCAGGAGATGCGCGCTTGATATTTTCACTGTCCTTATTTCATCCCCAGATCTGAGGTTGAGGAAAAGGGAGTCCAAAACCACCTTGACCCTTGACCGTTTACCCAATACAGTGGTTGAATGTTTCCCGACTACCAATCCCGCGGCTGCTCCATATTTCGATCCCCCGCATGGGCAACATAGAGTTTCCGGAAGGACCGACTAGGGGGATTATCAGTAATACAATTGGTAGCGGAAGAATTAGAAAATTATATTTAGTCTCAACGGTGTACAGTTCATATAAGCCGGAACTCTTCACGAGTCGCTTCAGCAGGATTCGGACGGAATCCTTCCCAGAAGGTAGTAAGAGCCATGCGATGATCTCGTACCGGGAAGGACCCGTTGACCGAACCTCCAATCAAAGAGCATGGATAAAATCTAGTTCGCATCCTTCTCGAATCCTTCCGATACCGATGGGTGATAGTTTAAACGCCGTCAGACAATTTGTGTGAAAGAAACAGCGATGAAATGCAGATACGGGTGAGCCCAGAGCCCCAGAAGCCCCGCTATTCGTGTGTTCTGCAGCTATTGAACAAGGATTGAATATTGTGAGACTGGAAATGACCGGGACTAACGAGGACAGGTTGGCGCCTTGAACAAGGAAGATTTGGCCAACATCGTAATCAACCTTTCTAGACATATATGTTGGAAAGAAGCTAGTTGATACGAGGAGAAGAATAGCGACATAGTGAGAGAAGGCTGGATGTGTAGCAGTGTTGAGTGGCTGAATCCTGGAGGATCGCGGCCCGTGCGGGCAAACCGAGACGACTGGCATCGGGCACCCCTGCGCTTTCAATTGTTTCAAGCTTTGATGGGTTTGCCTGAGAGCTCTTGTGTCAGATGCACGTGGATATCTGACAGGGAAATAGTTTGGGGTAGAGGGGCCTGGCGTCGAGTATGGCAGAGGTCTTAAACCCAGAAATTTACATCGTGTTAACGTTCTACCTAATTCCAGCACGATCTCTTCTCCTTCCCTCCAGGGCTGTTTGAGAACTAGAGACAGTCCATCTCGACTCACCAAGTTTCGTCGTCCCCCGTCACCGAGTCCCGCATCTTTGCTCTGGAGGATTTCAACGTCATTCCCGCGACACCCCGGATGAGTGCTAACATATTCGCATTCAACGAATTATCAGCTCGAGTACCCGTCACGGGAGCCTCTGCTTGCTGCCTATCGAGGACTTCGTCAACGCCTGTAATCCCAGCGAGGGGTGGATGAATCCCTGCTGCCGTTTCCAAGTCAACTCCGCCGCCTGGTGAGTACCAATGTCTCAGCGCTTTCACTAGGGTCAAGCTATACCTCAGTCGCCCTTTGCACACTCGGTACACTCTCTGGGGGCCCAGGGCAATCGGTATTTCATCTCCTGAAGCGCCTCTGCGGATTTGGGTACCTTAGTAGCGCCAATTTTACACTCAGCTAACTCGGTCAACAAGTGGGACACTTGGATTAGGCAAGCAATGAATGGGGATTTGGAGGAGGAAAAGTAAGCCAAGAGAAACGAGAACTGACTGACAATGTAGCGTGTAGTGGAAGAGACTATCGAAGGGGCCGGAGGTGAAAAGCATGTACGGACTGATAGTAGATGGACTAATAGCGGAACGCTTCATGGTTGATGGTGTAAAAGAGTTCTAATTCCCTGAGCTGGGAAGGCTTTCAGATCATTCAAGATCCGTGCTACTTTCTTATTTCCATCCTTTGCCAAATTTCCATCTACTCTTTCCCCTTTGTGCTGAAGGCTAGTTTCTTCTCTTTATAGCCACAATATGCCGACGTACTTGGGGAAAGTCGATGCACAAATCTCCTTGCTTCCATGTTCCTGACCTTAAACCTGTGCTGCAGCGTAACGAAGTTGTACTTACCCTTTTCGTACTGCCTCTTCTACTTAAGGGTCTCGCAGAGGGTATTCTGTGGGTTTCCGAGGGGAGGAATCTACCAGTTAGGAATAACCCGATTTAGCGAAGGCTGTCAAGGTTGCGGTGCTTCTTTTATGTACTCTTGAAACTCGTCCGCTGCGTATTTTTCTTTCACACCCACGACGCATCTTCCTTACGGAAGTCCTTGGGCTCTTTAGAGAAAAACCTATGTTAACAAGACGCTTCATATATTTTAGGGCACCTTGGTGGTGAAGTACGCCCCGGAAAATAACCTAAACTTCAGGAGTGTTGTAGCGCTACTTGTGCAAAGAATGGGAGTCGGACCCCGGACCATCAGTAATCAATATCCCACCTCAGTTTATTCATAGTCTCGTTATGGGCACTCTCAAAAAACTACGTACCAGAGAGTAGGGTTGCGGTTGGGATACGTGACGAAAACATTTAGGTAGATGAACTCTGGCTTGACCTCTAGCACTAGCGCTATCCCTTAACCTCTACCACCTTGCAGTACCTCGCCGCATTCCTCAAAGTTATGAGCGCACTGGGAGAGCTCTAAGAGAGTTTGTATCTTAAGAAGGTTATTTGAAGCCTTAGGGGCAGAGAAGTTACTAAAGTATGAGAGGAACGATAGAATATTCTCGACTTTGTGGATCTCGTCATGGCGAGAACAGCGGGGAGATGTTCAATTCCAGGATCAAGACCGATCTCGTTCATGATGACCATTTTAGCATCTTTTGTTGCAGAATCATGTTTCGGCATCGCTAGCGCAACGTATGAAGATGTGACGTGCAAAGATAAAAGAAAGATTTAATTGAATTAATAAGTGGTCTTCGTACTTTGGCCCGACTTCCACAGATTCAACCTCCAAATCGCCAATCAAGTGTTTGCTATCACTATGACTTACTGTGTACAGTGCACGAGGGCCCATCGATGTTAAACCCGTATTCAGCTTTATAATTGGCATCCTATCTGAGCAGGTCCGAATTTTGGTCTTCTGTATTGAATTTAATGAAAGCATCATCTTCCATCCTTTTGATTTCTTCTGCAGTGAGTTTCCAGAATCCAGGGGAGAGTATCTCCACACACATATACCCACTCCGGCAAACAAGCGTTCGTCTAAAGCAGCACAACGTGTCCTGGTTAGGATTCTCGCCATTCTCTATGCTTTCCAGGCCCTTGGAGATACGAGAATATGCGTTCCGGTCATGGAATACCCCCGGGTTGATTTTTAAGTTTGGTTTAAGGAAGTTGTTTAGGTGGGTAAGTAAATTATTCAGCATGTCATTATCTTCAAAATCGTTATGCACCGTCCATCCTGCGGATTACTAATGCTTTCCAAGCCATTTGCCGTTGCTGTGACCAAGTGAGACGGGAAAGAGTTCCTTGAAGATCAGCATTCCAGCGATCTGCTCCCACCCAGCGCTTGTAGAGACGCTGCTCCCCATGCTTGTACATCTTCTTCCGAAACATGTAGATGTTGTCCCGTGATCTTTCTGTCCTCTTCAAATTCTGAATTCTTGTCTGATTCATCTTCACTCTCATCCCCTGACTCGAACTCTGAATCCTCTAGCTTCTCTCCACTCTCGCTATCCGTTTCACTACTGCTGAGTTAAGATGAATTTTCGTCACTTTCTACATACTCTAAATCATCTTCTGAATCCTGCAATCTTCCGCCGTCTTGTTCATCGCTCTCGAATTCACAAGAGCTGTCACCAACAGAGTCTTCTTTTTCACCAGACTCAAGTGCTCTAGCCATCGTATCGATATATGCTGAACCGCAGCTTGGTCTCCAGGGTGCCCCTTCGTGTCTGTAGAGATAGGCAGATTCCATGGTACTGCTGAGTGATTTATGGATGCGCTATCATCCGGACACTCGGGCGTAAAGGTACGCCGAGTTGATGAGGTGGAAGCAGGGTGTTGAGCAGGTTGAGGTGTTTTCGAGCTTGCCGGAAAACCTCTTTGAGAAAAATTGAAAGGGTTGTTTTTCTGAGAGGCTGGCAAGCGACTTTGGAAGTGGTGAGGCGGCGAGGGAAACCCACTCAATACAGTTGCCCAATCAAATGCCTGATATATGAAGTTGGAGGAGCTTGGGTCATATGTCTGCGAACGACTGGAAAGAGAAATAGGGGTATTCTGAGTCCCTAGGGTGCTTAGTGGAAGCTTCCTGAAGGCTTGGAAAATCCAAGCTTGAATTTTAGGTTTGAGGATCCGTGATGCCCACAGGTGCATATTCAAAAGGATCACACAGAAGGCGGCGACTCCCCAGGTCAATTAGACAGATATAGACCAAATACAGACTATTCGCTACAGACTATTTGCTACAGACTATTTGTGTAGGAACAAATTCACAGATAAAATAAACTAACTCGCAGTTGGGGCACAAATATGCCTGCTGTTGTTTGATACGCGAGCCAGACCTTAACCCTTAGCCCAATGCACGTGAAAGCAATTACAGGTGGCACTTCTGGGAAAGGATATCCGAAACTCTTCTTAAGTAGCTGTGTTTCGAATGCAAGTGCTGTGGCTGCAGGGTGAGTGGCTTGGAAATAACACCTTCCAATAAAGGCTTCTGAGACTTCAGTGTTTCTTTTCATCTCAACGACGGCCCAAGGGAAGTAGGAAAGGTCTGGAGTATGTATGGTCGTTCGTTCCGGAGATTTTAACCATTTACTTAACCCAGCTGTTGGCGTGGGAATACTTGGGTTCTCTTAAGCTCCCATAGGACTCGAAGTGAGAAGCATTGCCTAAATTCGTCTCTTTCGGAACCTTTTAGGCTACTTGGAACCGAGTTTAGAATGGGAAATGCGAATGTCAGGTCAGGCTTTCGTTAAGTTCGGCCCTCCAGCGACAGGTCCGGGAGTTCTAAATTTGGAAATTCAATCCATGTAAAGTCTTTCTTCTCTGGGGATCTTTCCCAGCTTCACAGGCGCGTTAATATGCCACGGATTGCCTTACAAGGACCAAGCATCCAATACAGCACTTCTCTATGGTTCGCATATATCTTCACTCCTGAGCTAATGTAGTCTTCTCATCAAAATGCTAGATCATCCTCGAGATAGGTGAGAGTAATTTAGCAAGCATGAGCTTCAACTCACCTATGTCCAGGATGGATGCAGCCTCATCACTGCAAATTTTGAAAAACTTTAACCTATTCAAAAAGCTTTTCAAGCATCTAGGCTAGTTTTTATTAACATATTAGTTATTTTTAATTATCATAATATATAGTTATGTACTCTACTTCTAGCAGCTTTACTAGAAACACTATAGTAATTTAAAACTTTAAGTAACATGTATAAGTTTAGGTTATAATTAAAGCTTATAAGGAAATTATTTATATAATTACTAATAATAGCTTAACAAGGCTTTTTAAAGCTTATTAAAAAAGCTAAAGAAAAGCTATATAGAAATATAGTTATAAAAGCTTATATTTAAAAGCTTATAAAGTAATTAGTAAAGATAACTATGTATAAAACAGGTAAAAAAAAGTACATTTAAACTAGTAAAACTAGAGTACTAAAAAATACTTTAAAAAATATTCAACTAATTATAAAGTACTTTAACTTGAACGTTAGTAGTAGAATTTAAATAATTTATTTGCTATTTTTAACTTAAATATAATTAACATTAGAGAGTAGTTATAAATAATAAGATAGTAGATATTCTTAACAAATTATTATAGTTATAATATAAAGTAAATAGATTTTAGTTTGAAGGCTTTATATGTAAAGATACTAATTATTAGCAAATTTTAACGCGTGTTAGAAATAAGTTTTACTGCAACAGTTATTTATCATAATAAAATACTCTTACTTTTGCCTAGTCCATGCCAGGTATTATTTGGCAATGTGGAAGACACCGCGCAGTGAGAAGGCTGGGCTGCCGGACGTGGATTAAAAATAGTTCTTCTCTGAGATTGATGCACTGGGAACGATAATCTTCGCATAGATTTTGACTAAGGGGAAAGTCGTTAATCTTATCCTCTAATCGCATACCGGGACAATTGTGATGCTGCTAACTCAATATTGTTGGTTTGATTTTGCCAGTGAATGCTATCATATTGACTGTGTTGACCATGTCTCAATCTACCAATGGTCCGTGCACCAGCTTCGCTCCAAGTTTTTCGGAGTCCGACTCGGGGAGTGGTCAGCCCGAGAATGAATCTGGCTCCAGACACCGTGAATAGCTAATTGAATAGCTAATAATTCTCAGTAACAGACAACTTCCTCTTCCAAATGAGTGTAGATCCCCTAATCGCAACAGCAGACGCTGCCCCTGACATCTGCGCCACTCTCCAGCCCGACCCTCCAGGCCGACTCTGGGCCATCAGCGACCTCCACCTTTCGTACAAGGCGAACCGCGAAGCTCTTGAGAAGCTCAACCCCCGCCCAAACGACGGTCTGATCCTCTGTGGAGACATTGGAGAAACTGCCGAACACCTCCGTCTTGCCTTCACGCAGGCCACAGCGTGTTTCCGGCAGGTCTTTTGGGTCCCCGGTAATCACGAGCTATACACTCTACCTACACAGAAAGAGCATGGGCTTCGTGGCGAGAAGAAATACGATGAGTGTGTGGAAGTAGCGCGGGAATTTGGGGTGCTCACACCCGAGGATGACTATGTCCTCTGGGAGGGCGAGGGTGGTCCCTGCCTCATCGCACCCATCTTCACGCTGTATGATTACAGCTTTCGACCAGCGCACGTGAAGCTCGAAGAAGCTCTTGCATGGGCCAAAGAGGAGAATATTGAAGCCACCGATGAATATCTACTTCATCCCGACCCACACCCCTCACGCATCGCATGGTGCGAGGCGCTCATCGCACGCACCGAGCATAAGCTCTCAGCTGCAGTCGCGTCAAACCCGGATGTAAAACTGATCATTGTTGGACACTGGCCACTGCGAGAAGACCTCGTCAAGCTCTTCCTCGTTCCCAGATTCTGCATCTGGTGCGGCACCAAGAAGACTGAGGACTGGCACATCAAGTATAATGCGAAGGTGGTTGTGAGCGGGCACCTTCATATCAGGCGGACAGACTGGAGGGATGACACGCGCTTCGAAGAGGTTAGTTTAGGCTACCCCAGGCAGTGGAAGGAATGCAAAGACCGAGACCTGGACATCAATCATCTCCTTCGAGAGATTCTACCAGGTCCGCCTACGCCTCCTGTGGAGAGGAGATCGACTAAATGGAGGCGATTTGCATGATGTGCTGCAATGTCCAAAGGCTTGTGATTTCCAAGGAGGACCCCAGCATTCCAATCAATTTATTTTATGAGCCCTCTCCTACAGTAGGTCTCGCAGTTCCCAAATTTCGTTCTTTTTCCTCCATATCTTGTATAGATTTCATGAATCTAATCTTTGTTTTCGAGTTCCTACCCTCAAATGCTTGAGCCTTGTCCCTCCACCTTCCTAATCCGCCCCAGCCTCGGCCCAATCCATCCCCTATCCACCAATCTCCCTACTCGCTAGAACCACGCATTAACGCAAGCATGCTCGCGGCTCACTACTGGCTCGCACGAACGTCAAGTATATTAAACATTGTGATCGGTGGGGAAATATCTCCGAATAGCACATTGCTCCGGTCTGCATGACGTTCGGCGAAGTATTGATTTATGATGCTCCGCGCGGCCATAAAGGCTGGTATTTGGATAGCTTCCTGCGCAATGGATGCTAAGATACCGTAGGCCCACAACAACGATGCGTCCAATCGTTATAGCGGTTGGCAACCACGCGCTCTTGCTTGATGCTAGAACCTGCATCGTGAGGTCGTACTTCAGGTTGGCTACTCCAAAACCGCCCTTCCTCGATGGAGACTACCGACCTAAATCGAGGAGGTATGCAGGGATACCAAGCTCAGGCATAACACATAAGAACTTGGGGATCGCCACTGGGAGACTACACCGCAAAATCTTCCGAGGATGTTCTCCAACATCGCACAACTCGTCCTCGGACTAATATCCGCTTCTTCCTTTGTATTTGCGGCACCAACGACCCTCGGCCGTCGTGCTGTCATCGCCCACGATGCTGTCGTCGGATTCCCACAAACTGTCCCTGCCGGAATTGCAGGAACCCTATATCTAAAATACAAACCATACCTCGACGTCTTCAATGGTTGCGTTCCCTTCCCTGCCGTCGATGCCGCTGGAAACACAGGGTAAGTTTCACTTGTCCCACAACACCCATCCTCCTTTCGCCTACCCCCAGAAAACAATCCCGCACTCAAACTACCCAGCGGTGGCCTCGCACCCACTGGCTCCTCCAACGGCGGCTGCTCCAGCAGCACTGGCCAGGTGTATTCCCGCGCCGCGAGCTATAATGGCGCCTACGCGATCATGTACTCCTGGTACATGCCCAAAGACTCGCCTTCTGACGGCCTGGGCCACCGTCACGACTGGGAAAACATTGTCGTATGGCTGACCTCGCAATCTACAACCGCTACTGTACGTGGCGTCGCGATATCCGCGCACGGCGAATACCAGAAAGTCACTGGGCATTTTAGTGGGGCGAGGCCGTTGATCGGGTATATTAGCTATTGGCCGCTCGATCATCAGTTAATTGATACGGGGGAGAAGGGAGGTGAGCAGCCGCTGGTGGCGTGGGAGAGTTTGACGAGTGAGGCAAGGGCGGCGATTGAGGGGACAGATTTTGGGAGTGCCACGCCGAGTTTTAGGGACAGTAATTTTCAAAGCTACCTCGCTGATGCGTTCATTTAGTGAGAGAAGGGTGGAAGGCTTTGGGAGGTTATAGGGGTTTGTCGGAGAGATGTTCGGGGGTAGAAGGTTTCATGTAGAAGGAATGCTAGCACAAATAGCTACACGTTTCTCTCAATACTTGCCCTGCGGACTTGAAATTTTTGAAAATTTGATAGCTGCTATTCTTGCGCTAGGCGAATGCAGGCAAGAGCAATATGAGCCCGTCATTCCCTAAACGGTGGGATTCCACCTTTCTATAACCAGTGCATTCTAAGCAGAGTATGCTGGCGGAGCATCCTCTGATGGAGGCTGCGACGCCATCAAACCATCTCCCCCTATCTGCTCGCCGCCCATCACTCTCGCAAACGCCTGTTCTCTCGCCATCTGCAACTCCCTCCTCGCATTCTGCAACCCCTCACTGGCCCTCTGGCAATCTCCCACCATATCCTTCTCCCTCCCTTCCTGTTCCTTAATCACATCCTGCAACCTCTGGCTCGCTCTCAACAGCTGCGTCTCTGACTCCTTGATCTTATCATGCATCTCCATGTCACTGAAAATATTATCAAAAATAACATCCCCCCAAATACTCCCACTGGCAACATTCATCGGCCCCAGGTCCCCAATATTGGGGTTGAGTCGCCGGATCTGGTCTTGCAGCATTCGCACTTGCGAAATCGAGGACTCAGCCCGCTCGAGGAAATTCCGTTTCTGCAGGCTAGAAAAAGTGCCCCCACCTAGCATGTCCATGGAGGATGCACTGTGCGCAGAGGAGAGGTGGTGTCTTGCCTCCGATAACTTCCGGCTCGTTTCTGCGAGGAGGAAAAGAATGTGACGTTCCTGCTCAAGCGTCTGGTTAGCCTGGCGACAGTACTCAGACGACGCTTGGCACGCCTGTTCCTTTTCGTCTTCTTCGGGGAATTCTGGGGTGTAGCCCGCGAAGATGGAGTTGTAGAGTTGGTCGAGCGAGCGCTGAAAACTGTCATGTCGTTGAACTTCCGCCTCGTATTTCTGCCGCGTGATGTAGGCTTCGGCTTTGAGCTGCTTGACGTAGGCGAGTTCGTCTTCGCCGGTCTTTTGCGCTTGGATGGCGTCGAAGTACTCACGTTCCTCCCTGGCGGCTTTTTCTAAGAACTGGTTTTTGCGGCCAGAAGCTTTGTGCGCGAATCGCCGGAATGTGGATTCAGAATACTTCTTGTGGTCTTTCAGTTCCGAGGCGGTTTTTGCTTTGAGGCCGGCGACGTGTTTTTCGGTTTTGCTGATTTGATGGTCGAGGTCTCTGATGTAGTTATTTTGTTGGGAAAGTTGTGATGGGGCGGAATCTGTCGAGTGGAGGCTAGCAAGGAGCGAGGCGTTTTGGGAAGCGGCAGACCGGATCTGTTCTTGGATGGACGCCATGGCGGCAATTTGGTTCGGAAAATGGTGGAGCGGGGGCTTCAATTGGAATGAATTTGTGCGACCTTTGAGGGGAGAATATGGTATTCCACTGCGTCGCAAGGCTGCTTCTGCCTACCTATATATCTCAATAGGATTCGCAGCATTAACATCGGAAAAGTGTCTCTTCTCTTATTGGAGGAGCTGGGTGTCTACACAGCCTCATCCTTCGTGCTCTCAAACTCGAACTGGAGACGAACCAACGACAGGGGGAACGTGAGAGGATGGTCGTTGAAGGAAGCTTGGTTCTCAGCGTCAGCCAAGCATGGGAGTGCTCGGCAGGAGAGTGGAGGAGAGTGGAAACCGCCATACCTTCGTGGAACACCAGCTAACCACGACTAGGCTGCTCTCCACTAGAAACCCACGTATTTTATCTTTAGGGAATAGCTACTATGATCTCAAATGTTTGAATTTGATCTTGGTAGTGTCTAAAAGAATCAGTTCCGGAACCCAAGGCAAGTCCATCCGAAAAGTATTTGGACGGCAAGCGGAGCCTAGGCCTAATCTCTAAATGCTCCGATGGCTTCGATCTTTCGCCTGCGCCTGTGCCTCCGCTTAACCCCTTGCATCTCTACCGCAACCACAATTCAAGGCTAATCTTCGGCTGTAATTGCACCACCAATGTAACAAAAACTAAAAGGCACGCCTAACACAATATGAAAAGCTCTCCTCCTCCCATCTGTTGCCCAATTAACGTCTCCGTCCACCCATCTCTTCCTTCCCCACTCCCCTCCCCACTTCACCCCCTAATCCCCTGACTGAAAATGCCAACCCCGCCTGCAAGCAAGGCATCCAGCCTCCAAAGTTTCCCCACCAAACCCCGCGTTTTCATCCTCTCGGATATTTCGAACGAGCCCGACGATGCAGAGTCTTTGTGCAGATATCTGCTGTATGCGAATCAGTTTGAGACTGAGGGATTGGTCGCGTGTACGAGTACGTGGATGAGGAATAGAGTATGTCCGCAGGATATGGAGAAGATCATTGATGCGTATGCGGGCACGGTTGAGAATTTGAATACCCATGTGCATCCTAATTGGAAGTATCCCAGTGCGGAGCATTTGAAAGGCTTGGTGAGAAAGGGTGCTGAGGTGTGTGATATGACTTCATTGCAATTTTTTTTGTGAATAGTGATGTGATGCAAGGAGAGACAGACGAACTGACCGACTGGTACCAGACCTACGGCATGACCGCCGTCGGTGACGACATCCCGCTCTCCCCGGGCGGCGAACTCCTCCTCCAAAAAATAATCGCCCCCTCACGCCAACCTCTCTGGGTCCTCTGCTGGGGCGGCACTAACGTCCTCGCTTCCGTCCTCCTCCAAATCGACCACAAATACTCCCCCGAAGACTCCCAACGCCTGCTATCCCGCCTGCGCGTCTATGCCATTTCAGACCAAGATGACACCGGCGCCTGGATCCGCAGCAACTTCCCCGACATTTTCTATATCAGTTCCGTGCACGGCTGGAACCAATATGGCATGGCCGCCTGGACCGGGATATCCGGTGACAAGTATTACGGCTTCGACCACGGCGGCCCGGATTTCACGAAAATGGAGAAAGACTGGATAAAAGAGAATATTCAGATCGGGCCCCTGGGAAGTGTGTATCCAGACTACCTCTTCATCCCCGAAGGCGACACACCCACATTCCTCTACCTTATCCAAAACGGCCTCGGCATCTCCGAGTTCCCCGAGTATGGCTCTTGGGGAGGTCGATATGTCAAAACTGACATCAGCTCCGATGGCTTGGGCAGCAATCACTACAGTGATGCGGTGGATAGGGTAATAGGGAAGGATGGGAGGTTACATGTGAGTAATCATGCGACAATTTGGCGCTGGCGGGACGCGTTTCAGAACGACTTCGCAGCGAGGATAAAATGGAGTATGCAGAGTGCGTTTGAGGGCGCAAATCATCATCCGGTCATTTGTATCAACGATGCCACGGGTGTTCAGCCGGTGAAGATTGAAGCGGAGGCGGGAAGTAGCGTTACGTTGGATGCAAGAAAAACGTATGACCCGGACGAAGGCGACAAGCTGTCATTCAAGTGGCACCATTATCGCGATCCCAGCGCCACTCAATGGTGGGTTGAGGCCGAGGTGGCGGAACTGGGGATTAAGAATTTGGATGATGAGGGCAGGATGGTTGAAGTCACCCTACCGCCACCGGAGAAGTGTGCGGTGGACCAAATAAGTAAGAAGCCGATTGAGAAGGGCCAGCTTCTGCATCTGATACTGGAAGTTACGGATGATGGGGTCCCGTCGTTGACGAGCTATCGGAGGATTTTGATACAGGCGATGAATAAGAAGTTGCTTGGGGGGGAGGAGAAGGGAAGGGAAGCAATAGCGGAGGTTATGAAGAGTGAGTGACGGGGTGGGGTTTTTGCGACTGTGGGCTGGAAGACTTTCGGAGCTTGTAATGGGTATCATTTTTCAACGGTTGGGGTGAAGAACGTAGGTTGATGCGTATGCGGGGCAAGGAATTGCTGTAGGTCTAGATATCCTTTCTTGTAAGAGCCTGGAAAAGCTGCCGCCTCAGTTTTCACCAGCTCAAACAATTTTCGAAAAAGTACCTTTCCGAATCCTTCCCAAAATTGACTCCATTGCAACACTTCGGAGGGCACATGGTTGTAAGGGTCTGTAGGGCTGCTTTGGATATGGCGAACTCTAGTCCATACAAAGGTCAGCTTTGTTCCACCACTCCGATTGTTTGCTTCGTCCACAAAACGCTTCTATTCAGTTCCGCCAACAACATCCCACACCACCCTGTTTTCACTCAGTTCCCGTCGTGGAACACATCCCAGACAACAAGCTTCGGAAAATGGAGTCCCTTCCAAATGAACTTCAGTGTCAAGTCTTCTTCCCATCTCGCGGCATCGGGCGAGGGAACCCAGGTAATCTTGCCAGTCAGTAAGAGTATAGCCTGAGATAGATAGATTTTCGAGGATGCACACCACCATGATTTCACTGGGGCGTCGCGTGTCAGTTGCCGAGACTCTGCAGTGGACCCCGTATCTTGTCAAAATTTCATCCAGACAGTCCCCCCTCAGCTTGTGGGTCCCTTCCGTCGACCCAAAATCAATAGGGCGTGGTTAAGCTTTCTTCGAAAAGTCAATCACTGGAGCCACAATGATCCAGGCACTAACGGCTCAGGTGTGTATAAGCCGGAGTTGCTCAAAGCATCCAGTCTAGAATTCCTCAAAGCGGGTCTCTGGGCCCTTGTGGATCATACCGTTATCGGAGTCGCAGTCCTTGATCTCTCAGTCCAAAATCTGGGTACTACGAGAAACATTCACCATCTTTGTCTCCACGGTTCACCAAGCCACTATGTAATGTTCGATCCGGAGCTATGTAACACTTCTATCAGCTAAAGCAGAGAAATATTTATTTCCACAGCTAGAACCAAGCAATCGCCTTCAAATAATTGGGCAAGACTCCCTGTCGGCCTCGCTCTGGGAAAGGGGGCTGCAAAATGTGCTACCATTTAGTAGTAAACGGCATGCATTGTCGCGGAATGGATAGGGAGCACATGACGACGGTTCGCGGGCCGGAGCCAGATTCTAGAAGTCGAATCGGAGATGGGTGAGACATTGGGATAGATCTAAGGGTTCGGAGGACATTTCTACCTGGAAATGTGTATAAGATATCTACCTAAGCGCTTGACCATTAAATTTCTCGTATGCAACATATTTAGAACCCGAGTTAGAGCACATGAGTGCATAAAGTATGCAGAATTAACACCCCACTTTCGGAAGCTAAGGTATTGTATTCCCCAAGCATTTTTAGTCCATTCTAAGAGATAAAAGCATTGTAGATACATTTGCTAGAAAGTTGTCCTATGAATCCGTGGTTAGGGATTATATAGCAGGGAACCTAGGCTTACCTTCCAATGTTCCTCGTCCTCGCGCTCGTGAGTCTTCGCTGCTTAAAATTACAAGAAGGCTTACCACAGAACTTGTAAGCCACATGTGTGTGGTGCAAACCGTCCTCCTTGATCTGCATTCGAGAGACTTTGGCTGGAGGTGTCAGGATACCCATTTCCTAATCTGGTGAGATAATTCTTCACATGCTTACTTGGTGTCATGATCCACATTCTTTATCACTCTAGCTTTCAGAGCTAGATGTAGCAGCATCCATCCCTCTTCGTCACGAATACCTCAATCGTGAGGCATGTTGGGTGGGAACTTCTTGAGGATAAAAAATGAGACCAAGAAGACCATACATAGGTCTAGTCTTAAATAAAATACCCAATTCACGAAAGCTTCCTCGGCGCGTGCTAGCCATGTCCAAAACTCCTCGAGTTTGGCCTCAGTGTTAAAATGGAGGAGTAGATTGTAAAATCCTTAGCGGTGACCATCTAATCCAAAGAAGTTGGAAGTGAAGAGGAAGGAAAGATTTTGTGTGCCGTAAGCGAGTTTGTGAAATGTTCTGCAACCGAAAAGGCGAAGTGTATTTGTGGCAGCAGCGGGGGTTAAGCTCTTAGTCAAGCTTAGCTGGTTTCGGCGGATTTCATTTTAGAAGATTAGTCCAGTACACGGCATACGAATCCACCTTCTCTTGGAGCGACTGGCACTCCTCTTTATCGAAGTATACGCGCATGTGAAAATCCCCCTGTTTCTCTATTGGGACGAGTAAAAATCCCTCCGATGATTGTAGGAAGTCTAAAGGGTTGGCATCTATTGTCTGGTTAGCGGATCAAATTATTCTAAGAATTACTCGTAGGAGACGAAATATGCTTCACCTTTCATTTCCCAGAGCAGGTTGTCCAATAGTTCGGAGTCAAATACTCTACGGCGCAAGCAGAAATTGGCCTTTTCTCTTCGAACTGACTCGCGCGAACCGTAAATGAGGTCGACTGTAACTCGAGAGGTTATCGAGAGTTCCCTAAACAGATCTCATAAGTAACATAAACTAGCAACACTACATCAGGGCATACAAGAGTGGCCCAAATGGGAATTTCTCCAAGGCGGGAAGCGGCATCGTATAAGTGGTTGACTGCCACATTTGAGATGGAGAATCGACGGCAATCTTGAACATTACGCAGTATCCACCTATTTAGGGACTATTAGCGAAAAGTGCTATTATCTTGAGGAGCATTGTGCCTACTCAGATCAGCCGACAGCTCTTCTGACAGACTAAAGGATGAGAACTTGACTTCGATGCATTCGGTACGTAGCTTGGGTCGGGCCTCCTCTTTGGCTTTGAGCAAGTATGAACTGACAAGTTCCAGGGCCGAGTGCTGCAAGTCCACAGTCTGAATAAGTTTTCGGGCGTTCCCTATCATCGACACCACTCCTTCGCTCCAGTCTAGCGCAGCTTCTGTAATTGCTCTAGCCCGCAAGTCCATATAATTCAGCTCCCATTTCAGCGGAAGGTTTGAAGGAAGCAGTTGGCCATTGGTATCTTTCATTGTTCGGCGTATGTACCCGAGATGCTTGGCAAACCCTTGTATGGTCCATAGGGTGCGAAATGCAATGAACAGAGGTATTTCAAGTACATTTATTACGATGCTATCCAGCTCCCATGCTACCCTCTTAGATGTCAAGAGAAGCCTTCCTGAAGTGATTCCAATATCCAAGTCTGACACGAAAAGTGGGTGTTTGGGGTGTTCAAATATCGAGAATGCGAGGGCGGCTTTTCTTGCTAGAGTGAGAGTTGAGGACAAATCTGGCTGAAAAGATGCTGGCGCGATAGCAAGGAAGTCCTGCTTGAAATCGCTGATATCACTGGCGACTATTTCGGCCTCTCTCGCCAGCATGGTAGCAGATTCAGATGCCATCCATTGTTCTCGGGCCACAAGATCCCCACTAAGATACCGGATGGAGGGGCGTGGAACACTAGAGGAATCTTTCCAGCACCATGGCAGTGAATCTCTAGTAATCTGCTTCTTCCCTTTCGCCATATATTTCTTGATGAGCATAGCCATTCTGAAGTGGTTTTCCTTTACAATTTCTTGAATGAAGCTTTTCATCAACGCTGTATACTCCTTTAGGCCAATTTCGCCGTCTCGATTGGCGCCGAAGGAGCCCACAGTGGTTTTCAACTCTTGTAGCAGTATATCAATGCCGTGGCCAGAGATTTCACCTTCTTTCCTCATCCGCTGGACTATTCTCTTGCAGACTTCATAGACTTCCTTGCGTGTAAGAAAGCCTCGGAAATTCCAGTCTTGCTCCCAGAAGGCCTGTGAGATCCGCTCCAATGTTGTGGCATGGTTAGACGGTACGCCAGGATGGTATTTAGTCAGTGGACTCAACAAACTATAGATGCTGTCAAAGTTCTTCAGGCTAGAGAGTACCACTCTTGGTCCTGTTGGTTCGATTACACGTGTTGGTTCGGCTAAAGGAGTTGGTTTGATAAAAGGATTTTCGAAATTAGTCGTGTCTTCTTCATCAGGTGCAGATTTGAACTCAAATGACTTTTTCTTCCTGATCTTATGAACTTCGCCCGCGATCTGTGGCGCTCTCCTAGCTTCAGATTGCCCAATCATTGCATGTTCGGCGCATACCTGCGAAACCCAGGAATTAATGAAGGGTTTGTTAACTAGAATAGAGTTCGGATGAATGCCCTTGTCTTCCAAATCCCGAAAGACCTGATGAATAAGCTCATCCTTATTCACAGGCTGCCCATCGATGGCATCGGATACTACACTTGGTGCACGGGCTCCGACTTGATATTCTTTGACATTGGCGTCGAGGGCATTCTGAATCAGCGAAATTGATTGGCTAAGCAGTCAGGAAGAGTTATACTTGATCTGTCGACAGTGGAGAAGAAAGAGTAGCTTGATATACCTTGAGAGAGAAGAAAGGCCAAGTTGAAGGAGGTTTGTACTAAGTGAAAGCCTAGCCTTCAAACCCTCTACATCCTTGCCAATGAACTTTACCCGTTTAAAGTATGTAGGATGCTTCTTCCCCATATCTTCATATTTGTTCAGGAATTTCTCCACCTCATCTAAGGTGATCTGGCAGCTTTCCCTCGCACTCACGAGGGAATTAAGCTTTGGCTTCGGGAGGGAAGAGGCAAGGCTTGGAGACAAGATGCTCCTCGTTTCCTCGAGGACATGTGTGAGGATTTCGACATGTTGAGCAAGGACTGCATAGTCACTCGGTGCTGATTTGCATTTCCTGTATACCTCCACAGGGCAAAAGGTTAGCAGCCAATTCAATCCAGCTTTGCGTGGTGGCGAGACATACTAGGTGAGCTTTATCAAGAAGTGTGATAAAATCTCCAATGGAGAAACCGAAACTCATTCTCGAATATAGAGTATGCTCAGGGCGTTGCTGGTTGGGGGCCTTGGAGAGATGACTCTGGAAAGAATGGGTGGGGAATATGACAGGTAGGTCACTTGTGGAAGAGTGGGTGCCTGGCGATTTAACTGTTGTGCATGCCACTTGCAAGGCTGAGAGTTGACTTATGGTGTGACCCTCATGGAAAAACCGCGAGAAAAGAATGGTGAATTGAGGCTTAGGTCAAATCATGCCACAATGACCGAGTTATGGTTTCGCTAAATCACCTGCAAGCCACTTTAAAAGGAGCCGAGTCGTGATCTGGAAAGGTGGAAAGAATGCACCGAGTAAGCTTCGCTGGGCTTGTGCATTTACATCACGTGCGCTTGGCGAAGGGTACGGTCCCAACAAACCACTCGCACACTCTTCACATGCCAGTGGGATAATCCCACGCTTAAAAATGAAATTGGGAAGCCCTTGTCCTTTGGATGTGGTCGCTCTATCTGGCATATGAAAATAATTCTGTCCTGTTCGTCCCGGTATCCCACCTTATCTAACATAGCTAAGCAAATATATAGAGAGGGTGATCGGGAAGATAATGCCCCGGATCATTAAACCTCAGTCCCTTATCCAAAGCGGAAATCGAGTCCAACTCATGCTTCGTAAGATCGAAATTCAGCACATCCAAGTTCTGTGCTAGGCGGGACGGGTTATTCGATTTAGGTATGACCGCAATATCACTGCAAAATTTAACCAAAATGCTCATGAAAATTGCCTAGGGAATCATACCGCTGCGTCGCCCACCTCAACAACACCTGCGCCGGCGTAACTCCACGCTTACTAGAGATCTCTTTAACTGGTTGCGCATCAAACAACAACTCCACCTTCTCCGCCCTATTCCTAAAATCTGCGGGTAACTCCAAGAATGACTGCGGCCCAAAAGACGAATACGCCGTAACAACGATCTTATGCTCCTGTGCCATACGGATGAGGTTTGGTTGCACGAGGTACGGATGGTGTTCCACTTGCAGCGAAGAGATAGGATGTTTGATGTAGGTCATCATATCGTAAAGCATCTGGGCCTGGAAGTTGGATACCCCGATGGATCTTGCAATGCCTTGGTCCACGAGTGCTTCCATCTGCTCCCAGGTTTCCCGGATGGAGACTTTGGCGGATGAGATCGTGCCCGCGTCGTCCATCCACCAACCCTATATTAAACTGTATTAGCCGTGAAGAAGGAGAATCGGAGGGTACGGGGATTAAAATACGGGATACCGTCGCTTCTCTGGGCTGATATACTCCAGAGCACAGGGAAAGTGGATGAGGAACAGGTCAATGTAACCCAGTCCCCACGCATCATTTTGCGCTTTCGCCATCGGTACAGCATGGTCCTTACTATGATAGTTATTCCAAAGCTTAGTTGTCACGAAAATTTCCTCGCGTTTCACAAGGTTTTCTTTGATCGCGCGCTGGATGCCTTGGCCGGCTTCCCTCTCGTTCTGGTAGTCATATGCGCCATCGAAGAGTCGATAGCCAGCCTTGATGGCCTAATTCACCTGTCAGGGGAATGAAATGAGAGGTTAGCAATGCTTCCCACATTGTATACAGTGTCTGCGGCGGTTTCTTTGGGCACTTTCCAGAGACCAAATCCGACGAGTGGCATATCGCAGCCAGAGGCGAGCTTCGCGGTGTCTTTAGTCATTGTGGGAAAGTTTGGAAATCGAGAAAGGATGATTGTATGGCTGGGAGAGATGGATTGTGTGTTTTTGATGGGCTTGTGAGCCGGCAAAAATTTTGTGGTGGAGCTGTTGAGGTTCAGGGAGTGGATCGCGTTTCGAGCATCCTATTGGCGGTGCCTCCGATTTCCTGATTGAGGTTTGTGACGCAAGATACGTCTTCTGAGTTATACTCGAACTAAAGAGATCCTCGAAATGTTAAGGGCGAAAGTGTCACGACGAGAACAGGAGCTTCAAACAAGAAATGAAATTTATTTCCTTTCCCACCGCAAAGTGCTGATGCCATGGAAAATTTCGAACTCGAGATATCCCGGACCTCAGGTACCCCGCAGCGGGTGAGGGGCGATCAGGAGGTGGCCGAAGTAACTCCACTAGCTCATATGACTATTTCGGCAATCCTTCTCCCGGTCTTCCATCACAAGAGCATGCGTGTTACACGGTAATCTCCAGCACTTCCGATCGACACCTGCTGCGAGTAGATGATGGACGATACAGAGCAAGCTGACGGAACCGGAAATCCTTCTCATAGCCGGCAGAAGCGGTCAAGAGCCGGATGTTTGACGTGCCGAACAAGACGCCGAAAATGTACATTTTAGTCGCCGCCGAATGTTAAGAGACGAGCTGATGATTGTACAGGCGATGAAGGTAAACCAAAGTGCAGCAATTGTATTTCGAAAGGCTTTGAGTGTCGATATGCGGCTGCTTTTCAGATTTTGGGCAAGAATAACTTCACGCCTGATGTCTCCACTAGTTCGAAATATACAAAGGTCCAGGTGAGCACAAAAGCACATTGGTTACCACCCCATTGTGCAGTACAAGGGTCGAGTTTAGAAACTGCAAAAGGTGTTCATTAAAATATTAACTGACTGTAGTTCGTTTCGAAAGCCAGCGAAAAGCAACATAATAGTAGTGAGGAGTATGGGGGAATTCATACCAATAATGCCTCGAAAGATTCCACAACATCGCCAATTCAACAACCGGAAAGTGCAGACGCAGAAGAAATAACCGGAAATGATGAGCTAGCCACAACCAGAAGCTCTTCGGCAGAAAATTACGAGTTTGCCTTGCATGGGTTGCTCGCTCTCGGGGCTGGAAACGCAGGTATCATCAATGCCGATCACAGCGTCTCTCCTCGGACCGTACTAGCAGACAGTATTTCTTCCTCCCATCTCCAAGACAAGATCAACGTAGCGCAAGCCCAATTCGCATTGGATGGATTCAGTAGTGACCAAGGTGGAGTTGAGAATCAGCCTGAGCAGTCCTGGGAAGTGATAGGGACCCAAGATGATGTTATCATCGAAGATCTTTCTCATGAGCGGGCTCTCGAATTGCTCAAACATTACCGATATCAAATAGCTCCGTGGGTGGGTAGCCTCATCCTAACGAATGATGAATAAAGGCTGACGAGGCTGGAATATGATTCAGCTCGACATCTGTGACCGGAAGCATTCCTTTGGTTGCGAAGTTCTGGGGCAATCGACGGCTTCAAAGTCACTTCGCTGTGCATTGTTGTCGCTTGCTGAAGCAGCACTGGGAAGGGAGAAGGATGGCCGTCAACCACCTAATCCAATACTGATAGCAAATGATATGGAACGCGGCGATCAAATAGATAATACTCAGAACGGTTTGCTGGAAGTCCTACCTAAAGTAGGGCATGCAATTGCAGACCTGTCTGGTTTTTGGGAGCAGGACGTTATTGTTTCCCTGCCGAGTAACTTACAAGATCTGACGTTACCTAAAGTAAGCAATAGAACCTTAGCCTCATGCTCTTATTGGCTCCTGGTAAGACTTCGTGAGTTTATGGGATCGGCTGGGCATCGCAATAGAAAGAGCTAACTCCAAAGATAGAACTCGGTGTTGCACTTGTGAATGGAACGCCATCACGAATCACAATACCTTTTCTTCCGTCGACATATCAGACCTACTCGCCTGAAATGAGTCCTGAAGAGGTTTTCCAGTTCGCAAATAGAGCTGTAGGACTCTGCACCGACGCAACTCTTTTCTGTTACGGAGGCGAAGACGCAGTGCTGAAGGAACGATATGGAATAAACCGAGTCGAAGCATGGGGAAGGCTACTCCAAAGTTTTAATGAATGGTATACCAACAGGCCCCAGGACTTTGAAGCTATCATTGAACTTTCATCGAGGGATAGCAAGTATTCCGAAGATGAATTTCCAACTTTAATATTTACGGATGGCGCTGCGGTACTAGCCAACCAACTTTATCATACGGGTATGTTACTTCTCCTGCAAAACAAGCCGAAATTTGCAGAGAGGGCTACGTTGAGTGCTTCAGCATTGTCCACTCTGTGGCACATGCACAGGGTGTGCGGAATTGCGACGAACAACGATCGAAGGGAATGTTGGGATCCATGTCTTCTTGCGTCTCTATTTATGGCCGCTCGCGCAGCGACACACCGGAGTCAGCATTCAGCAATATTCAACACACTAGAACGCGTACAAAGACTTACGGGGTGGGATGTTACACGCCACACAAGTGCTCTCAAGGATGAGTGGCAGCTAGCGGAAGGATGGTGAAGATTTATATCGCAACATGAAGGTCTTTCGTGTTCACAGCTCTCCTCGAACCTTGTAGCCCCATGTATTCTCAAGATCGCGAATGCGCCAGCATGCCGTCCATCCCGTCAGAGCTTCGATATGACGAATAGTTTTGACGACGAGAGCCTGCTCTGAGCTGTGACTTAGGAGACGCCCAGCAATCCACAGCGGTTGAATGGCATTGTTGAGGCATCCTTCGTGAGGATTTGCCAAGGAGATACCACATATTCGTCTTGCATGCCAGAGGGCGGAGGTGGTAGGTGAAGGACACACTGTCTTCACCTTCGGATTCGAAGTGAGGAGGAGCACGCACGCGGTGTGATACAATTGATTTGAGGATATAGCTGCCCAGTGAGAGAAAAAGACATGAGGGAAAGGAGTGGACGGGGCAGTCTCGACTGGAAGCATTTCCTTGGGTCTATAAAACGACCACCTTTCCAATTGCTCCCAAAGGCGAGACCACCGATCATGGAAGTGTTGGGTATCGCATTGGTTCTCCTTTCCGAGCTCGACATATTTGTTACGGTCGGAGATGAGCTCGCAAGTTTTTGCACACAGGTAGACCGCCAAGTTGGCATACATGTCGGGGGACGCAGTGTTCCGGAATAGAGGTCCAACTAAATTGTCTGGAGTGTTCGGTGGAAGCCAATTCGAAGGCCTGACGAGTGTACTCTCCGTACCATCTGAAATGAGAGCTCCACAAACGTCTTGAGCGTAGTCAGCGCTGATGGTGGTCCCTAGGAGAAATGTGAATCGGCCATATCACTCACCCATGCGAGCATAGCACCAAAAGACGGCCTGCAAGATGCCACCGCTGAAGCCATTCACTCCAAAGGCCTCAAAAATTGCAGCGCAACCTTCAAGATGGCGACGCCAATCCTGAGCACTTGCAGAAAACATTTCTAAACAACAGAGAACGACACAAGCCGCTATAACGTGGGTATCGCGCGCTTGAAGCAATGGCGTGAGCAAACGGATCGCTTCTTGATATAGCTCGAGGCTGTTGAATGAGGATTGGGTCTTCTCTTTACGCTCTAGTTGGCGAGCGCCAATAGCGAGAATAGCATATAGTAACGGAGGTGATTCTCTGGCAAGGGCTGGAAGTTGGATGCCAAAGGCACGGTTGCCATCAAACATGTCAAGCTACATTCGGAGTTAATTTCTTAAAAGGGTCAAGTCTCTTCCTGAGCTCACCCACGGGGCTACTTTTGCGATATAATTCTTCAGGTAATGAACTCGCCTGCCCTTAGCGAGCACTAGTTTGATGTTCCACGATCGGTCACTATTACCCTGATCTTCTTCAATAGGGGTCCCAGCCCGAGTGGGGGCTGCTGAACGTGCAGTAGTAAAGAGAAGACACCGTAACTCCTCTTGGGATGCTAGATAGTTCGGGTCTTGAGCGAATTCATCAAATCCCCAACTTGTCGCTGGAGAGTGGAAAGGATCTATGGTTTCAGGTGCATTGCCCACTGGGCTCGTCAGACCATGGCCAGTTGGTGGAGGAAGGCCAACCGCAAGGAAGTTTCCCGAGGTAGGCTCACTATAGAACCGCGGTCGCTTGTCAACATGGCTGTCGTCTGTCATGGCGTCAGATGCGTTGGAAGAGCGAGAGCGAGAAAAAAGCAAATGCGTGGAGAATCTTGGAAGTGTGGAGAAGTGGCTGGCTTCATGACTGGGACTTTGAGCATGTTTAAGCGATCACGTGTATTATTCCCCAGGCCTCGGCTCCGCAAAACGTACCTCTAACGCCCCATCAATGTTCCACTGCACAATTTGACGAGCTTTAATGAACTGTGTCCTAGTGACCAATTCTGCTATCACCAGATGCAGTCTTCTATTCATCTTAAACCCTCTGAGAGTCTTGCTGTCGACAATTGCTCTCCACTGACCCCAAATATTGTCCCAACGAGTGAAATTGTGCGCCATAGTGGTAAATTGGGGCTAGGTCTCCCAAACGTATGGAAAAAAAAAAACACATCCCGATTCAGGTATCTGTCACAACCACTCCTTGGCACGTGCAATGAAACAAGATCGAGGCCCTGACTTACGAGAGGCGCAGTAATGGCACCGATAGCCGCACTAGTAGTATCTGCGTTAGTACAGTCTACTATTTAAAATTGTGCTCATATCTACGACTAAGTCTTTCAGTACGGCTCGTACAAGCAGCGAGCGGCCTTACGAGAAGAGCACCGGTTTACCCCAAGCAGCTTCCGTGTGGCAGATTATTTTATTGCCTAGATAAGCTGTCATGTTCGCTCATATGTGTTTGCCTCCCTTTCTATCTATCAAACAACATTCCTGGGAGTGCGGGGTTGTCAGGCAAGTAGCGGCTTCTGCTAAGTGGCCAATAAGGATATACGCTTCGGCCCGGTCCTTCGTATTGTTTTCACTCGTCGACTCAAATACATATGGTAGATGTGGAAGCGATGTGAGTTTCAGGGAAAGGCTTCCGGCTGGGCGCCAGCAAGCAGCCTATGCGTCTAACGTAAATTATATAGCTCCTGGTCTGAGAGTCTTGGTGCATCTACAAGTCGGCGAATTCTTGCCTTAAGATATGGTCCGCCTGAATCCTTGTCAAGTACTCTCCCACCTTAGCTGCCATAGGGGCGACTTCGAACCCAAAGAACTCGTAAGCTGCCTTGCCCGGGAGGCTGTGACCGAATCGCTTCACGCAGATAGCCGCGTTTGCGTATCTTTCCCAGCCGTTCGGAGCATACGGCTCGATGACGACTGCTGGTATACCACGGTGCCTTCTCAGCGTATCTCGCTTGTATTCCAAGGATTGAGCTTCGAACAGCCGCTGGCATGGGAAACTGACAACCCGAGCTCTGACATTCTTAGTCGATTTCAGTTCATTGGCCACTTCCACAGCAAAAGATAACTCCCCACCCACGCCAATTAATGTTACGTCGGCGTCCTCAACTTCCTCCAACACGTAGGCACCTTTGGCCACACTATTCCGATTTGTGTGGGCTAGCTGTGGCAGGGCATGCCTAGAAGTCGAGATAATAGTTGACATTTTCTTTGCATCAATTGCAGCGATCCACGCGCCTGCCGTCTCTTCACTATCGCCCGGTCTAATATATAAAACTTCGGGCATTGCTCGATATAACGCCGCTAGTTCGATAGGCTGGTGGGTTGGGCCATCCTCACCCATACCAATTGAGTCGTGTGTGGCAGCGTGAATCACCTGGAGGCGCTGCAATGCACCCATACGAACAGCAGGAGCCGCATAGAGGTAGAAAATGAAGAAGGAAGAAGTGATTGGGGTGTAAGTGTTCGGCGCGAAGGCAGCTAGCCCATTTGATATCGCGCACATGGCGTGCTCTCGTACACCATAGTGGATGTATCGCCCACTGTAATCTCCCATAATACCGCACGCTGTCTTGAGACCAGGCTAGGTACCGTCAGCTCCACATTTCCCACAGTCGTATAGTGAAAGGCCTACATGTTGGAAGTCAACCTTCCCTTTCCAGATCATGTTGACTGAAGGCGACAGATCGGCAGTACCAACCATGAAGTTATTCACTTCCTTGGCAACGGGGTTAAACACTAGCCCTGATGCTACTCTCGTTGCTGTCGGCCTCTGTGGGAACGTGCTTGGAATTAGCTCTTTCCAATTTTCCGGTAAGCGTCCTTCCACTCGTCTTCGGAATTCTGCGCCTAGCTTAGGGTACTTCGCCTCGTATTCCCGAACCTTTTCTTCCCAGGCTTTCACCAAGCTCTGTCCCTCTGCTGGAATATTTTTAAAGAATCTTCGCACGTCTTCGCTGACGACAAACGACTCTTTTGGGTCGAAGGAGTACAGTTTCTTCATATTTGCGACGTCTGCTGGACCGAACGCAACCCCGTGTGCCACCGCATTGCCTGCTACCGCACTTCCGAGTCCGATGATAGTCCGCACATTAATGAATGTGGGCTTTCCTTTCGACTCTCTTGCTTTGTTCAATGCCCTGACAATTCCTTGGATATCAAAGCATCCGTCTTCAATATCTATCACGTCCCACCCACTTGCTCTCATCTTCGCGTTTACATCTTCGGTGTTGGTGAGGTCGACGCTCCCATCGCACGTAATTTGGTTATTATCATATATGATGGTGAGATTGTTCAGTCTCAGGTGTCCAGCAAATGAGATGGCTTCCAGGGCCACGCCTTCTTGCAGACATGCGTCCCCAACCATGCACCACGTGTGGTTGGAGACAACGTCGAAATCTGGAGTATTATAAATGGCTTGGAGATTCTTAGTTGCCATAGCAAGTCCAACAGCATTTGCTACCCCCTGCCCCAGTGGCCCAGTTGTCACTTCTATACCTTCATGCTCGATCTCCGGGTGACCTGGACAAAGCGCATCGACTCGATCGGAATGGTATGATTTGAGCTGATTAAGCGTCATGGCTTTATAACCTGTCAAATGGAGAAATGTGTACTGGAGAAGACACGCGTGGCCTACTAGGCATTAGTGGAACCTTCTCACCTCAGATGATGTTGGATTCACAAGAGCTCACCGTTTGACAGGACGAATCGGTCGCGGTTGAAATAGTCAGGTGTGTGCGGCGCGTACCTCATTACATACTTCCACAATGCGACCCCAATTGCAGCCATACCGATCGCTCCACTGCTCTGCTGTTAGTCTGAAAACTTGCATTTATACGGTTTCCACTTGCCCTGGATGCCCTCCATTAAATTGCTGGCACAAATCAGCGATCAGCAATCTAAACGTCTTCAAGACATGGTCGTGCTCATTCGAGAGCGACTGAACCGTGGCCTTCTTAAGTTCTTCTTCTTTCCGCAGCCCGTTCACGACGTTCTTGCCATACTCTGTCTGGGCGTAGTCGTTCGCTTGCAGTTTTCCCGGTCCGACATGCATGGCGTTAAATTCTACTTACAAAGTAATTAAAGATAAAGAATAAGAAGGAAGAAGGTTCTTAAAATCCGACTCTAGCACTCGCAATATCGCTCCTCACATAACGGGAACAGGATTACTCTTCTGGGCAATCCGGAGTCGTGTGGTGTGCCGGTCCGAAAAAGGAAATTAGAGCCTACGTGGTCTGCATCCGACGCTGTCAGCAATTCCCACCCCGATGCGAGCAACTGCCAAAGTGCATATTTTTCCACATTTTCTCCAGACTCTGTTCTCAACACTCTATAGCGCTGGTCTCGCTATTAGTAATACCCTACTCATGTCGATATCGGAATCACGACTTTTCTCAACTTTCACAGCCCACAGCGCGCTTCTGCCGGCACTAGTCACTTGTATATTCACGAACCACCATACGCACATTCTCAGATTTACTTCCGAAGAGTACTTTCAGACATCGTGTTAGCTTTCGTTTGAGCGATCGCGGCTCTCTATCAATATGTCACCATCGGTTGTCATCAACCCTTCCTGCCTTTTCTCCACTCAGGCTAAGACTATCTCTCAGACTTCGAATGGCGCTTTGCAACCCCCCAAAAAGACCATTGTAGCGCCTCTCCCGAATCCATCACTCCAAGTCACTGCAGACCACCAATTGAAGCAAGTTGAGGCACCGGTGTACCCCCCGGGTCCGGGAGAGGTACTTCTACATATCAAGGCAACTGGTGTTTGCGGGTATACTATGAAAGAGCATTACACTGACTGGGAGCTGAAAGTAGTGTAGATCTGACATCCACTTCTGGAAAACCGGACGGATAGGTTCTCTTGTGGTTGAGGGCGACTGCATACTTGGTCACGAGGCGTCTGGCGTGGTTCTTAAATGCGGAGAGGGAGTCGCAACCTTAATGCCAGGTGTTCTAAACCCAATAGGAATATATAGGAGCGGCGACTAATATTGAGTTATAGGTGACCGTGTAGCAGTTGAGCCTGGTGTACCTTGTGGACAATGCTTTCTATGCATGGATGGACGATACAACCTCTGCGAAGACGTGCAATTCGCAGGCGTATACCCATATCATGGAACGATTCAAAGATTCAAAATTCACCCCGCAAAGTGGTGTCACAAGTCAGCCTTTCTTTTCTCCTATGTTGTCCCTTAATTTAATCAATCTGCAGACTCCCAGACAACGTTACATTCTCTGAAGGTGCCCTCCTTGAGCCTCTCAGCGTTGTCATGCACGGCATCAAATCCGCCGGTCTCTCCCTCGGTCGCGGGGCAGTGATATGCGGTGCTGGACCTATCGGACTAATCGCGCTTGCCGCGGCACGGGCATCCGGTGCTCACCCCCTCGTTATCACTGATCTTGAACCACGTAGACTCGACTTTGCGCAGAAGTTTGTGCCTTCGTGTATGACATACCAAGTCGATTTGTCACTTGACGCCAAGGGGAATGCGAAGAATATAAGAAAGTTGTTTGGCATGGAGGAGTACTTTCTGCCAGATACTATATTAGAGTGTACAGGGGTTGAGAGTAGCGTTGTTACCGCCGCATATACCGTGAGGAGGGGTGGAATAGTCATGGCTATTGGAGTTGGAAGGCCCATAATGAATAATCTTCCTTTTATGCATCTATCTTTAGCAGAGGTAAGCAACTCCCTCTTGCTTGACTTCTTAAGACTGAAATCTACTAATGCACGAGTGAACTAGATCAGCCTGAAATTCATCAACCGATACCGTGACACCTGGCCTGGTGGCTTGCAGTGTTTGGGAGGCAAGATACTGGATTTGAAACCTTTGGTGACACATATCTATCCGTTGGAGAAGGCGTTGGATGCTCTGCATACTTGCTCGCACTTGAGCAATGGGAGTATTAAGGTGCAGATTGTTGATGATGTTGACGTGGTGTTTTGATGGTTGATGCATTTCTTAAGCGGGGGTTCGAGTGAAGAGAGTTAAACTGTGGAGAAGAAAGGGCAATTGAATCTTAAAATGAGGCCCAAGAGCTGCAGTTACATCATACTGAAGAAGACGTGCGTTCTAAAAATTGGGCTACCGCTGCCATTCCAAGGTTCTCAAGATACGCCCTTGCCCCGCCAGAAATACAGTCAATCCCGCGGATTTTAAGCTGACATAGCCCTGACCAGAGTTCTATGGAGGTGAGGAAGTTTGAATGGGATAAAATAGTCGGTAACCGGCACTTTCAAATTTCAGTCATGAATGTGCAATTCCATCTCGCGACTCTCCATTTGCGGAAATTGAAGTCTCCGAGTGTGCAGCAACGTCAACACCACAACCACCACTACAGGGCTTCTGCGAGTCAACGCTAGTACTTCCCGGTTCCTAAAATATCGAACTTTACATGTCTCCATTTTGATTTGCCGATAATTCCCCGGACGGCAATTGAGATCGCAGAATTGGACATCCCCAATTGGACGCCACATTTCCGCATCGGCCTAGTTTTTGCATGATCGTGCATGCAATAGGCCCGAACCCAAAAGTTCGGGATCTGGGGAAAATCCTTGCATGTGCGTTTCGAGGCCGCATCTGCTTGCGTGCCTATTGCCTATCGGAGACTTTGCGTCAGGTTTTCTAGACTGACGATTCCATATAGGGGCCCGTGATTCGACTTCAGTTATAAGTCGTGCAGCTCCCCGGGTTGAAGAAGAATACAGGAGCGGTACTGGACTACGGGTTAAGATTGAAGTCGAGAACCCTTTTTCTATCACTCCCATCCTCTTATTTGGGTTGAGATACAACTCCCCCTCGAGCTATCACTCAACATGTCTACCGCCCTCGACACCAAGCCATCGGCGGTTGAAATAAACGAGCAATTCCCCAGCAAACCCGGCGCGACTGAAACCTCTCAACTGGAACATCTTTCTAACGCGGAAGACTACGGACTCGACAAACTTGCGTCGTTCCGTAAATACCCCCTGGACATGCGCTTGGAGCATTTACGCCGTCTGGGTTGTCCTGCTTGTCAGTTTTGAGAACCAGGCTTCGGGAAATGTGATTGGAATTCCCGAGTTTAGGAATGACTTTGGGAGAAGCTTTGAGGTCAATGGGACGGTGAGTTATGTGTTGGATGCGAAGTGGTAAAGCGCTTTTCAGGGCGCTCTAGTAGCTTCGTGAGTTTGCCTTCAATTTCGAAGTATGACTGTGGGAATTTGTTTGGAAAGGGCTGCGCCGATGAGAAGAATAGGGATGGTAATGAAGGTGGGGATTTCGGCTGTGACGCGAGTAATTCCTACTATAGCGTTAGGGGAAGTAGCTACCCTGGGATCGCTCATTCGGCTCTGAGATCGAAGGGAGGGTTTCGAAAAAGAGCTTGAGATCAGGTTCCCGCAGCTTTATCGTCTCCACACGGCGACAAAGCCGGGAGTAAGGAAATATCTTCGCCAGGAATCCCCATGCGGGAAACCAGGACCAGTTTGAAAAACAATCCTGACGATAAGTGGAATTTACCTGGTATGGAAATCTAGTAAATGGGTTTCTATATTTGTATATTACTTTAGGAGTCTTCTTCATCCTCCCGATAGCTGTTCCAGCAAACTGGGTATAGCTTGGCATCATATCCTAAGTTGTTTCGTCATTATCCTCGAGTCAACAGACACGAAGAGTTCCGATTCATTATCGGGCAACGAATTAGTGCCGGGAATGTCCAGTAAATCACCGTTCCTCCCATCCGGGTCCTTTTCTTACACTATTTGATTTGTGCTGGACCTTCCATGGAATACATCGCCATTCCAATGCAGCAACTCCAAGCATATCTCTCCAGAATCTTATCTTTCTTTACGGCAGGAAGTCGTTTGCCTAGACTATTAATTGTCGGGCCAGTGGAGTCCAGGGCTCGGCAGGTTCGAATCATGAAAGGCGACTCGAAAGATGTGTGGTCCGGGCCAAGACCCTGAATCCCCACAATGCGGGGATCGTTTCGCCATGTGACAGATATTATTGTGAGCAATCGCTGCTGAATTAGGGAACAGAAATGAATTCTTCTAAAACGTTTGACTTATTATCGATTTTCCTCAATTGCTGGTGAATATGGCAACCATCGTACGGATACATCTTCCTCCATCCCGTTTCCTTATAAACGACGTGCCTTTGCTTATAATTATTATAGACTAGTACTCTGGGCAATCATACGTATGAGAAGTCTAATGGCTTTTACAAGGACGATGTCTCTGCCCAGGAGTCACTCGTAGGAGGGTTTGAGTGGAAAGGTTGCAATTCCGAATGTAGACACATGCTCATCATATGATACTAAGAACTCTTAGATGTTCTGATCCTCGATAATGTCGGTCGGGGTACTGTTAAATGGTGGTACCAACGAAGGACCTTGGCTCAATATGCATGTATTGCGGGTCTCGGGCTTTACACTTTCTATAACGCCAAGTCTCCCAAAGTTCGTGCTGCTGCACTTGGACTCTTGTTCCCTGGAGCCGGCCTGGTTGGGGTATTCACCATTCCTTCGCTTCTGGCATTTGTTGTCTCTACTGCGGCTATCCCAGTTTGCTTATTTGCCTGGTTCGGCGCTGGTGGCATCTTGTTCCCCATCCTTCTTTGGTCCTCAACTGCAGGTCTTGCTGCGTCACTTGCTCGCAGCTCTCTTCTGGAGATTGCAGCTCCACTTTGGACGGCTGTATGCGCTATCGGAATCGCATACATCGCACAGCAAACGCTTGCCGCGAACCGCCAGGCTAGCAAGAAACGAGAACTTCGAAACCAATACCTCATCGGCTCTGTCCAAGAAAGCCAAGCTGGTGCGAAAGTGTCTAAGCCTGGTTCTCGAGAACTCGACCTTCGCATGCTCCGTTTCGTGCAATGGGAACTCGAGGTCGGACTGGCGGGTATGGACGACTTCTCGCATCATGACATTATCGATCAGTTCCAAACATCAGCTATCCGGTATCAGTTGTACGGCACCCAAAATGATCTCGGTATGTACCAATACATTTACGCGCCAAATTTCCACGGCTATCTTAGTAAAGCCCAACGGAACTGCATCGAGAAATCCCTTACTGAACGTGTCGTTGGATTCTGGAAATGGGAGAGCATGTGGGGAAAGTTCAATGCTCATGACTGGGATCCGATAGTCAAGGACGACATCATGGTCTCCGGGTACGTTCTCCAGGCCGTCGGTATCTACCAATCAAACACGGGAGATGAGCGATACACGGAGCCAGGCTCGCTAGAGTTTCACGTAAGCAAGAATGCAAAGTTCAAGTATGATTTTGGGAAGATTGCGAAAGCGTTAGAGAGAAACTTCAACGAGGCGGCATATTGCTTGTTTCCGTGTGAGCCGAATTGGATTTATACTATGTGCAAGTAAGTCGAGGCACAAAATAAGATTGAGATTACAACTACTCATAATCTGTAGCCTCGTTGGCATTAGTGGTATGCTTCTTGCAGACCGCCTTCTCGGGATGCCATATGCGAGGGAAGTCAAGGAGCGATTCCAGAAAGCGCTTGAGGAAGAATTCACGACTCAAGACGGAACAATTCTTCCCATCCGCAGTGAGCTGACCGGTTTTACAGTAAGTCCCCCTACCCTTGCACCCTACACAAACTCACAATGTTCACAATTTCCGCAGATCCCCGGCCTCGCCGGCGCCCTAGCAGACGGGGTAAACTCCATCCTCTGCGCTGCCTACCTCCCTCACATTGCGCACCGTAACTGGGCCTTTACCAAAAACGAATCCATCAAATGGACACCCCATAACACCATCTCCCTTCAAAACCTGGTCGGCGCGGACAAAATCGACGCTGGTAACTACAAAGCCGGCGAAGGTGCCATCCGCGCCACTTTCGCCGCCGCGGCAACTGAATTCGGCGATGAGCGTATCAGCAAGGAGCTGCTAAGACAGCTAGATGAAGAATACCACCCCGTTATTGAGATGAAGTCCGGCGCGCTGAAGAACCAGGGACTTTCGACGTTGAGCCAAGGCGCTGCAACGCGGGCACGGATTGGTGGGTATCAGGACTGGGTTAACATGATTACCAAGGGTCCGGAGGAGAGCGTGAAGAGAGGTCCGATTTTAGATGAGGTGCCGTACCCGGAAGTGCTGGTTGGGAAGTGTTATTCGCATGACGGGGAGGGGTTGGAGATTGTTCTGTATCCTGGGAGGAAGACTGCACAATTTGAGCTCGGGTTTAGGAATTTGAAGCCGGGGGTGGAGTATAGCTTGGGTGGAGAGAGGAAGGTTGCGGGGGATGATGGGAGGGCGACTTGGAAGGTTGAGGTTGATGGACGGACGGCGTTGGATCTGGTGTTGATGAAGTGAGGAATGGGGTATAGTGACTCCCCTAGCTTTTAGAGAATGTCAAACAAGGATGTGTTACAAGTTATTGAGGTGGGAACCTTAGGTGGGAGCAATGATCCCCGCTCATGGTCGACGTTATTCCGAGTCTTACCCTACGCTGCGGTATCCATTGTTTAGGATTTTCTTTGCGCAAGCCAGTTGATGGAAGTTTACATCAAAGTAAAGTGCCGTGTCTTTCAAGAGCTCAAACGCCGTGTTTCTTGATCTTTCCATTCTCAATGATTGGCTACTTCCCAAGTACGCTAACCGAGCTAGCTTCAAAAGCCGTTGAAATGTCGTTCAAAGGGCGCGTCGGCTTTATTATTGAAGATTCCCGAATCCCCTAAGGAAAAACCCGCCATTGACTTCCCCAAGTCTGCGCGGCCTCTTGTAGGCGTAACGAAATCTAATTCACTAAGTAACCTTCCCTCTCCCTGAAGTCGTCGACAAATCACATCATGAGTGCCACGGAGACTTTGGAGCTGCAGCCAAACCCAGCACTTCACATCTACAGCGCATCACACGGAAGAGACTCCCACGATCGTTCTCGCGAAATATTTACGCATGGCGGAGCTCCAAACAGAATCGATGTTGATGAACCCCCCATACCCTCGGCGTCGGACCGGAGAGCAGCATCTACATTACGAACCTCACTCATCATCCTCCAACCCTCCCTTATTAACCTCCTTTCCAGCTTCACAAATGGGTTAATCACCGTCGGCCTCCCAGTTATCGCGCGCTCCATTGCCCTACCCCGAACCCTCTACCTTTGGCCATCATCTGTCTATGGACTGACCTCCGGAGCCATGTTGCTACTCGCGGGCTCTGTGGCTGATATTGTCGGCGCCCGTCTTGTCGACATAATTGGGATTTTCTTCCTCAGCTGTTTTACACTTGCATGCGGTCTATCAAATACGGGGGAGCAATTGGTCGTGTTCCGCGCTTTCCAAGGTATTGCAAACGCTTTGCACCTCCCCGCCTCAGTCGCACTAGTAGCGGCGGCTGTACCCCCCGGAAGGGCTAGAAATGTCGGTTTTGCGTGCTTGGGGTTGAGTTCCCCGCTGGGGTTTTCAGTCGGGCTTGTGGTGAGCGGAATCATGATTGAGAAGACTGGATGGCGATCTGGGTTTTATTTATCAGGCGGTGCAACGTTGATAGCCGCCGTAGCCGCCATATGGACGTTACCTAAAGGAAGACAAGAGTGTCCTACTCCTGGTCTCTCGGCCTTTCTTGGGAAGCTGTACCTTGAGATCGATTGGATTGGTGGGATTATCGCGAGCGGCGGACTTGCGATACTCGCCTACGTGCTTGCGTAAGTACCATCATCAAAGCGAAGGGAATATTCTGACCTCCAATTGGCAGGACCCTGAGTGGAGACTTGGCTGTCATTCATTCTACAACAACACCATCTCTCCTCTCCCTCGGCGTAGTCCTTCTCATAGCATTTCCTCTTTGGATGTACTACCGCGAGAGCGCAGGGAAACCAGCCCTTGTTCCAAATGCCTTGTGGAAGAACATCCCTTTCGCAAGCACTTGCATCATGGTCGCGCTTTCATACGGCGTCATAACGTCCATGGAGCTATTTTCAAGCTTATAGTACGTTTGTTCCAGTTTCCATTAAGCTAGACAGGCAACCACTAACTCACTCAGTTTCCAAGAAATCCAAAACGCTTCCACGCTGACCACATCCCTCTATCTCCTCCCTAACCTTCTTACTGGGGTTCTCATCAACCTCACCGTCGGTATCTTCGTACACCGTCTTCCAGCTCGCTGGCTCGTGGTCATCTCGTCATTTCTCTGCTCTCTATCACCTTTTATGATGGCACTTGTAAATCCCCACTGGTCGTACTGGTACCTTGAAGTATGGGCGCAGATTTTCGCACCGTTTAGCGTAGACGTGCTATTCACGGTTGGCTTGATTATTGTGAGTAATAGTTTTCCGGAGAAGACACAGGCACTAGCTGGGGCAGTGTTTAATACTGTTGCGCAGTTTGGGATGAGTTTGGGAGTGGGGCTGTGTCAGGTTGTGTCTTTGGGCGTGATGGGGAATCATGATGCGGGAAATGGTAGGAAGGGTAGTAGGAATGACGACGCTTTTGATAATCCGGATCACAATGCCATGCTCATGGGATATCGAGCTGGCTTTTGGGCGATGTTTGCGTGCATGATTTTGTGTGGGCTGCTCGCCGTCGTGGGACTGAGGAAAGCTGGGAAGGTTGGGCTGAAGCGAGAATAAGGATGTTGGGTTTGGGCCATTTTATGCAACACCACCAGCGCTGCCAACGGGAAGTAGTATGTATGCGTACTACGTGAACGTAGCTGTCACGTGAGCAGTACGAAAGTAGTAACTTTGTAAGACGTTACTTACAGCTAAGGAGGCTATAGTTACATACTGTAGTATATTTCACAATGTCTATTCTAATTCAGATTTGGTTAGTATATAAGGCCTATTTAAACATCTAACGCATTCCACAAGCAAGCAGTCTACACAAGTAAACAGTCTACTCTAATAACATTTTTTGTTGAATGGACTTCCTCGTACGTTTAGGCGCGGGGTGGGCGGGCCTTGCGTATGATTCCGTAAGTGCACTTTCGTACGGTCCATAGGTATGGGGGGGGTTACTAGTTGTTCATTCTTGTTCTCTATCTAGGGTCCAGGTGAGAGGGATTATGTAGCAGGATCTCTCCTGGTAAGGCTCCGCACAGGCACTGTACAGTCACTACGTGACTAGGTCACGTGATATTAATTGTACAGTTATGCAGGTTAGAGCTATGTGTGTACTGTGTACAGACTCTAGCAACTTTTTATTTTCAAGTTACTTACTTATTTTAAGTTCTTTTTATATCTTTTTTATACTTTTTATTAACGTACACCACAGGCAAGTTACTTACACACCTAAGTTACTTACTTTTGCTAAGACTTTACTAAACTACTCTTTTTACACTAATGCATTTCTAATAACACTACTTAAATATGCTAAAAAAATGTTAGATATAGCTTACACTTTAGGCTTTTAAACAAGATGTAATACTTTTAAAGTAATATAATATAGCTATATATAAAGTTTTTTAAAAAATAATAAATAACTAACATACTAAATAACTTTTATAAGCTAATTTTATAGCTAACTTATAAAAGCTAAATAATAATAAAAAGTAAGTAATTATTAAGCATATACTTAAGCTATATATGTGAAGCTATGTGAGGCACTGTAACGGCGCAGGCAAGACAATGGGTCCGAATGCGGTATGAATCCACTCAGAGGCATATGGGAGTGCGTGGGAACTCAGAGACCTGGGAATACTAATAACACCTATAGGCCTTGTACATAGGATATTAGAAAACTACTAAGCTAGCTACAAAGGCAAGGTGCAACTAAATACATAAGGGAATAGGGGTAACTATAGGGGACTAGGTTAAGTTATAGTTAGGGCTAATACAGGGACCCTTTAGATAGGATCTAAGCAACCTAAGATAGAACAATTTATAGAATTATTACACTACTCCTTTTTTTATAGGCTAATAGTTCTTATCTGTAGTGTTTAAAAAGTATTTAAAAATGCTTTAAAACTAATTTAGATAAGATATAATAAGTATAACTATTTTAACTAAAATTTTTTATTACTAAGAAATAGACTAAAAACCTAATACTAATATAATACCTTTATTATAATGTTTTTATTTAGTAGTAACTAGCAGTGTAGTTGTTATTAATATAGTAAATTTATTATTTATAGTAATAAGTGTTTACTTACTTTACTTATATAGTTTAGTTAATTTTATTAGTTTTTTTTTTAGCTATTATCTAAATCTTTACTTTATAGGTATTATTATACATCTAATATTTTATAGCTTAGTCTGCTAACTAATTATAGCATTAAAAAAAATTACTATGCTGCTTTACCCCTCTTTTAGAGCCTCTTTAGAGGTGTTTTAAGTTATCTACTTTTAGGCTGCTTATGCCTTTACTTATAGCCTTTAAGTTAAGTTTTCTTATTAGTCTTTTAAATTAAAAAATATAAATATTACACTTTACGCAATAAGAAATATAACTTTATATAAATATAGTTTAATACTACTAGAGTATAGTTTACTAATGTGCACATAAGTCTTCTTTTATTATAAGAAAGAATTCTTAGTCTTTTAAAGCTATCTTAAGCTATAAGCAGCAGCCTAAAACATAAAAAGTAAAGAAAATAAAAAAAGGGCTTTTAAAGCTATTTTAAAGTTTACTTAAAACCTAGCGTAGGTAGTGTAGGTTATAAAGAGTTAGAAAGCTAGGCTTTCTATAGCTAGTATTTAGGTAGCTTTGTTCTACTAAAATACTAAGCTACTTTAATAAGTTTTAGCTTTAAAGGCTTTAGTGTTTAACCTTTAAGTAAACATTATAGCGCTTTTAGGTAGCTAAAGATAAAGTAAAGGGGGTTTAAAAAAAGTCTAAAGAAGAGAGAGAAGAGAAAGAAAAAAAAAAAAAAAAGGAAAATTTTTTTTTTTTTAAAAGTGTTTAACAGCTTACTATTAAACTTTCTAAGTAACATGTCTATAAAGTTATAATAATATTATATAAAAATATAATCTAACTTTTTACTTTTATACTTTATTATCTGCTAAGTAATTTATACCTTTTATACTAGCTTTAAAAGCCTTAATTTACTTTTATAAAGCCTTTAAAAGTCTTAGCTAATTTAAATGCTTATTATAATAAGCTTTTAATTTATAAAAAGAACCTAGAAAATTTAAAGCTTTATACTAAACTAAATTAAAGTTGTGTTCTACTTATTTTACTTAGTACTTAAGTGTTTTTTAGTAGAGCTTACTAGCAAGTTGTCACAGTATCCTCCCCGGATCCTAGACATAACTGTATTAGACGCGTACTAGAGTATTATTAGTGCACGTCTGACACAAACACAACACAACACAGACATAAACTTAAGCATAAACTGCCTTAACACTAACTAAACCTAAAACAGGCTTAATTTATACCTAAAGTGCTTAAACTTCTAAGCTAAGTATTTAATTACTAATTTCTTTTTAAACTTTCCTGTTCTTTACACAACATCTTGTACTTACTATAATACCTTACATAGTAATTAAACTAGACCTCTGTAAAGCTCTATAACCTTACTTATGCATAATTATAACATTATGTTATGTTAAAACTTTAGCTAAGAATAGCCTCTAAATCTAATCTAATAAGCTTAGTACTTACACAACTCTAAGCTATTAAAGTAAGCTAAGAAGCTTTCTAAAAAGTGCTTACTTTATAAGAAAGCTACTATATTATAAGCTTTAAAGCTCTTTAAAAGGACTTTAAAGAACAGCTTTATGTTATTAAGCAGTCTATTTCTGCTTTAACTTTTATTATAGTAGTAGAAACTAAGAACTTACTAGCCTTAAAGCTTACCTAGAAGTCTAGAGATAGCTTAACTTTTTTCTGCTTAACACTGCTTATAACCTATAACCTTTTTAACTTAGTAATAAAATCTAACTAACTCTCTAATCCCCTACTGTTTAACAGAAAATAAAAAGACTTACCTTCTTTCCTACATAAGCTCTAATATAAACTTAAAGAAAACATAGACTAATTCCCCTCTAAACACTTCTAGTTACTATATGCTTACTTTTAACTTAACTATAATATAACAGCCTTAATTAACTTACTAATAAATAAGAATATTATTAACTTAGATTAATTTATAGTGTTTTTATAAGTAACTTATAAAGACTTAAATAAAAAGTTAACAGCCCTAAGTTGCCTAAACACTCTATAATAAAAAAGAAAAAGCTTTACTTTATACTTTACTAAGTTCTACTAACTTGCATCTAATACAGGCCTAAATAAAATAGGTTTAATTATAGCCTTATATAACTCCCTCTTAACTAAACTATAACATGCTATAGTAGGAGAACCCCTCCTAAACAACCTTAACGTGTATGCAAACTTAATTGCTACCTATAATAATAACATAAGGTTCCTCCCTGTACAAGCCCTAATACACCCCTAAACTAGCGCAGTTGCAAATAAGGACCTTAATATAATAAAAATTAATTTAAATTATGCTCTAGTTAGTTTTAAAAAGCGTAAAAATTATAAAAAAAAAAGTTAATATTTTAAGTGCAGTAAGCATAGTTATATTTTCTAAAACTGCTTTATTCCTCTTTCTTAAGTCTACGCAAGTAGTGCTGCTAGTACTTATTAAAGATTCTTACTGTTTTAATCTTGTTTCTGTAAAGGCTCTAACTTATATTTAAGCCTTAATCCCTCTTACTACTCTTAACATAGCTGCAGCTATAGCAGTAGGAGCCTATAAAAAGGCTTGTCCTAGGGCTAAGTTGCCCCTTAGGACTAATTTAACACTAAATCTTTGCTAACTTATAGGCTAAGTCCCTTACTAACAACTAGAAGTACTAAGTTAATATTCTTATATATTTATAATAAGAAACTATATTAGCCCTAATATAGGCTCTTATTAACTTAAGAGTAAATAGCATAGGTTACATTAATAAAGAACTAGCGCGTAAACTAAATCTTTAATTAACACTACTTACCTAAATAATTTACCTAACTAGATTTAATAGAAAATAACTTAAAGGAAGTTCTATCTTTTATACTATAACTATTATAATTACCTACTAATACTATAAGAAGCAGATTAAACTCTATGTAATAAACATAAAATGTTATAACCTAATCTTAGGACAACTATAGCTATATTAGCATAAGGTTGCTTTTAATTACTAAAAGTAAGTTCTAAACTTTAACTCTTTCTAATACTAAGATATATGCTTACACTTACACCTAAATAATACTTAAATAGCACTTAATATAGAAGGTCTCTAAACTTACTTTCTAATAACTTAAAAAAGAACTACTTAAGTAAGGCTAATAAGCTAGGCCTTTTACTAAAATAGGCTATGTAAAATAATTTAACAACTGCTTAAACTTAAAGAAAAAAAAGCCTTTAAAAAACCTTTACTTACCTAATTTAGACACAAACTAGGACTTAAACAGCAGATAGACATCTGCTACATAGGACCTGCTTTATTTATAACCCTAGCTTAATAACTAGATTACAAAATCTACACAGTTATAATTTCTAATATAGACTAAGCTTTAGCTTTTTAAAAACATACTAACCTAAAGATAATAGTCCCTTAAGACTACTATAACTTATTACATGTCTTCTTCTAAGATAAGTTTAATAAGCTTTTAATACAACATCTATATAATTACTAGATAACTTTTAAGCCTAGTAAACAACCTAGTTATAGGCCACTGTATAGAATGTTACTAAACAAATTAAAAGTGCTTTAAAAATACCTTAATAAGAACTTAGAAAAAAGGTTTATTTAAGCTAGCTTTTTACTAGTAGT